TATGCGCCCCAGCCCCCACCTCCGCCTCCGCCGGGTGCACCCATGCAACCGGCCTACCAACCCGCAGGCCAGCCCTACCCCGGCTACCCGTACTATCCCGGTACGGCCTATGCGCCACCTGCGCCACTGCCTGGTCAGCCACAGCAACCGCAGTACTACCAGCCTCCGCCACCGCCCATGGTGTATCCTCCGCCCGGAGTACCGATGCAGCCGTACGCGGCGTACCCCGCTCAGCCGTACTACGCGACGCCCGGTCAGTTTATCCCGGCTGTGCCCGCGGCTGCTCCTCCGCCAGCTGCACCAGCTCGACGTGCGGGCGAGAAGTACGATCTTCTGTTCAAGTTTGGAGGCGGCACGTCTTGTAAGACTCTGATCATCTTCGCATAAGGGGGCGGTACTGACCATCGCGCAGATGGACCGGCGCTCAAACCCGCACACCTCCACGCCCTCGGGTCTCATCTGGAGGTCAACCCCCTCCTAACACCCGTAACCGACGCAGACGCCACAACCCGCCGCCACATAATCTGGAACATGCTCTTCGTCTCCTCCGACGCGCGCCTCTCCACCGACGGCCCCAACCGCTCCTGGTCCACCGGCCGCGACGAGCCCGCCACCTTCCCCCGCCTGACGCTCATCCGCCTGATATCGACGACCTTCCCCTGGTCCATCGACGTGCACGCGCACAACGCCGAGTCGGGCGTGAGCTGCGGAGACGTGATCGACGCCATAAGCTCGTTCTTGCAGCAGCATTCACCAAGGGCGGACTACGAAGCCGTGACGGGCGAGCACCGGCGCGCGCTCAAAGACGCGTACCACCACAACCGCTCGCGGGCGCACGGCGTGCCGGGCGGGCGGCTGGGCGAGGGCATGCGCCGCGTGGACTGGCTGCGGGACTTCGTGATGTTCGGCGGCATACGCGTGAACGATACGTATGTGTTCGAGCGGTCGGACGGGGCGCCGATGCCGGGCGTGCTGGAGGTGGTGTGTAAGGAGCAGGCGGACACGTTGCATGCGGATGATGAGGAGATGAGGGGGCGCGCGGGGAGGACGAGGAGTAATAGTCGGATTAGGAGCGCGTTTAGTTCGAGGCATGCGAGTCGCAGTCGGCCGGTTACGCCTGGTGGTGCTTGATGGTCTGTACTTGTGGGGCTTAGTTGTATGTTGCCTGTTGTATTGTACTCTGTCGAAGGTCGTGTGAATGTAGCCTTGACGTGCAAATGCTATTGTGGGTGTGCAAAGTGGTGACCACGGCGCGAGACGCGTCGGCCCAAGCTCAAGTCAATGACGTCACGCGTCGAGCTCAGCCATAGTCGGTGGCAGCGTACAGCCAGTGATGAGCCAAGGAAGTACTCTCTGCCGGCCATTCAGACATGCATGACCTACGTCCAGCTACGTATATAGCGATGTCCGGCGGCGCCAAGCGTCGCTGTAAGTCGCAACTGCGAGGGTAGGGTTCGGGGGATCGGGACGACGCGTCAGATGAGATAAGATCAGATTTGACTCTACATCTCCTGTCAGCGATCTCAGCAACCCTTACCACAAACCCTCATCATCTCTACCTTCGCACTCCCTCATATCGATTCCCTCTCGGAACAACAGCTCAGAGTTCTATATCATGGCTCCCAAGGGAGGAAACGCGAAGAAAGAGGGTGGACGCGCGAAGAAGGCGGAGAACGAGGCGAAGAAGCAGCAGGCGGCAGAGGATGCAAAGGTATAGTCTATCCAATGCTTGCCTACGCTCTCCAGATCTAATTAATGGCTTGTTGTACTTATAAAGGAACGCGCTGAGGCAGCGAAATGGTCTGACGGCGCCAAAGGCAAAGCTAAGAGCGTCGAGGACAAAGAAGCCCGCCGACAAGCCGAGCTCGCACGAAAGGCCGAGAACGCGCGTCTCCTAGCCGAAGAAGAGGCCTCCGCACCAGCGAAGAAAGCCGCCGCACCAAAGGCGGGCGCGAAGAAGTCCAAGCCTACGCCCAAGCCCGCTGGACCCGGTGCGATCGCCGCGGGCGGGGGACTGGCGGCTGTGGCGGCGAAGGAGGACGACGTGCCGCCGGAGAAGAAGGAGGTGGAGAGTTATGCGGCGACGGGCATTGATAATGCGTTGGATCTGTTGGAGGTTGTTACGGCTAAGATGGATAAGGCGAGCGTGGGATCTAAGGCGGGCGAGATTGAGAAGCATCCAGAGGTGCGTGTATACGAGTGGTATGGATGTACTTGTGCTGATATGATTGATCTTTGTCCTGTAGCGACGCTTCAAGGTTGGTCAAATCCTTCTTCCATCACACGCATGTGCTCATCATACGTGTAGGGCGCACTCGAAGCGTATACCGAACGCGAGTTGCCGAATCTCAGGCAAGAGGTATGTACAGCCTTCCCAGTACACAAGCGAATACCGTCCTCACACCTCTGTTCCGCTCAGCATCCCGGCCTGCGCTTGCAGCAATATAAGGTACACTCCGTCCGCATATACGCCTTGGCGTCTAAAGTCTGACCATGATCGACAGGATTTGCTGTACAAGCAGTTCCAGAAGTCTCCAGAGAACCCGTGCGTGCTGAATCAGGCTATGATCTTCATATGGACTGCGCATCTGACCGATACGTGCACAGGTTCAACCAGGCCACGGTTGCTTACGACGCGTCGAAGGAGGAGAAGGTTGAAGCGCTCAAGAGGCAGCAGGACGCTGTGGCGAACCGTTTGCGGGAGAAGTCGTGATCATCTGGAGTCTGGACGGAATCAAAAGGGCGTCTTAAGGCGCGTGTAGAGTATATTTACGTGGCGGCGATCTGTTGTAGAAGTAATCGACCTGGAGGAGATTAGCTATAAGCTTGTAGATGTAGGTATATGGATATCACGTGTAGTGGCATCAAGCATCTAAATTACTTGGACTTGTCCCATATTCGTACAGCGCCTCGCGGATCCGAGACCGCCGAGCGTACGAGGAGACAGCCATCGGGCCGTCCCCAGCAATGCTCGGCGACGTGTCCCGTCCTAACGCAGCTCCTCATACCAGCCTTTGGTCCTGGAGGCTCTGCAACCACAGACGACTGCGCGCGGCACGGGCAAAAGGGCACGGCTGAATTTCCCACGGATCTACGTTGAAAAAGCTGACGACGAAAATAAGCGGCCGCCACTCATCTCCACCCACCATGCAGCAGGACCCGTCCACGTCTTCTCCCACCGTTTCGTCTCCATCCTCCCGCAGCTCATCGTCGCCGCCGACATCCGTAAATAGGACTCCGCGCACCAATGCCACTAATACACTCGTTCTGGCTCAATTGCCAAAACAGTTTTTCGACCCAGTCGTGATGGCGGCTTTGCGCGAACATTTTGAGGCCGTCGCGCCTGTACACTCTTGGGCGCCTATACGAGCTTTCGGGCGGGTTATTCTTGTCTACCATGAAGAGGAGGCGGCGGAGGTGGCCAAGCTCAGTTGTGACGGTATCGTCATCGATGCGACGAGCTCAACGTACGTCCTCGTGTTTATCTCGCTCATTCATCTGACTCATTTTCAATATTCAGACCTCAATTTACACTACGAGTATTCCGCGCCGACCCTACACCCATCGACATGTCCGACGCCGACAAGCACCTCCACCCCCCAGCCATCGAGAAGAACTTCCTAATCTCACCACCCGGCTCCCCACCCATCGGCTGGGAACCAATCAAAGAAGACCCGCCCAACGCCACGCCGCTCGCCCAAGACCTCATCCACGCGCTCGAGAAACTGCAGCTCGCACAGGCGCAGGCTTCCGGCCCCGCGCTGGTGCACGAGAGCGAGGACGACGGCGTGGGGATCAGCGTTTATGTTGAGGACTGCGATTCGGGCGAACGGGCGCTGGCGGAGGAGCGGGATTGGGAGTATGGGATGAATAATCCTGGGAGGGAGGCGGTGTGGAGGCCGATGCCGACGGCGTTGCCGCCGATGGGGGCTTGAGTGCCCATCTTCTTACGATGTGAGCGTTTTCTCTGGACTTGGCTTGCGTGATGTATACATATCAGACCTGTTCTGCCATCTGCGTGGAGACAAACCGATATTGCCTATAATTTTTCTGATCCCTTTTTTTCTCGTCCTTGTCGTCTTCGGCGGAGAGTTCATTGCTAACTTGTACTTGCTTTTCGCAGATCTTTGACGAACTACGCTTTATACCGCCCTCACCATCATACAGGACTCACCTTCGGAACATACATGTATATCTAGTACACTCACGACACGGACTTTCTCATGCGCCTTCGCCTTCGGCATCATGTTGTAGTTTAGGAACCCATTCTTCGTGCCCATCGGAGCACGTCACTATATCTCAACCGTCGATTGTGCTATTGATCAGACTGAAGGAACAGAGCCATCGACCCTGACTTGAGGTAATGTTCGAGTCACGTTGCAAGCGTCAGCCTGTACGCTTGGGTAGACTCCTTCCCAGCGCTTGATAGCTCCAAGTACCGCTCAAGCGGGTGAGAAGGACTTCAAGAAGTCTGCCCAAGTGTACGTGCTGGCGCTTGCAACGTGACTCGAACATTACGTCCGTTGCCTAGCTGAATTGAATATTCGCTATACTGTTGTATACCCTGGGATTGTCTGTTGATGGGCCTCTGCCATGCATCGCACAGATCGAAGCCGCAGATATACTGTCTTTTTACTACCGTAAGTTTGTAACGCGTAACATCGGGCGCGGCACGAACTTCGGTAAGTAACGCGTGTTCAATGGCCATTCGAACCTGCGAGCAGTATGTACCGGCGGCCGAAGGATCGGTCGACGCTGCCGGGAGGCCATCATAGATCCCAGGGAGCTTTTTGAATGCCCGCGAAGTTCGATGTATGTCACGCTCGTCGGGGTCAATGAACCTTTTCCCAGCGAACTTATGGCGGGGTAACGCGTAACGCGCCAGACCGCCGAATTTACGGTCGAAAAAAGACAGTAACTGGAATAACGTATTTTCACGTGAGGCGTGCGAACAGACATGTGCCGGAAGAACCTTCCGAACGAAGCCGACCGCCTCTTCTCCTCTGCCACGATGGCGCCGTCAGACGATTGCCCTCTGAAGGCACTCATGTGTTCTCTGTCTGTATGGACTACGCATTACATGCTACGGTCCATCATGCGCTGAGGTGCTAGAGCGCAGTCACAGCTGGAAGATCTTTGGACCACACGCGTAGTACACGTGTCGTCCGTACAGTTGGGGCGTTCTTACTTGAGTACGTGAAAGCCAAGTTTGACAAGCACCCGCCCGTGGTATCAGAACTGCCAACCGGTGCAGAGATGAGCTGATGCGGTGCACGCATATCCTGCTCTCAACGTCCTCCACCAGGCGCCTGCCGCACCTTCGCTCTGTCGCGCATTGACCGAAGCTCGACATGGCGTCTCTTTCTGAACGCGCGCGCGAGGATGCTACGCTCTTACAGTCCCTCCTACGCTCTCGCGCCACAGCAATGCACACCTCTCCGCGTACGGGAAGCGAACCCTCGAGGAGCGTGAATGTGCCGACCCTGTCGACAAGGAGCGATGAATTCGCGGATTTGTGGGACAATGCGCTCGACAACTACTTTACGCGAACAGGCGTCAACCTCCGGGATCGTGATCAGGATTTGTATCGGCGTCTACAGGGCTGCTCCTCGTCAGACTCCGTCGTTCAAGTATTGGAGGACATTGCTCTTGATTTCAAGACATATCGGCAGGGTTCAGAACGGGCCAACAAAATCCGCTCTGCCTTGTCCTCCGTTGCTTACGGAATATCCGTTCTGGTGGAGGTGGGAGCGGAAAGCGCTGCTTCGAAGGTAGGGTCGAGCTTTTACAGTCCCCAGATCCTGATATGCTAATTGTTCGGTTCTGTAGTCTTTCCCAGGCGGCAAGGCCATCTTCGTGGCCATTGCGATTCTCATCAAGGTACGATCACGCACCTACACCGATATGCACGGACAACTCACCTAACACCGCTCAGGCAACTCAGGGCGTCAGTCAACGCTTCGATGCACTGGTCGCAATCTTGGAGAAGTTCGGTTTCTATCTATCCCGTCTACCCATTCGCATGGACATTGGGCTTGGCACTGAATCGCGCCGCCTCACCATCCAGTTGCTTTCGAAGATGGTGCACACGTTTGCTTTAGCTACAGAGACGATGAAGAAGAGTCGCACGCGTATGTCCCTCTGCTATTGGTAATCCATATGCATCCAATAACCATTCTTGATCTCAAACAGATCACTTCATCAACGTCTTCCTCAACAAGAATGACGAGACCCACGACCTTACACAGAGCGTGGGAGTTCTAGTTGAAGAAGACGCGCGTCTGGGGCTTGTTGAGATGCATCGCGCTGTTAGCCATCTATCCGACAAGATGGATAGTTTGCTTGCACATGCATACAGTTACTCGGAGCGTCAGCCAGAATCAACTCTCTTGGATCTTCAAGATGAACTCGCCAGCGTCAAGGAGATCACCCGAACCGGATTTGCCACATTAACCGCGCATATGCCGCTAGCAACCGGCTCTCGAGAAGAGGCACGTCCGCCAACGACTCGTTCGATACCGAACTCTGTGTCACCATTCTTCACGACTTGGGAGGAAAGGACATCCCTCGCCAGTACAATTGAGGATGGTGCGTCCAACATGGCAATGTGAAGATCTGTAGATGTACTCACAGAGTACTAGGTCTGGATGACTGTGTCACTCCGGTCCAGCGACAGTCTTCTGCAGAAATAGACCGAATGGCAGGTGGATCGCAACCCCACGTGTTGTATCCGGATGTGGAGCTGACGATCTGTAGAGCGTATACGAGCCTTGGAGCTAGCACAGGACAGCATACACGAACAATTGGCGCAGAAAGAAGGCAAGTGTTTGAGAACTGAATCTCCTCTGAACACCTCTGTCTGACACGCGATTCTGGACGCATCGATATAGGTTCCTCGTGGGAATGGAAATTATGGGCACGAATGTCGTTGTTGAAACCGGCTCTTCTCACCAGGATGGTCAACGAACTACACGCCACCTTCCGTGATCTGACGCCAGATGACAGAGCGGCCCTTAGAGAGGGAATTGCCGCGCTGTACGCCGCCGTGAATATGACGGTCACTGGTGCCGCCGACGGAGGCACCACAATTACTGCCTGGTTCGCTGTGTTGCTGAACCCGGGGGCCGTCTTCACCGCGTTTTTACCGCTGGCGGCGGCTTATACTGTTGCCTACCTCGGCTGGCAGCGTGTGCACTCATCATCGTCGGTAACTAATCTGCGCAGACTACACGATCCTCGCATGGACACGATCATACTCATCGACGTCCTGGGTGTGCACATGCTTTTACCATTGGATAGAGTCGGTACATGGATGGTACGTGTACCACAATCATGTGTCATGTGCTATGTGTCTCTCATCGTCACCAATCAGGAGCTGCATGCCCTTCTCGTCCATCACTTTACCAACCGAGAAGGTGTCGAATACGTCAGAAACCAAGCGTATATGATCATGCATCCGCATGGGGACTCCGTTATACGGCCAAACTCTTGGACGCGCATCATAAGAGGTGGCCTGACACTTGAGATGAGCATCGTGCTACGACGGAGGTTTCTCGATTGTCCTTACTGTGGTACTGCAGCTCATCGACCTCTCGAGGGCCGAACTGAATGGTCCGTATACCCTTCTAAGTACTTGATGACATGCTAAACTAACAGACCTCAATGTAGCGTGAGTTGCCATCGCCAGTACTGGGCGACCAATGCGGATACGTCCGATCCGGACGGCAATCAGATGAAAGAGCCTGGGTAGGAAAAGAGTTATCCTCGGCGATGGAGGTCAACGCTCAATGCATCATAGCGCTTCTCCTCTTGGCTCCCCCAATGAACCGCTTTCGGCTCTCTCGAAGGATGCCAGTCCCGTCTCTGACGGAAGTCTCGACTCCCCAAACTCACCAGGTTTTGATTCATTCCGGAGAATCACCGTACTTCACGCTGCGGCCGTACGACTGCCCGCGGACGCACCGTCCACTGAAGGATCACTCCACGTTCAGTCACCCGTACCGATTCCTGCTCCTTCAGTCATCCCATCGAGTGAGGTGCCAAGAAGCCCCGTCTTCGATCACGCGAAAGAAAGGCCCCCATCCCGCCCGATCAGTCCTATCACGCACCGTCTAGCGACCCATTCTTACCCCGTCGCGTCATCCTCGCTTCCTCCTGAGACTGTTGTGATCCCGCCTAGGGTCAAGATTGCACCACTTCCAAACCGACGCAGAGAAGAATTGAGGTCACGGTCGCGTTCTCCCTTGAGTCGGGCGTCTTCGTCGACGCCAACACGAACGGAGCCCAGATCCCCCAACGACAAAAGTCACCCGTATGGTGCCGAACTAGATCGCGAGTTAATGAGCAACCATCTTGCTCGAGTCTGGCCTCAAGGCCTTCACCCGCCGCGCAGTCGGCGCTCGAGTATGCGAAGTAGCACCTCCAGGGCTACTGATGATGACGGGGACACTACGTCGGGTATGAGGAGAAGAAGGACGAGCCCGAAATCACGCGCTGGCGATGCGCCTAGCCACTCGAAGAGTGGAAGGATGGGTAGCCTTACTCCTACCGTCGCTATGACTGGCGCTCCGGATCCCCTGAAACGAAATATCGGACCGGACAAGGCCATTGCCAAGGGGAAACAGGATGGTGGACAAGAAGGATACACCAGCAACACTAGCGCAACAGAAAGCTCGGAACAGTATTACACCCCGCCGGAAGGGAATGTAACATCGTCAAGTTGAGCTGAGATTCACGAAGACAAGCGGGCTTTGAAATGTAGTATGGACTCATGTATTCTTATCATAGTTCTTTGAGTATGCATGAGTATGCAGACGAACGAGCGGTTATGGAGACAGCGGCGATGTCACGCTGTCACATGAGCTATAGTATCTTCCAAGATTGCATTGGCATACAGTTCTTGCTTCACTTCTACCACATCGTGTTCTCGGTCGGCTTGCGATCGAGGCATATGCTCAACTCCCAGTCTCCCGTCCGTCTCGCCCATCGATAGGTACGACTTGAATCCACAACATACAGATCGTTCGTTGGTCGCGGCAGCAACTCCCTGAAGTTTGCCCCGTCGTCCTGCTCAAGAAGGCTGGACTGGATGGACCTAGTGCGATCGTGTACCTTCACCCTCGACCCGTTGAGCCCGCCGTCAACGTGGATGAGAAAGACTTTGTCGCCATGGACGTTCTTCGGCGGCTCGCCACGCAGCACACGATCGAGGCGCCGTTTATGGTTTAGTAGAGTCGTGTTCATGTCAATTGACTGAGGGTAGTACTCTTCTCCATTCCAGGTCTCGGTGTCACACAAATGGAAGGTCATCCATCTACCGTCGCGGACAGATTGACAAACAGCTTTGTGATCCTTCCAATGCTCTTTCTGGCAGTCTGCGAGCAGATATGGTAAGCAGATGTAACAGATCAGATGAAGGCAGAGTTCGCACCAGGGCTGCAATACCTCTCCGAGAGGCAAGCGGAGCAACGTGTGGTTTGTAACTTGCCGCATACGATGCAGCCGGCATTGTGTGCAATCATGCCCAGTTGTAGTGAATGCAGAGGTGAGAGAGGGAGAAGGAAGCTCAGGGTGAAGTCCTTGTCTGTTCTATGCTGAACAGGCCAGTACTCAGGCGCTAATCTAGCGGAGTTGCGGAATAGAAGACGGCGGATCAACAGTTGGTGATCCAGACTGCACTCGACATCCACAACCGTTTTCCTCTTTGCATTAGATTGAAGAAGGCTTCTCAGAACGGCGACGGCAGGCCCATTGACGTCTCTGAAGATCACAGAGACGAGCGGTACGGCCACTTTAAGGTTGTAAACACCCAAAACCTTCAGAATTATTCAGACATCTATCATCGCGCTCGTGTGTGTGAAACCTACCCGTAAACCTATGGCGGCTTGTTGATCAGTGTCATGTAAGATGAACGTGTCCGCGCCAGAAGTGTATCGATCTGCTATGGTAAAGACCTGCGAGAATGTAGCAGTGGGTGGTAACATCACAAATGGCGCACATACCATCTTATGTATCTGCCCAATGACTGTGTTCTCATCGGTTGGGCGTTTCGTCAAGAGTGCCTCCAGGGCCATAGACATCATGTCGGTCTCCCCAGAGACAGCTTCATGAACATCATCCCTGCCCTGCGATCGATCAGAGTGAGATCATCGATAACATACAAGAAAACTCACAGTCCACAGCGGTAGATCAGCAGGGGCGAGCGGTATCATATCCGTGAAGAGCACGAAGTGCTGCAAGTAGTCCAATGTTAACACGAGTTTCTTCTCAAGAGCTGGCGTGATAAGCTTCTCGAACTCCGGGAACTCAACGCCCGATACGCGCAGCAGATGAAGTAGGCGATCAGGATCCCCGACCTTCCCGGAGTCGCGCTTCTTAGCGTTGGCCTTCACGAGCTTCTCCCAGTTGAAGCACTTGGGGCAATTAGGGGTATTGTGGTCCTTGCAGGAGGCCAAGAACTTGATGGTGTTACCGCCACTACGCTGTTTATCCATGCAAATGGAGAAGCTGCCTGCAATTGATAATGCTTTGCGGTAGTCCTGGGAACAACGTTAGCGGGAGGAACAGTTGTCAACCACAGGCGGAGGTAACGCACGGCGTCGGGAACCTTGTCGGGGGTGCCATCATTGAATGCGCGCGAATCCAGTACGCACGTCCTGCAATACTCGTGGCCGTGATAGCAAAAAGCCCATTTGTTCGCGACAACGACTTTTCGGCCATCCATTTGGTGAGTATGCGTGATTCCGATTGAGCTCATCGGTGTTTATGAAAGGAAAGATGTAGGTTACTGAACGAGCGACCTTGCTTGGCTCGTGTTATTACAGAGGGTGTGAGTCCCAGAAATGGCGTACGAAACGAGAAGCCTGCAGGGTAAGGTGAGCGGACAACGAACGTCTTGGTGGTTGGCAGCATGCAACGCGCTAGATTGGGTTCGAACTCGCGTCTGGCAAGCACGGGCCGGAGGCCCGATCCGGGCCACAGCCCGCTTCGAGTGAAACTCGCGTTTGACCGTCATCGGCATCGGGTGCACATACCAAGGACGCCTATTCCGATCCAGCTCTGACGTACTTCTATGGAACATGCTGATATGCTCGAGCGACCTGAGTCGAAGCCGTCTGAGGCTGTTGGGACGGCGAATGTGGAGATGAATGAGGAAGAGTGCGTCTCTGCAAAATGACGTATGATAAGACTTGGCATCTTACCAACATCTACACCCAGTGCAACTTCAGACATCTTCTGGCTAGCAGCTCGCGAGGCGAGGGAGGCTCAGTGTACCTCTACGCGTGCCGCCTGGGCCAATGAAGTGAAGGCGATGGCTATACAACTATCCGCCGCGAGGTCACGATTAAACGCCTTTTCTCCAGTCTCCGCGCTCCCCGATGAGGTCCTTGCTCGCATTTTTGAGCTGTTGGCCTCTGTCTTCCCTATCAGAGCTCGACACAGGAGATGGGGCTGGGTCGGGGTTACGCATGTCAGCCGACGCTTTCGAGCGGCGGCTGTGGGCCATGCTTTGCTCTGGGCTACACTCTCCGTCGACGGTCAGACACCTTGGGACCTATTCCTTTCCCGAGCTCGAGAAGCGCCACTTCATATTCACGGCACTATTGCGACGCCAGGTCAATCTCATTACTACGCTAGTCGCACACTTCAAGTTATCAAGCGCGTACGCACTATCCGTGTCGAGGATATCCCACCTATCACTGGTCGCGACTGGCAAAATATACTGCGAACCGAGGCTCCAGAGCTGCAGAGCCTCGACCTCACGATACCCTCAACGGACGAGTCCGAGCATGATACGCACGACCCCTCCAACGACGAGCTTGGATCCATGATAATGGACAAGTCGTTCCTTACTCATGACGCGCCCAAGCTACGGAAGCTCGGTCTTAGTGGCGTAGAGATTCAGTGGAGTCTTGATACCCCGATCGCTCTTACGTCTCTCGCGCTTGATGGCTTCGGTACTGCTACGCAGTTCTTCCTTCAAGATGTCTTGCGAAACCTGGAGTCCCTTCCTTCTCTAGAGCATCTAGCTTTGAGCAACATTCTACGAGGCGGGCCAACGTCACATGTGATCAAAACACGCGTTGGCGTGACCCATCTACGCTCCTTGCTACTCGCTGAACTTGACGGTCGCTGCTTGAACTTGTGGTCATCCTTGGATCTTCCTCCAACCTGCTCTGTCCGCATCGAGATGGAAGGGCTCGAGGTACCCGGAGCGGCGGTCTGGAAGGATATGATGATCAATAGGGCCAATTCCCAGCATACTACTTACCGCAGAGTCCGGTTTGAATACCCCGATTTTGTCAGCGACTTTGAACCTCGTGATGGATTACAGGTCACTCTTTACACCACAGGCGATGTCGAAGATGCAGAGCCCGGTTCGCTCTCGCTCGATGGAACATCACACGTCGACGCGCGCCCAAGACTCACGTTTCTGTTCAATCTCGAAATTTTCGAAGGAGAGTTGGAACTATTCTACGATCTTTTCGAGCTTTCTTCGACCAACTGGGAAGGCGTAACCTTCAGTAATGTGCACGCATTGGATCCTGAACAGATGTTACTCAATATGCGCTGCGTGAGCAGCCTACTCGGTCACTTCGGCACTTTCGAGGTTATGGAAGTGCATGGGCGGTCAAGCAATCTATCTGCGTTCGATTATTCCCAACTCGAGCAAGCGTTCTTCACGTGCTTGCTTGACGAGCTCTTGCCCAGAAGCGCACCTTCGCCAGCGACTGGTCCTTGCGTTGTCCGGTTCTTCCCCAAGATTCATACCTTGTCGTTGAGCCGCGCACATATGGAAGAAGTGTTCTTCTACAATCAACGAGAGCGATTGTACGACGCCGTCAGCGAGGCGCTTCGATGCCGTTACTTCGCGGATGCGCCCATTCACACTATCAAGCTGTACAAGACGAAAACCCGGGACGCCTGGATCGAGATGTGGGAGAATTATGTCGATGAAGTTCAGCACAATACGTGCGACGACTCGGTGGCATCATGCAGCGATGATGATGACGATAGTGACAGCGACGGGACGTCTAGTTTCGAAGGATCGGGCGAGACCAGTGAGGACTCAGAAGCCGAATGGGTTGACGACGAGAACGACTTGGAGGACGAAGAGACGGTTTGATAAGATGATTATCGTAGTTGAATCACTGTATTCTCGCCAGATGTTTCATCATGTACGTATGCACCAGCTTCGCCTCCGCTGCTCTGACGAATAGCCTTAGCACAGTACTGTTCTTCACAACCTCTCGTTAGTAACCCTCTCTTCACGCGATCTTCGCTATTCATCGTAAAATCAGAATAAAATGCTCTGCCATCGCATCGTATACAGCGTGGTAGATGACTAGAACATCCGCAAACACAGTCCCCGAACCTCGCGCACACCCTCCAGTGCTCCCCTACGCGCCATCACCGTTGATAGCAGCAAGCTCCTTCCTGATCTCCGCCTCGCTCTCGATCTTCTTGAGCTGCGTAGCCTCAAGCCGCTCCCCGCGCGCCTGCTTCTCCTTGAGCTCGTCGATCGCCTTGAGCTGTACGTCGTATCAGCACCTCTATCGACTCTACGCTCACACAACGAAAGAGCATACCTTCTTGTTCAAGTTGCGAAGCTTCTTAGCAGCAGGATCCAACGACGCCTCGCCCCCAGCCGGCTCAATCTCAGCCGTCTTCACCGGCTCAGCAGCAGCAGCCGCTTTAGCCTGCCCATTCCCATTCGCCGCGCCATTGCCATTCGCATTAGGGTTCGCGCTAGCGCGCGGCGGCTTCTCCCTCCGCTTCTTCTTCTCCTTATTGTCCGGACCCGGACTGGGGCTGTGCGCCGCGCCGGGCACGAACCTCCTCCCTCCGCTTCCCGGTGCGGGACTACGCGGGCTACGAGGAGTGTTGGCACCAGAAGGCGGTCCAGAGCCATCGTCACGCGCGTATGCGGACGAGGCGGTTGTTCCACGTGCGCCAGGCGGGCGGTAAGCGCCGCCTGCCTTAAGCGGCGCGGGTTTAGCTTGGGCGAGGTAATCGGTGGCCGCTTGCGATGGTGCGGGCGGCTGAGGGATGGCTTGCGGGAAGCCTGGTGCGGAGTCGACGGGTGTAGGGCGCCATGAGGTTTGGTACAGCTCGTCGATCATTTGGACGTGTAAGAGCGCGCCGAGGGCGTGCCAGAGCTTGATCCCGTTGTCGACGCGCAAGCGCGGGGAGAGCGTTGCGGTCAACAACGTGCGACCGTCGGGCGACCACTCGCAGTGCGAGGTGTTGGCTGCGTCGATGGTCGCCACGCGCGTTAGGGAGCGGCGGTCGAAGATGTTCATCTCGCCTGCTAAGTTGCCGAAGCCGGCGAGGGCGATGAGACGGCCTTGGGGGTTGAAGGAGAGGTAGTTGTAGAAGCCCGTGCCGAAGTCGTGTAATGTGCGCACGCGACCGTCGAAAAGCATGGCTTTGGCTGGCATGTAGCCGTACACGACGCCAAACTCGCGGCTACCAGGAGCCCAAGCGAAGTCATGTACAGGACCCTCCTTGTCGAGTTGCACACGACAGTCGAAGTTGCCTGCAGCTGAGAGCAAGTAGAGACCAGTCTGGCCATAGTAAGACTTGTTGGTGGCATCGACGTCGGTGTGGGTTAGAACAAGGACTTGGGTACCCAAAGCGTTCCATTTGATGGTGGCCTTCTCAGCCTTGAAGAATGTCTTCTGGCTGCTGGGCGGTGATCCAGGCGTCAGAAGCGAATAGACTCTGACGCTCGCAGGCTGACCCTTCTTTTCGGGAATAAAGACGGCGAGCGAAGGGTTCAGCCCGGGCGAGAGCACAGCCTGTGTAGCGCCCTCGACGCGGATCTTGTCGATCACGCCTTTGGACCAGTCGACAGGGCTAAACACCTGCACCTCCGCGCCGACAAGACGCACAGCGTGAGACTCTGTGATGGTGTACTGCACATCCCAGCCGTCCTGCGCCTTCTGGGTGAGCGCCAGGAGTTGCTCGCCGGTCGATGCCGAGAATATACGGTGGTTCTTGTGTTGCTCGCCCTCGGCCAGCTTCTGCGGGCGCTCCCACGTGCTCAGGTAAGTGCCACGCGGGGAAAAGGCGATCTCGACGATGTTCGGCAGGGGCAAGTCCTGGAGCAGGTGCGCATTCTCCGCCTGGAAGATCTGCACCTTGTCCGGGAGCGCGATGGCGAATAGGCGCCCGTCGGGCGAGTAGGTGAACGTCCTAGTCGGGGCCGATGGCGCTTCGAAGCCGTCGACGGCCTTGTACGACGGCGCGCCGCTCACGAGCCCCGTCGACTTTTGTGCCCTGACTGAATACCAACAAAGGGATCTGAATTAGCATCTGGATCGTGCGAAACGCTACAAGATCGATCTGAGATATAAATAAATATACACGTACAGGCGAACTGCGATACGAAGGCCATTTTAGGGCTCTAAGGGGAAACGAAACAAGTTAATGCTTCGGGTGAGCGGCGTGGAATTGCCAGATGGGCGCGGGATGCAAGGCTCGAAGCCTGTCGTGAGCCGGCGGAGGCCAGTTTTCGACGCGTTACGGCCGCGCGGTTACGTGCGGTTACTATATCCGGTAATAAAGCCGATCATGTTCCGACGGACAAGTCGAGTCTCTCGTCTCCTCGCGCCACCATGTCCGTCGTCGACCCTCTCAACGCTCTACGCGCGGCCGTCAAGGAAAAGTTCCAAATAGTACCCGTCGAAGCCTACAATGCGCCCGCACCCACTCTGCGCGAAGCTACCCACTTACGACTCAGCGACACTCTGACGCTTCAAAAGACGCAACCTACCCGCCTCCGCCGTGCAGCAGGCTCGAAGGCGCTTAACCCCGAGCACCAACCGGACGACTTCTTCACACTCGAAGCCGTATACCTGGCATGGTCCCTCCGCGATGCAAGTGGTGCCGAATATATGAAACAAGCCCGTGACCTCGTCTTCGTCGGTGTCACCGAGCGCAAGCACGTCGCAGACTGGGTCGACGGCAAAATCCCAGACTACGACCGTATCGTCCCCTTAGCAGGCGCATCGACCACACCACCCGGCTCCCCCGGCCCGCAAGCGTACTTCAGACAGCTCGACGCCTCCGCCACAGCGTCTTCGGCGCCTACTGGTGCTGAACCGGCATCGCGCGCGGGCGCTCAGGCGGGCGAGAAGCGCCGACACGTGCCGGACGCCGCGGACGTTGAAGCTGTCAAACGCATCCGGCACCAGCAAGTCGATCTCCGGGACCGCAACACGGTCCTGCGCGGCCCGAAGCCGACGAACTTCGCCACGCTGCGCGACTCGTACGCTCAGAAGCTCAAAGCTCTGCGCGACCCTAAGCGCTCGGGCGCTTCGGGTCCCACGAGCGCGCCTACGACTCCGGACCCGAAGCAGCGCGCGCAGAAGCAGAGGGCGCAGCATCCGATTATTATTATCTCGTCGTCGCCGACGTCGCTCATCACGATGCACAACGTCCGCGCGTTCCTCGAAGACGCGACGTTCGAAGCGCCCGCCGAAGCGCGCGCTAAAGCCCAGTCACGTCCGGAAGACGTCATCCCCATATACCGCACGCGTACTTCTGTCGATAGTGCGGGTCGCGAAAGCTCACACCGCGCGAGATATATGGTCGTGGACTCTGTCGAGGCGTTGAACAAGTTCGGGCCGGACTCCTGGGACCGCGTCGTTTGCGTGATGACGACGGGACAGAGCTGGCAGTTCAGGCCGTACAAGTGGAGTGAGCCCAGGACGCTGTTTCATCATGTCAAGGGGGTGTATGTCGCTTGGGCGAACGACCCGCCGAATCCGAGGATCAAGGATTGGAACGTCACGGAACTCAAAGTATGTTACTTATGATATTCTATGATGGAGTTAAGGCGCTGACGGTGATGACTGCTAGATTGACCCTCATAGGCGACATGTCGACAAGAGTACTGTGGCGCACTTTTGGAAGATGTTGGATGATTGGACGATGCAGCACAAGCCTGGTTTGATGTCTTGAGGATGTACACTATGACGTTTTGCTCTTGCTATCATCGCTTGTCTCTGTAGCGTGTCCGACTCTGTCCTGCCTGCTTCGAAGAGCTTCAACTTACCTGAAGACACGCGCGTCGCATGAAGTACTCACTGGTAGAACCTGAGATCGGATCGTTTACCCGCGTCGCACGCTAAGCCCCTTCACCTACGCCCCTTCATCAATGCCCCTTCACTCGCACCTCTGCAACCGACCACCAGGATCTACCTACCAGGCAGCTCGCGATACGCAGCATCCCAACTCTTTTCCTCAGCCGTTTCACTCCGCTTTCGATCCTTTTCCACTGATACTCGAAGTCCGGAGACATCCAGCTCCCTCAAACAAAGGCGCGACCAATGAGTTTGATACAAATCACGCTTTCGCATGGAGACAAAGGCGTCGTCATAGTGCTCAACGGGTGGACTTTCTGCGCTCATGGCCACGAATGCTGCGGTGTGTGCAAGCTGGACACGCGCTTACACAACGACGGAATCGCTCAGAACGTCAAGGCTCCGGGTCCTGTGCGTTGCATCTCTCTCTGCCGCTCATCTTTCCATATTAATGACTATCTTGATAGGATCACCGTCAAGGTCTATCCGTAGCCGGACGATTCGCCGCCCACAGGAGCGGTCAGCGCGGAGTCGCCTTCCACTGCAAAGAGCATAGCACGCAAGACTGCGCGAAGTGCTTCAACTGGAATAAACTCGTCAAAGCAAACGCCAAGAAGCGCAACTCGGGCAAAGTCGAAAATCGCGACCGGCTCCTCCAACTGCTGCGTGCTTTGGGTGTCGACTTCGCGGAGTTCAAGAAGCTCGTTACGCCGGCGCTGGAGAAGAAGCTCACGATGGCGCTCGACTATGCGCAGAAGCTCGTGTTGTTCTCTGATGGTATACCTCTCCTCCCCACCATGCTGCCGCTCTGGACGGTGAGTACTCTTACGTGCATCCTACAAGAGTAGTCTGAGCGACCAAAGGCTGAGGACAACTCGCGCGAATTCGACCCAGACAAAGGCGACATGACTGTTCAGGATATCCTCCTGTCGATACGCTTTCTTGGTGATCCAGTGGATATCGAACAACTCCGGGAGACGGTAGGTACAGCATTTTACATGTGTATCGCAATACTGACTCGTGCGTAGGTTCTTGCTATAGCGAAGCACTACACGTCTGGCGCAGACACCTTCATCTTACAGGACGCAAACAAAGAAGCAGCTATTGGCATGCGGGTACGTTTCACGCCTATGCGCACGTGAGGCTGACCTGTTGAATATTCTCCAAGGTTCTGGGTGTTTACAAACTCAATGGAGCTATGCCGCTCATCACCGTCGTCTTCAAGGACGTCGCCGGACCAGCCATACCCGTATTGAAGGGCCTAATGCAGTCCGGCGCAAAAGAGCGTACAGTAGAGGAGATCGCCTGTACTCCGGATCACCAACTCTTGATCCGCCGTCTTCTGTTCCGCAACTCTGCCAGGCTTTCGCCCGAGTACTCTCCCGCCCAACATAGGGCCGAGAAGGACTTCACCCTGAGCTTCATTGTACCTCTGTCGTCGTTGCACAAGTCGCATCTGGGCATGATTGCCCACAACGCCGGATGCGTTGTGTGCGGTAAGCTGCAGACGAACCGCTGCTCCGCTTGCCTCTCGGAGCGGTACTGTGGCGCCGGTGCGTACCTCGAGAGCTCTCCGGATGAACTTGCATCTGAGTTCTGTGGTTCTTCAGAATGCCAGAACGAGCATTGGCAAGAGCACAAGACCGTCTGCCGCTCAGTCCGCGACGGGAAGTGGATGGCCTTCCGCTTCAGCGATGCCGACATCATGATGGACGGCAGTCGGCGCTACACCCACATCGCCGAACCGAACATGTCGCCCATGAACCAGAAGCGGCAGGCACAACGCGCAAGGAGCGGCGAGCCGCCCGAGAACATACACGGCGACAAGGTGTTTCTCATTAATCTGCTTGACGGCGGGGTCACTGGGACGCGCATCGAAATCCACGACCGGACCGCGTCCATTCGATCTCATATACACAAGGAGGATAATGGAGAACACATTCACGAGCTGCTCCCGGAAAGTGACGACTGGTATCATATGTATCGATGGGCGAAACGGACTGGGGACTGGGAGTTGAGCATATGCCTCGATCGCAAGCCGTCTGAGAATCCACTCTGGTAGACGGACGGTGGGTCTGGCAGTTCAAGTTTTCTCTGCATGAGCTTATTTCGGCTGTAAGTACGTAGCTTCAGTCTGCCGCGGGTATCTTCAAGATCCGAAGAGGATTACTCTCGAGTGTAGCTCATCGAATGTTATCCGTTTTCCGTTCAAATAAGTACTATCATTGGTGCAATGTACTAGAATACTCTGAAAATAATGCATAGCTTGAGATGACTGTCCGTCTCGCGCTCTCCTCACTCCTCATCATCGTCCTCTTCGTCTTCGTCTTCCCCCCATTGTTCCGAGTCGTCCTCGCTCAACAGTCGTGAAAGTGACTCTGTCTCAGACGTCTCGTCGGAGCTCTCGTTATTTGGGTCTCCGTATTCAAAGCACGTCTCGTCGCAGTGAACCTCATCTACATAGTTCTCCCATGGCTGTATCCATGAATCGTCGACTACGGTGCCAGAGATCTTGACAGTACGGATAGCGATGTCCGCGAAGTAGCGGCGCCGCAACATTTCGCATAGTGTGTCGCACAATCTATCGTTGCTGCCTCTGCCGCGGTCGTCGATGAACCTCTGTCGTAGATGGACGTTGCGCAGCGATAACGAGCGTACACTCGGAAGAGCATATCCCGTAGATGGATGCTTATCCAGCAAAGCGCAATAGTACACCTGTACGAACTCCTGGAACACGGTTGACGAACGTCTGGAGTCGTACCACCCACATATCTCCACGCTTTCAAGGGTAGTAACGCGAGTGAGCAGAGTGGTCACACATTCCATAGAAAAGGCGCCCTTTAGGTGTAGTCGCCCATGGTGGAAATCGGTTGGCGATGCAACGCCGGAGAGGTCGCGGAATGGTTGGGCTGGTCCGGAAAAGAGAAACGCAAATGTGAGCGTGGCGTCGTCATCGGTGTCGTGCGGTTCGTCAGAGTAACGCAATCCAGCGATTGTACTCTCGTCCAAGACAACAGAAGATACCGTGAACTGGATCACTTCGTGGTCGTCCATCCATTGCGCGCCCGTGGCAGGGTCTTCGAACCGGACATGGCGGTACGGGTTCTTCTGACGCTTCGCAAGCTGTTCGAGGAGCAACTCTTTCCATGTGGTCGCTCCTACGCTGTCGAGCTCAGCGGCCCCAATGCGGATGGAGCAGGTAGAAGGGACATCAAGGGATGCCCATAAGCCCAGACAACGTCCATCGGGCTCAGCGGACGATAAGGATCGAAGGTGTGGCATGCTGACCCGCGCGTCGACGTCGCGCCTGGTCGACGGCGGAAGGATGTTCTTCAAGGCTAAGTGCTGTAGCAAGGGCATATTCCGCAAGCAGCCTAGTACGCTCGAAAACACGAGATGGGGAGGATTGCGGCGGACAGAACCGTGGAGTGATAGAGATCTGAGCGCGATCGGTGCGTTCAGCTTCCAACACATCCGTATGCCCGCAAGACTAAGACTCGTCAAGTTTGGGGCGTTCTTGGTAAGGAACTGGGGACGCATGTGTTGAGGTACGTTCTCAGCGCGTTCGGCCTCGTCAGAGTCACTCCAGTCGCTCGGGTCATCGTCCATATCCAAGCCCAACGACAGGGTCTGTAGCTTTGGTGCCACGCTTCGCAGTATGCCATGCCATTCGTAGGCTTCGGGTATGACGTTGCTGACTTCTATAGCCTGCATACGCTCTATGTTCTGCAGCGTGAGTGCAGCATAGAGTTGTGATTGCTGATCCGTCTGGATTTCGCCATGAACGGAAAGGAGCGTTCCCCGAGCTCGAGGAAGGAAGAGATTCCATGGGGTTTGGCCGTCAACGGAGAGCCTCGACCACAGCGAGGCATGGCCAATGGCCACAGCACGAAAGCGCCGACTGACGTGCGTGATACAGGCCCAGCCCCATCGGCGTCTCAAGGCTCTGATGGGATCTAGAGTGGCAAGTAGTTCAAAGATGCGAGCAAGTATCTCGGTGGGGAGTGCGTAGATTGGACTGAAGTCGTTTAAGCGCAGCTTTGCAGCAAGCAGTTGAGCGTCCATCGCCTCGACTTCGTTCCTCCAAGTGTCCCGTGAGGAAGAAAAGCGCGCCTCTCTCGCTGTACGAGCAGCCAGCCAGAAGTTGGCAGCAACTGCCCTGGTTATAAATATTGATCAGACACTCAAGCTTGTCATATATCGTTTTGCAGAAGCGTACTCTTCTGCATTGATTTTCATCCTTGATCTTCCGACACCCTTGGGCGGTACCGAACCGTGTGGATTTGACATAACTGTACCTCCTGGAGGCAGTAGTGATGGTCAAGCGCACGTTCGGTTCGGCGCGACATCTCCGTGAGATCCATTCAACCCTGCACGCCGACAACAGCCTGCAGTTGCAAGTGACGCACGCTTGGCGTGAGGTTGATTACATCTTCAAATAATTCGCCTCAATATATCGTTGTTTGGGAAATCATGTAGACCAAGAAAAGTGGAATATCAATGGCGCAAAAGGTTTGTGAAGGGCACGGCGAACCTGCGCGACAGACGACTTCGAACTGATCTCCTGCGACTAACTGGGCGGGGACTACAGACTGCGGAATTGCTTCCCTGGTCCGATAAGTCCCGATTACTCCGGGCTCTACCACGGCTTCAGCCGCGAGGAGCGTAGGACACCCAAGTTTTCTGGAGGGTTCGGTCTTGAACTCAGCGCACAAGCACGTTGACCGTTGAGGGATACACCACCTCACATTCCCGGTTTAGGGCCATTACAGCCACTGCGCCAAGGAGCGTTGCTGTTCTTTATTTGCATGGCAATAGGTTCCAACGAAAGTTGAAAAAGTTGTGAACCTGCCCGCCAGTCCCTTCCGCGCTTGTTTCCAACCATCGCCTATGTCTGACATTCAGGCCGAAAAGCTTCATCGCATCCGCCGTGCACACGCGTCGTCGATCTCGTCTAAACATCTATGCAATACTCTGATTCCATGATGACCACGCCTGCACGCATACCTCGCGGATGGTCCACAAATCATAGCGCAACGAGCGCAATGATTTGAAGCCTTGAGCGCCGGCACGACTTGAGTGCATATAGCATTTGTGTGTACCAACTTCTGCATACCCACAGCGACTGTTGACCGTCTCAGCCCGGATCGTAGTTTCGCCTAACCCTTCAGAACCCTTCACGCCGCCGAGGATGCTATAAAGATTGACCGCGTGCGCAAGGCGGCATCTTTCTAGCAATATGCTCTCACCCGTTCACCCTTCGGGGGTTAGAACCTCACGGTCTTTACTGTTCACTTGGGGTCTCCTGGCGAGCTACCTCCTACCGCAGGCGTTGGCTCTTCCTCTCCTGGGAGCTCGACAGGCGCAGAGCGTCTTCCCTGAATCACCGCAGAGTGCTGTGCCTCAACAGTCACAGAGCGAATGGCCGTACAGCGCTTCATCTACTCAACCAGCGAGTGATGCGCCGAGGTGTGTTGGCCAATACTACTAAATGAAATATGTCGCTCAACCACGAGTAGTACCGCCTTTCCCTTCGTCATCGATGCACTGACGGAGACCATCTTCGTGACGGCGACACCTTCGCCTACGACAACAACTTCCGACGCAGGGCCGATAGTGACGATCACATATACGATCGTGCCCACACCCATACCCTCCCCCACGTCCTCACCTTCGCCAGCATTCTCGTCGGCCCTTCCGCTCCGTGGCCCCCAGCTCATCCCAGTTCTTTCATCTTCATCCTCCTCTCCTGCGTCACCCACAACGTGGAGCGTTCCTCCGCGGTACACGAACTTTGACTCCTTCTCCGTGACGCACTACGCCGGTGGTCAATCCAACATGGAGATTGTGACTGCCGCGGCATCTCCAACTGCCTCGGCTCGTTCGGTCGCCAGGAGGTCACCCGAAGACTCTGTGTCGACCTCGGCCGCAAACACCAACCAGTCTCAAGACCTTTCTATCCTGCGGGTGCTTTACCCCGAAGGCTCGATCAACCCCGCCAATCGTCCGCAAGGAGGTGCCCAGTTCTACGCCAATCCACTGGACATCACGGAGGCACGGAGTGTCACCCTTGAGTACGACGTCTACTTTCCGGCTGACTTTGAGTTCGTGCTCGGCGGCAAGCTGCCGGGCTTGTTCGGAGGGAAGGAGTCTTGCTCGGGTGGCGACGCGGCACTGGATTGCTTCAGCACGCGCCTAATGTGGCGTGAGGAGGGTGCGGGCGAGCTCTACCTGGTATGTCTGCGATGGTTGGCTGTTGTGATGTCGTATTCATGCACATTTCCCCGCAGTATGCCCCGAAGGATAAGCAGACGAAGGAGTTGTGTTCCTTACCGCCCGAGTCGGTGTGCGAGTCGTCCTATGGACTCTCCATCGCGCGTGGCTCATTCAATTGGACGCGCGGTGGCTGGACGCACGTCGCACAAACAGTCGTGTTGAACACGCCCGGCAGGCAGGATGGCGAGTTCCGGCTTGATGTGAACGGCGCGCCCGTCATCAATCGCAGAGACGTTTACTACCGCAGTGCGGGGGGCGACGCCGGGGACGATGACGATGCAGACGACGATGAGGACGACGACAAGGGGCTCATTGGCGGGCTGCTGCCGTCGTTGGGAAAGCTGCTTGGCCGCGCTAGTAGCGTCCTCCCGTTTGCTTTTGGGCCTCAGTCAATGATGATGCCAAGCGTCATGGCTCAGAGTGACGCTAGTGAAGAGGCTGGGACGTATCAGTCTAGGCCAAAGGCTAAGGCCAAAGTCAAGGCTGCCGACGCTGACGCTGATGCCGACGCGGAGCCTATCGGCTTCACAGGCATGTTTTTCAGGTGAGCATCTACACTACATACATCTCTAGACGACGACCCTCACCACTCACTGCAGCACATTCTTCGGCGGACATGACCCCGAGTGGGCAAGTCCCAAGGACCAATATGTACACTTCGCTTCGTTTGCCATGCGCATCAACGAATGAGGCTTGAGGCTTTTGTATCTACTGCTTCATGTAACCGCTACTAGTAATATTGTTCTGTACTATACAATAGGCTACGTACTATAGTATTTATGCATGAAAAGCCGAATGGCGTCGTCTGGGCTCATGATCACGCCACGCTCCGTGCGACGCCGCGGCGCTCAGCAGACAAATGACCGGACCTTTCTTCGAACGATCATCTACCCAGGCGCCCTGGAAATGATTACGCCGGCCGTATTATCCCTTGTCTCCGGACGCTCACAGGCAAGGAAGAAGGTCGCCGGGAGACCTCTATATCGTACATCTCTATCATGAGTCCGCCAACAGACCTCAAGGAAGTGCTTGACTCGGAGATCAAGTACGTGCTTCCTCCCCGCTGACGCACGTGTGAATCTGAACTCTCTGCTTTTCAGGGAATGGCATTTCCGTATGTAGACAGAGTGCCAATTGCAGTATCTGTCCGAAGCACCTCTGACCCATCTTTGGGGATAGACATCTACTTCTTCCAGAAGAATGACGCACAGCGCAAGGCCGCACTCGAGCTTCGCGATGCTGTTCTGCGCTTACGCCGAGACGGCGCTTTCGTAGCGGTACCGCTCTGGAGAGTCAACTACGAACCTATGGGCCCGCATCCTTGTGGTATGTGACCTCGACTGCTCGCGCTTGCCTTTGGCGCTGTGTCTCACCTGTCACGTTCAGGTTCATATGAAGTATGGTGCCCGTCGGAGTCCTTTGCTTCGCTGTTCTCGTATCTATGTATGAATCGCGGAGACCTGAGGTGCGTCATGCCGGGCGTATCACTTCTCATACGACTCCTAACGCTATGTATGCCGCAGCATCCTGGTGCATCCTCTCACCCGACTCCAAGTGAGCAAAATGACCAGACATTGAGCCGCCACCGACGCTGATCCTGAACGGCAGCGCACAGACCACGATGAACGCAAAGCATGGATCGGCAATCCTTTCCCTATTGATTTATCGACTCTCCCTCTCAACGGAGATCTTCCTTTACAGTACCCAAGCCTCAGTACGCAGCCACACTTCTACAAACTCCCTGTCTTGACACATTTGATTCAGAGCTGGGATACTCTTCACCCGCGCCGGGTCTATCGCTCGAAGACCGTAAGCGCCTCGGAGATGCCGTCGAATGGATCCTCAAGGGCGAGGAGGAGGCTGCACCTGCTCCATTTCCGTAGTGCTGTATCGGTGTTATGCACGGCCGCTTTGTATAGATCGAGACAACAATGTTCTTCACTATGTAGCCGGCATGATGATGATGCAGTCTGCGTATACATCTCCTGGTACCATTGTCAGCCCCTTTAATGGTGATCATCGGACCTTCGGTGAGAGCTTCGTTAGTATATGGTTCCTGCTGGGGATCACGTTGCCCACCATTCGGGCGTCAGCTGCGGCTGGCGTGAGGGTCGATCCGTTTTCCACACCACGTCGGTCAAAGATGTGCGGAGGGCTTGTCACTTCTGCTCTACTCATTGACGCAAGGACGAGGTACTGTCTATGTATCTCGACGACCCATGCTGTGTTGAATTGCGTGAGAAGAAGTAGCGCGTGGTAATCTCAGATGGGCGTGACTTGCGTGATCCGCGCACATCGCTGCACAAACTTCCTTCTAGCTGTCATCACTCCTGATACCATGTTGGTTTGCATGCTTACACTCATAGATATAAGCAGAGAGTAACACAATTCTTTAGATTATGGACACTATCCCTCCTGAGATCCTAGCCGAGATCTTCCAGATCCTGACGGTCACAGACAGACCATCCGCACCTTGGCGAATGAAGCGAAAACCGGTTTCTTGGGGAGCCACCGGAACGCCATCTTTGGGCTGGATCAACGCGACCTACGTCTGCCATTACTGGCGCGACTGCGCTCTACGGACGCCAATACTGTGGACATACCTATCGGACATCGCGCATCACGGAGAACGATGGACTGAAGTGTTTGTAGAGCGTGGAAAGGAAGTCGGCATATGCTACGAAGACAAGGACGTTTCCACTCTACGTAGTAGTGATCCTCGCTACACGGTCTTGTCTCAACACGTTCACCACATCAGCACCCTTCACCTGATGCACCCGCTAGCTGCCTACGCGAATGTCGCAAACCGCATCTATCAGGACATGCTCTTGAAGCCTGCACCCATGCTTCGCGATCTTAGCCTCCAGGACTTTCCCATCGTGGAAGTCCAATTCAGGTTGCCAAGCTTGCGCCGCTTGCGTCTATGGAACACCAGCTTGTCGCTGTGGCCGAAACAGCTCTTCACGCTGAACCTGTTATCCTTTGAATACTGTACAAGGGTGACAGACAGAGACTCACACCCCATCGACATCAACCTCATATTCGACGCTTTGCGTGAGACGCCTGACTTGCGCTCGCTGACACTGGACTTGAATCGGATCCAACCATTCGAGCCTGATCTTCTTCCTATCGTCACTTTACGAAGCCTTGTGCACATCGATATATCCGCAGAGGCTAAGACTGTCCTCGCGGTGGTCAAGCACATCGTTTTCCCTCCCACCGCTTCTCTTCGCATTGCCTCCCGAGAGGATCGCTTTGCCCAGGCATCAACGAATGAGACCACCAATCTCGCGACCTTGGACTTCTACGAGGAACTTACGCGCAATTCAGAGCCTCCTGCGTTCAAACTGGTCAACCTTTTCGCGAAGACAGACGCTCTCTACTTTGCGGCTGCGCGATATCGCTCCTCCGACATCTCGTTCATCGCACCATCTTACGATCTGGTGCTCGAGCTGCCCGTTCCTCTGGCCGAACCGGATCTGGACTCCACGAACAACGTTCACGGCCTTGCCGCGACGATATTTGGTCGTTTCTTCGAGAAAGAGTCGCTGCGCGAGCTGCACTTGGCGGGTGCATGGTGCCGAACTTCGATCGCCATGTTCTACGATATGTGGCGAGTGGAACATATGGACCTTATGGGACCAGCTGTCGAGCTATTGGTAGAGCATATGACGGGACGGACGAAACCTCGCAGGTCGGTGGAGGAGAAGCCGTTGGGCGATCGAGTTCAGACACTCGCTCTTCATCGTGGGCATGTGGATCGCGACTTATGCATGCGATTGGCCCAAAGCATTGGGTCGCCTGCTTTCAAGAAGGATGGGGTGCTCAAGACGGTTTACCTGTCTAAGGCCAATATGCCATTGCTGGGGAGAGTTTGGGATGAGGCGGGCGTAGAAGTTGTGGGTGTGTAGCGGCGATGCTGATCTAAGTTATTTAGCCTGTGTAGATCGTCTCTTCTGAACATATGTGCGCAGTACGCTCCATAGTATCAAATGCAGTACCCATAACACCGCAGCTCGCAGAGAAGGGACCCACATCGAGCTCACTGGTCGAACATGCGCTATGCTGTGCGTGGGAGCTTTGACCCGAAAGAGGCATGAAGGAGTTGCATGAGCGTCTCGCGGGGGGAATAACTTGAGCTTGGACTTCGTCTCCTTGTATGTCAAGATTGGGCAAGAAAGCGCTGTGGTTGGCTTGCATACAAGCTCACGCGTCTCGACATGCTGTAACTCAGACGGAGGGCAACGCGTGCCAAAGGGCCGAGACCTCAACCACGCGAGAAGTAGTGATGGATTGATGTTGGCCTCACCGACGGCCTCAAGGTGCGCCTGACCGGGGTTCCTTCCTGCCATGACCGCTGGGCGTTTTGACCTGCATCGGTGAGCCTTGTGAACCCGCAGATCTGGTCTGCACACGAATAATGCGAGGTCATAGATCATGGACACCATCCCTTCTGAGCTCTTGGCGCAGATCTTCCAGATTTTGACGGTCGCGGACAGACCACTCGCGAATTGGCACCCCGTCATATGGCATGAATCTGAAGACTTGGTTGGATCGGCGAGAGTCAGATCTGCTTCGGAATGGATCAGAGAAGGGACGCCATCGCTAGGTTGGGTCAACGTTACCTTCGTCTGCCGGTATTGGCGGGAATGCGCTCTGCGAACGCCATCGCTGTGGACGTATCTGTCGGACATCGCGCGACACGGAGGATGGTGGCTACAACGATTTGTTGAGCGCGCGAAGGAGGCAGGCCTATGCTACGACGACAAGGACGTCGCCACCGTACGCCGCGATCGCCACATGCTGCTATCCGAACATATGCATCGCATCAGCACTCTTCACTTGGTCAACGCTGCGGATTCTGAGTGGGGTTTTGTGGATCGTATATATGAGGATATATTCCAGAAGTCTGCGCCCATGCTTCATGATCTCAGCCTTCAGGACTTTGCCTCATTGAATATACCGTCCAGTTTACCCAATCTGCGCTGCTTGCGTGTGCGCAATACAGACCTGATCCCATGGCCAAACCAGCTCTTCACGTCAAACCTATCATCTTTCGAATACCATCCTCGGGCGATGTCAGGTAGCCTCGAGATCAACCCGATGTTCGACGCTCTGCGCGAGGCGCCGAATCTGCGTTCATTGACATTAGATCTCACTGGGATCCAGCAGATCAAGTCTACTGGTATCCCTACGGTCACTCTGCGCAGTCTCAAGCATATCGACATAGCTGCAGAGGCCGAGACTGTCTTGACAGTGCTCAAACATATCATCTTCCCTCCCACCGCTACTCTCCGCATAGTGTCCCAGCCCGAAGACCCAAGCGCCCATGCCGCGCACGAGGCCATCAATATTGCACTTGTAGACCTCTATGTGGACCTTACTCGGGACTCAGAGCTCCCCGCATTCAGCGTGGTCGAAGTCTTCACAAAAATGGAGTCGCTCTACTTCGCAGCCGCGCGCGATCGCCCCCCTGAGGTCTCGTTCGTCAAGCCATCCTACGACCTGGTCTTCGAGCTTCCTGCCATCCTGAATACGTCAAACTGGGACTGTGCGAACAACATCCACGGTCTCGTTACGAAGATATCGGGCCGTCTTTGTAAGAAGGAGTCGCTGCGCGAGCTGCGTATATCGGGCGCATGGAGCCAGACTTCGATATCCATGTTCTACGATCTGTGGCAGGTGGAACATCTGGATCTTACGGGGATAGCCGTGAAGTTCTTAGTGGAGTACATGACGGGACAGATCAAGCCTCGTAGTTCGCCGGGGCTTGGGAATCAAGTGAAGACGCTCGCTCTGCGTCCTGGCATTTTGGACCATGGTTTGTGCATGCAATTGGCTCGGGCCATCCGGGAGAACAGGTCAAAGAGGACGAGCACGCTCGAAGTGATCTACCTGCGGAAGGCCGACTTGTCGTTGTTAGGGGGTTTCTGGGAAGAGGCGGGTGTGGAGATCGTGGGTGCATAGCGGTGAAGCCGATCCAGGTACCCATATAGCCAGCCTGTGACGTTTGCTTCTAGTACATGTCTGTAGTGCGTAGCATGGTACCAAACGCAGCATTCACAACATCGTTGCTCGCAGAGAAGGACCCACATCGAGCCCACTGAGTGAGCGCGCGTTATGCTGTGCGTGGGAGCTTCAACCCGAAAGAGGCGTCCGCGGTTGTCCGACGCGCGCGGCTCCGAACCCGGCATCATCACCAACCATCACGACGAGGACGGACACCGACTGCCCAGCATGGCGTCCGACTCGGTACTCACAGAGTACCCCACTCTATTTCGTACGTAGAGCATACACATTGAGTATACAAAGACTCATAATACTCGTAGGCTCCGATGCGATGAGCCTGGTGCAGCTGTTCGTTCCGACGGAGGTTGCCCATGACACCGTCTCTGAACTCGGAGAACTCGGAAATGTCCAATTCAAGGATGTACGTACTCGAAATACAACATTTCTTGGCACATACCTCTGACCAAGCTTCGTAGTTGAATCCGAACGTGAACCCGTTCCAACGTTCATTTATTGGCGAGATTCGCCGCATTGACGAGATGGCGCGCCGAGTCCGGTTCTTCTCTACGCAAATCGAGAAGGAGAAAGACGCTATTGCCGTACGGCCTCTATACGACTCTGCGCCGCTCATCACTGTCGGCCCACGTGCGGCACAGACAATGGACGAGCTGGACGTGACGTTGACCGAGCACGAGTCGCGCCTGACACAGATGAACGAGAGCTACGAGCTACTCAGCTCGCGGCTGAAGGAGCTTATTGAAGCGCGTCATGTCCTGCGAGAGACAGCTGTGTTCTTTGAGAGGGTATGCATACTGTATTTAATCCGGATTATATGTATACTTACCCAAACATACAGGCTGAGGGACACCAGGGCGAGATGCGCAGCTCGTTCGACGAGAGCAGCGCTCCTTTACTGCAGCACGATGACCGCGAGAACAACTTCTCGTCCGCCACAGTACAGATGGACCTCGAATTCGTGGCCGGTACCATCGACCGCGCACGTCTCTCCACATTCGAGCGTGTTCTCTGGCGTGTTCTCCGTGGCAACCTGTACATGAATCACACGGACATCACCGAGCCGTTTGTCGACGCAGCTACGGGCGCTACAACGTACAAGAATGTCTTCATCATCTTCGCCCACGGTGACACTCTTCTCGCCAAGATCCGCAAGGTCGCAGAGTCCATGGGCGCTACGCTCTACCCTATCGACGCCAACGCGGACAAGCGCGTCGAGTCCTTGCGCGAGGTCAACGGCCGCATTGAGGACCTCGAAATGGTCCTGTACAACACCGGCTCCACGCGCCGCACTGAGCTCGTCAAGATCGGCGAGAGTGTACGCAGCTGGGAAGACGTTGTGCGCAAGGAGAAGCTGGTCTATGAGACGCTCAATCTCTTCAACTACGACAACCGCCGCAAGACGCTGATCGCCGAGGGATGGTGTCCGACTCGCGATATCGCCCGCATTCAGACCGCGCTTCGTCACGCCACCGAGCAGTCTGGAACTTCTATTCCTCCCATTCTGCACGAGCTGCGCACGCACAAGACGCCGCCGACGTTCCAGCGCACCAACAAATTCACCGAGGGCTTCCAGGCCATCATGGACGCCTACGGTGTTGCTGCGTACCAGGAGGTCAACCCGGGCATGTTTGCCGTCATCACATTCCCTTTCTTGTTCGCCGTCATGTTCGGAGATATCGGCCACGGTTCCATCATTGCTCTAGTGGCGCTCTACTTGATCCTCAACGAGCGCAAGCTTGAGCGCCTGGACCTCGGCGAGATCTTTGGCACTTTCTACTTGTCAGTTCCACCCATGTTGTGGTCAATACATTCATTGACGGTTGTGCAGCGGTCGTTACATTATCTTCCTCATGGGCTTGTTCTCCATCTACACCGGATTCATCTACAACGATATCTTCTCGAAGACGCTGCACCTCTTCCACTCCGGCTGGGAGATGCCCTCGCACGAGAACGCAACCATCGTGGACCTCGTCAACACCGGCCATGTATACCCCTTCGGTCTTGACCCTGGCTGGCACGGCGCGGACAATGCTCTCATCTTCACCAACTCGTACAAGATGAAGATGTCCATCGTTCTCGGTGTCATCCACGTACGTTTCATAACTGTAGATGAGACGAAGACATTGATTCACTGTACGCCCCATAGATGACTTTCGCACTCTGCCTCCAGATCCCGAACCATATACGCTTCAACCGCAAGTCTGACCTCTGGACGTCCTTCCTCCCGCAATTTCTCTTCCTCGAATCCATCTTCGGCTACCTCGCCCTTTGCATCCTCTACAAGTGGTCCGTTGACTGGTCATCCGCCGGCCAATCGCCTCCCTCGCTCCTGAACATGCTCATCGCGATGTTCCTTTCGCCCGGAACCGTCACGGAGGACATCCACCTGTACTCGGGACAGAGCTTCGTGCAAGTCGTGCTGCTGCTGTTGGCGCTGGTTTGCGTGCCGTGGATGCTAGCCTTGAAGCCGTATTTGGAGTATCAACATATGAAGAAGACGGCGGCCCAGGGCTACCAGCAGGTCGGCGACAACGAGGGTGGGAATGGATTCCCGCGGGATGAGGATCTTGTTGATGGCGAGGAGGGCAACGGTCAGGCCCATGCTGAGGATGACGAGGAACACGTGAGCCACCTCTCTCGCTCTGTCCTGTCAACAGTCGCTGACCGCGCCGTATAATAGGAGGAACACGACTTCAGCGAGGTGGTCATCCACCAGGTCATCCACACCATCGAGTTCTGTCTCGGCTGTATCTCCCACACGGCCTCATATCTCCGTCTCTGGGCGCTCTCGCTCGCGCACGCGCAGCTGTCCGAGGTGCTTTGGGACATGACGATCGCTGTCGTCGAGGATATGACAGGCGTTGTCGGAATCATCATTCGTGTCCTCGTCGGCGCGGCGTGGTTTGGGTTGACGTTGGGCATTCTGTGCTTGATGGAGGTAAGTTACCGCTCAATATGAGGATATATGAGGATGACGCTAAATATCAATGTGTAGGGTCTGTCCGCGTTCTTGCACGCTCTTCGTCTACACTGGGTCGAGGCGAACAGCAAGCATTACGAGTCGGGCGGCACGGTATGCTCTCATAATACACTGTCTCGATTCCCTCTTACTGACTCACTGTATCGCAGCAATTTGCGCCGCTCAGCTTCGCTACCGCTGCGAACGAGTAAAGCGTCTTGTGGCAAAGGACACTCCCAAGATTGCCAGTCCTCTGACGACCTTTCTGCAAGTATCTACTATCTTCAATCGCTCTTAGTGACTATCGAGCCTTGCTATGTATGTACCCCATGGCCGTGGGCTCTTATACGCAGATCTTTACTTGATGATCATGCCACCGTGGTCGACGCGAGACTCTTCTTCCTATTTGACTGATTTTCGACAGGACGCCCTTTGTGGACGCGCGTCGGGCGCGTGGTTGGAGTTGGAAGCGTATAAAGCACGCTCACCTGGGGGGCGTGCCATCTCATTTCCACCCCCATTGCCACCAGCACCGGGACACGAACGATCAGGCCGATCATGTATAATACCCGCGACGACGTAGTGAGGCAGCTCTACTCGATGGGTGTAGACCTCAATTGGACCGATATGCCTGCGAGCAAACTGGACGAGAAGCTTGACGCAGCTCTGACGTTCTCACAGGGCGTACCCGGAGCAGAGTACCCCGTCGACCCAAGCAACCTCTCAGAATGGACGGTGCATACCAGCCTTTCATGCCACCTTCACTGTGCGCTTGCTGAACACGCTTTGCTGGCAGGACACAAAGGAGTCCCTTGTTCAGGCGTTTCCGAAAGGCAAGGAACCCGAAGATCTCACCATACTCCGGTTGCTATTTTTTGGTGGGATCCCGTCGGCTTTGAACCCCATGAGAGCGTTCAGCGATGTGCAGAGGACTGTATGTTTGTCTTCTTTGGATGTGGGCTGCAAGAGTAGGATAACTGAGTGGCACTGGACAGGTTAAGGAGATCGCGCAGAACTACGTGAACGGTCATGAGTACAGCTATGGGGTGGATAAGAACGCTAGGTCGGCTATTCATTTCCGCGTACGTTCCTGCGTCGATCAGTGCCTATATATGCGTACTCACTTCTCTTCCAACCACAGGTACTCGGCGTGTATAACTTCAACGGCTCACCCTTAATTGCGCTCGCGTACGACGCCGATAACTCGCGTAAGCTGCACAAGACCGACAAGTTCATCAACGCGCGCGTCAAGGCCGGCGCTCGGGAGATCGCTCGGATCAATTGTACGCTCGCCGAGCAGGCTCTTCTCAAACGCGTCCTTCACTTCAACTCGAAGAGGGTAGCGAAGAGTTATCTGCCGCCTCTTGCGCCCGAGGAAGACCGCTACGCCCTCAGCATTTTCTTGCCTCTCGAAGAATTGAAGCAGGAGCAGCTCGGAGTGCTCATGGCTAACGACGGGTGCCACATGTGTTGGGGACCGGCGAACCCGGGGCGATACTGCAAGACGTGCAATGCGGTCAAGTATTGCGGTCGGAGTGAGGCTTCTACGAACCTATGCAATGTATACTGGGTTCTAATTTCGGAGAATAGGCTGCCACCGAGCTCACCAGAAGGTTCACAAGCACTTCGACGAGCGCATGAAGGGTGGAACGTGGACCGATGCGACTTTTAACTTCGACCCTGCTCTCGATGGCGGACGGATGCTTGCCGATTCTCCCGACCGTGTAAATGACATTGGTGCTTCCAGACAGCCGTCATTATCGCCTCCTAACTTGCACGGCGACAACGCGACCCTCATCAAGATCCAGCGCCCGCCGTCGGCGCCTATCAATGATACCGACAGCGAGATCTCGGAGGACGATGACCTCCGTCTTCTCATTCATGACCGGTTCCGGACGTTTAAGGGATACGTCTCGAAGAAGGACAACCTGGAGTTCTGGGAGGCGGCGATCAAGTTATTGCCGGAGCCTGGACTGAAGAACGAAGCCGGAGTGTATCGGTTCGCGAAGAGGACGGGAGACTGGAGGTTGAGTGCGTGCTTGGACCGGGAGCCGCTTGGTGGCCCTATGTGGTAGCTTCTTGACCTTATATTTGCTGGACCCCGTGAAGCTCGTGTGAGATTTATGTAGGGCCTACCTTGCAGCGTAGAAGGATTAGTTCACTCAGATACTCGAACTTCTCATGTAAATTACGATCCCACTATTCAAAGAATGCGCCCCTCGAACGTGATCTGAGATATATGTGCTACTACATCTTGGAACCTGCGAGCACGGGAATATGCCCAGGTTCGGCGCCGGGGGTTGAGATACGGTCGCCGAAGCTTCCCCGAAGTGGCGCGACGCGGGATATTCAGCGTCTTGCTCGCAACCACCACAACTATCCGACACCGGTGTTCGAGCTCATCGCACAGCCCACCCGTGCTCGAAATCTGACTGAAATGGGCATACACCCACGCTGCCTGCGCCGACGCCACAAGCGCCGTCCTTGCTTTCTTTTGACTAATGCCTCGCACCCCGCTTTCTGGATGCGTCACGCGTGGTTGAACTTCTCGGCCGATTTCGCGTAAAGAATGCGCTTTTCACCTCGACTGCCACCTCCTCGTTGCAACTAGGCATCGCTCATCATCTAGCCCTCGCATGTCGCCGTCCGAACCGCTACGCCTCACTGATCGTGATGCTGTCCTTGTGAATCGGTTTCACTTTTGCGCCCACGGCTTTGAGGTCTGCAATCTCTGCGAATGCGATGCGCGCATGGCGAACGATCAGATCTTGCAAGGGACATTCGATCCCGAGAAGCTTGAAAAAATGAGCGTGCAGGAGATGATGGACAAGATGATGAAGGGTATGATGGAGGCTTCGAATTTTGAGGTATGTTGGCGATCCTGAGGTAGTGCGGCATAGATTACTTATCTGTCGGGTAGAAGGAACTGCGGGCTCCCTTGTCAATCGCGGACCTTGTTTTGGATACGGGCGAACTGGAGTACGAGGACGACGGCAGCGTGAATTATAACGTCTGGGCCTGCAAGCCTCACTCGCGCAAGAACTGTATTGCCTGCTTCGATTGGCGTGGACTCATCAACGCGGAGCAGAACAAAAAGAACGATTCGTCTCAGGAGCGAGAGCGCGTACTGGCTCAATTGCGTGCTATGAATGTGAAGCTGCCTGCTGGCACTAAACTTCCTCTGGACGAGCTGGAAAAGAAGCTGTCTGTGGCTCTGAGCTTGGTGCAAGACTTGTCAGATCGGCCCGTTGATCCGAGCAAGTTGCGAGCATGGAAGGTATGTGTCAGTACTCGCGTTCTTTTACGCATGCGCTCAGGTTTGAGGTCGCAGGGAAAGGAGCCGCTCTTGGACGCTTTCAAGAAAGGAAATTTGGCCGAAGCGTACGCGAACTTACAGTCCCAGAGCGAAGGGCGAGGGCCGCTTTCGTTTCCGCTCTATGAGAACGCGTTCGTCGACCTGCGACAAACGGTTGGTATCCGTCCCATTATAAGAGCGTCACAGTAGTCTGACGCATTCGTAGGTCATGCATATTGCCAATAACTATGAGAAAGGTCAACAGTGCTGCACCCTTCAAGATAATACTCAGCGAGAAGCCATATGCATACGCGTGAGTGTAGCTGACTTGGGCGTTCTCGACTCGTGGATATACTGAGCGTCCATCATTCTCAGGTCTTAGGCGTTCATGATTTGAATGGCACTCCGCTCATCTCACTTGTCTACGGTATTGACGATGGGCCATCGATGACCAAAGTCTTCGAGTTCAACGATGCCCAGCGCAAAGCAGGAGCAAAAGGCTTCGCCCGGATTCATAGCACGATTGAAGAACAGGCTCTGTTCCGTCGCCTTCTTCAGGTTAACGCGGAGAACATTCCGTCTGGACTTACTGCAGAACTGAAGCCGGAAGAGCAGGGCTTTAAAGCGAGCTTCATTGTACCCGTTGCGCCCTTGAGTCAGGTTCAAATCGGAAAACTCACGACTAATCTGGGATGCCCCATTTGCGGCAAGTCAGCGAATAGCCGTTGCGCTGCGTGCCACTCTATCTCATATTGCGGGCCTGGTACGTGCTTCACCTTCCTTGCAAGCGATATTACTTGCTTACAACTCTTTCCAGTCTGTCAGAAGACCCATTGGAAAGAGCACAAAGCGCAGTGTAAGCGCATCCGTGGCGGAACTTGGCTCGAAGCAACATTCTCCGAAAATCCGATCGTAAACGGACAGCAGAAGTATGCGGGTGTCATCAGCCATACGGCCAACAAGATGCCAAAAGTCAGAGACTCCCTGGGTCCTCCTGATAATGTCCATGGCGACAAGGCATTCCTCGTCAAGGTCCAGCGCCCGCTGATGATGTGGGCCGATGGCTACCTTAGCATGCTAGTCTACGATCGCAACCGTACCTTCCAAGGCAACATATCTAAGCAAGAGAATCCGAAGTTCTGGGAGGCAGCAATGAAGCAGATGCCCGAAGGCTCATCGAAGGTCAAAATATATCGTAACGCTCGGAGAACGGGGGATTGGACATTGAGCGTGTGCGTGGACAGCGAGCCCAGCGAAATTCCTCAATGGTAGCAGTGCACCTCTTACATGTTATGTATGTTTTGATCCGCCATCATATACTTTGACTGCTCGTACAATAGTCTGTAGCTGTCCTAACTCGACGATTCGTTATGTTGTAACGCGCGGCCACGAATGACATGTGACCGCGTTTTCGATTGGTCCGTAGTTTCCGCGTTCGAAACTGTTCGAAACGCTTTTCCCTACCGCAATGATGCGCACCTCTCCTTGCGACTGTCACATATAACGGCCGGACGCAGCTCATCAATTGATACGTCAGTCTTTATGTAATCCACATGCACCGAAGTCGCTGGCCTCCGTGCATTCATCTATACGTCGCTGGTCATGTCATGGACGCTCGCCATGGTCCATGGGTGATTCAAGCCCCCAATTGACAGCGCTCGCGAGCTTTCATCTGGCTAGCATCGTAAGATACACGTTCCAACCTGGCCTCCTACCATCACCCCAGTCCGCCACTGTCGTCCTACCAGACCATGTACCCGCCACGCATGAGCAGCGAACGGGTCATCTACGTGAATGGGTTCTACTTCTGCGGCCATGGACTCGAAGTCTGCAACCTTTGCCGGGTCGAAGCTCGCGTCGCCAACGACGAGTCTTTAAGGACCGACACCCCGATTGGAAACTCCGCGCGGAAGACGATAGAGGAGATGATGGATGTCCTGGACGGCATCACTCAGGGCATGGCCCGTATCGAGGTACGTTTGTGGAACAACCAGGCAAGGACTTGCCTGTGCTCACCTCTCGACGACAGAAGACGCCAAGGCAGTCGCTTTCCGTCATGGCAAGTGCTCTCGATACAAGACGTCTGGCATTCGAAGATGATGGAGGTACAAATTATACCATCTGGGCGTGCAAGCTGCACAAGGACGACAACTGTCGAGATTGCTTCGACTGGCGAGCCCTCATCAAGACGGAAAGAAAGAACGCAGAGAACCAGAAACAGGAGCGTCGTACTGGAGTACTGGCTCTGCTCGGTGTGCTAGGCGTGCACCTGTCCGAGTCTGCGAGCGCGGAACTGTCTTCGGATGTACTCGAGAAGAAGCTATGCTCTGCGTTAAGCCTGTGCCAGAGTCTCTCCGAGTCGGCACTTGGTTGGCTGAACATGGAGCTGCTGCGTGCATGGAATGTGGGTAGCTTTCTCCTGTATTCCGCTGAATAGCATACTGACCGCCTTGACAGGTCAAAGCGTCGCTCGCGGACGCATTCCAGCCGAGGACCGCCACGACAAGGGAAAGCGCGAGTCGCCGTCCACGTAGCAAGGTATCAAGGGCGACTGCATCGCTGCCAGTGGAGAATACGTCCAATACGCTGAACGAGATCGTGCGTACCACATTCCCCGGTCATGCACGAGTTCTAGACCTGATAACTGCGCAGGTCATGCGCATAGCGCGAGTCTACGACAATGGTCATCGACTCTGCGTCATACAAGATGTCAAGCGGGAGACGGATATACGTATACGTGTCAGTTTATTTACTCCTTCGACTTGCAACGCTCTGATAGTTTGACCACAGATATTGAGCGCTCATAAGTACAAGGAAGTCCCTATCATCTTCCTCAGCTTTTCGATCAAAGACGGCCAATCATCGTTCGCCGCTGAACGCGACATCGGTATGGGCGATCTCATGGGCGTCGAGATGACGATCGAGGAGCAGACATTACTCCTTCGCCTGCTCCAGCTCAACTCTGAAAGGCTCACCGGAGATCTCAGGTCGAAAATGAACGTCCGCGAACACGGTTATAGCGCAAGCTTTTTGGTGCCTATTACCTCATTGAGCCTGGACCAGGTCGTCGAGCTGGCTGGTATACCTGGTTGTGGGATGTGTGGAAGACTATGTGCACTCTGCCAGAGCGCGTCGTATTGCGGTCAAGGTCAGTACCCAGTTTAAAGTGATCAACTCTCGCAGGGCTAATCAGGCATTGCAGAGGCGCAACGGTCAAATTGGGAAGAACACTTGCTCTCATGCAAGGGCGTACTGGAAGGCACTTGGACGGACGTAACCTTCATCCACAAGCCAATCGTCCATGGCCAACTCGGGTACGCCAGTATCTTCAACCTCTCCAGTGGCAAACTTGCAACTGTCGACGGATCTTGTGCTTCGCCGAGCCATGTTCACGGGGATAAGACGTTCCTCGCCAAGATACAGCGGCCGGCTTGGATAACGGGTCCAGTTGACACCCTCAACATGCTGGTTTATGACCGCAGCCGCACGCTACATGGCTTGATCTCTGCCAGGGGGAACCCGGAGTTTTGGACTGCGATCTTGTGCCAGATGCCATTTGCGTCGGCCGAGTCGAAAGTGTATCGCTACGTCAAGCGGACGGGAGATAGAACCTTGAGCGTCTGTATGGATCGCCAGCCCAGCCCAGATATTACTCAGTGGTAGCGCGCTTGAACGTCGGACTCCCATTGGTCAAGCCTCCGAAAGAGATGATCCGGAGGTCTGCGCGGAGGGCCTAAGTGGCACACCTATGAACTCAGAGTCGCAGTGTTTGGGTGGATCGCGAGCCTCCTGAAGTTGCTCCGCCGTATTAGCACTTGCATGTACTTATATCATGGTGCACTAGCGCGCTTCCCGTTCCTGCTGATATACGTACGGGAAGCCTTAGACTAAGAGGCGCCATACATACTCGTGCGTCGCCGGGCGTTAGCCGGACGCGTCCTTTGCGCGCCGTCCATGTGACCGCGTTCTTTGGTTATGTTTGCTACGCGTCCGGCGCGTGCACGATCAGCGCGCCGACCGCACGCGTTGTTTCCGACTGCCACCACCTCTAAGCTTGTCTGACCTGTCTCCTCGTAATGGATCAAGGGTGGGAGGAAGCGGCGCGCCTCATGAACGAGGATACTATAAGGGTCAATCGTCTGACTTTCTGTAAACACGGCCACGAATACTGCAATCACTGCTCGGCCGACCACCGGCTTGGGAACGACGAAGAACTTTCCGGCGAGTCCTCGGTGACCGATGAGGAAATCACGGAGACATTGGAAGCTCTTGGGCTTGAACCTGGATCCGACGCGTATGAGACGAAACTCATGCAGACTATGAACGAAATATACTCTCGACTTCCTCAGGTAAGATATGAGCTTGCCCACGAAGATACCGCCCACAGTTAACTGAACTGGAGGCCCTCAGCCTACTCGGAAACCGTTGTCGATTGCAGGCCTTGTATACGACACTGGAAGGAAAACTTCTCACTCAGACGCACCGGATGCCGAGTTTCCCGGCTTAACTATTTGGGCATGTAGAGAGCATAAGCGCGATAACTGCCCGAACTGCTTCAACTGGAAGAAGCTTTTACGGTCTTTGGAGAAGAAGAAGGACGATGGCAAGTTGAAGGATAACGAACAGATCATCTCTCTGCTACAAGCAATGGGTGTCATTATCTCACCTGACACCAAACTTTCCGCGGATGTTCTGCAGAAGAAGATGAACACGGCTTTGAAGTTCTCTCAGGGCAATGCAGTATTTTCTGCTTCGTCTCCGCTCGATCCAAACCTGTTGCCTAGCTGGAAGGTAAGGAACATACTTTCTGACGGCCAGCGTCACCTATCTCACGCCAATCGTGCGCTTCAGACGCAGGAAGACTCTCTATCGAGTGCCATGACGCGCGGCAACCTGATAGAGACTGAAGCATATCAGGCCTGGAAAGCAGGGGCAGAGGGAAAGGCCCCTCCTCCGCGACCGCGTCTGTACGACAACGCTTTCAACGATGCAAGACAATCGGTGAGATTCTTCAAACTCTCGCGTTACCTACTGGTAGCTTGATGACTATTCGTTGACATATGCCATTCAGATCTGGCACCTCGCTCAGTGCTACGAGAAGGACATCTACTCATGTGTGCTTCAAGATGCTGATGAACAAGAAGCCATATGTATTCGCGTACGTCCCTGCTCACGTTGTACTTCCGAAATATTCTGATCTTTCACTCAGCTCATTGATGCCCGTGCGCTCGATGAGAAGACGCCTGTGATCATCCTGGCATACCAGACGGGCACAGCTCACGAGCCTATCTCTAATGTAGCCGGGTTTCTTGAGGCCAACGTCGAAAAAGGATACTTGGGAACACTTACATGCACTCCTCAAGAACAGGCTCTCCTACGGCACTTGCTGTTGTACAACTCCAAGAGCATCTCTGATGACTATAAGCCTGTCTTGGCGGACTACGAACAGCATTTCAGGATGAGCTTTATAGCGCCACTCGCGCCATTGTCACAATTTCAGATCGGCAAGGTGATGCAAAACCTCGGTTGTGCGCTCTGTGGGCGGACTGAGTCGACGAGTCGTTGCTCATCGTGTTTATCCATCGTGTATTGCGGTGCAGGTGCGCCGTTTAGAGGCAATAACCTTGGCAGATCAACTCACAAACCCATCACTCCAGCGTGCCAGAAGGCAGATTGGAAGCGTCACAAGCAGTCGTGCAAGACCCTTGCTGGTGGAACGTGGGTAGAGGCGACCTTTTGCGAGAACCCATTGGAGGCAGAGGGTGCAGTCGCGGTCACCGTCAATCATTCATCGGGCAAGATCGAGGGCAGGCAGCCTAACGCAATGGATCCGCCTCCGAACGTTCACGGCACTAGACCGTTCATTGTCAAGATTCAGAGACCTCTCTACCCTCCACGGAGTACCTCTCGCGCAACTATGCTCGTATACGACCAGAAGAGGACGTTCCAAGGTCACATCACCGCGGCCGAAAATCCCAGGTTTTGGCGCGAGGCTCTTCCGCTGATGCCATTTAACTCGTCTAAACAGAAGATCTATCGCTGGGCAAAGCGCGCCGGCGACTGGCGGTTGAGTGTGTGCCTGGACCGTGAGGTTGGGGATACTCCACAGTGGTAGAGGTTGATATACCATGTCATCGGTGTGCGCCTAGCGTAGACTGATTAGTACCTTCAAACTTCGGTTCGGTTTGATGAGTACATATATCCTCAATAGTCATTCACCTGCGATCGACGTCGTCGTGCTAGCCTACCAGAAATCAACGGTCTCTCACATAGATCCCGAGAGTATGTGTATATATTGAACTGCTTCTGCCGGGGATCACTAGATGCCACAGATGTACGTCGGGCCCCGCCGCGAAGGCTGCAAGGCCGGCCCGTCAGCCCGATTTCAGATATGTAGCGCCCACGGCTTTATTGCTGCCGCGACGCGACTTGTGTTGAACGCCCATGACCTGCCCATCGTCTTCTTTATTGAGTTCTCTCCAGACCTATACAGCATGAACTCCAAAGAACTGGCGAATGTCGTTGGCCAGATGGGCTTGATCTATGTCAGAGACTGGGCCTTCTGTCCGCACGGCTATGAATTCTGCCACCGCTGCCCAACGGACCAGCGTGCTATGAATGATGGATCAATACATCAGGGTAACTTCAGTCGAGTGCGTCTTGCGGTCAATGATGTGCTCGCTATACTTACTCGTGTTGAAGGATTACCGCAAAGGCCTTTCTGTTGTCGGGCGTCTCGTTGACACCGGTAGAAGAGAGGGCGGTAACGTCATCTTCAATTGTAAAGAGCACGGCTCGCGAGACTGTGAGCAGTGCTTCAACTGGAAGAAGCTTATGAAGGCCGCCGATTCGAAGGAGGAGAAGGGAAAGATCAACGATCGTGATCAACTTCTCCGTCTCCTCGAAAGTTTGAACGTTGCACTGCCCAGGACGACGAAACTGTCCACTACTGCCTTGGAGAAGAAGCTGACCTCAGCTCTTGACCTGGTACAGAACATATCCTTGTTCTCTGACAAGTTCCCGGTCGATCCGTCCAGTCTCCCATCGTGGAAGGCAAGTAACGTCCGTTCTTGAGCGATGTGCTTCGTTGAGAGAAGTTTGGTGTAGCCCGAACATACCGGCAGCGCTTACGCTGAGATGGGCAGCATGAGCATCAAGGAAGGAATCTTGAACAAGTCAGGTGAACTCGCGCCAACCGCTTTTGGCAACTTGCGTCGTACGGTAGGTTGGTCCCTGCCGTAACGTCTCACCGCGGCTCATCTAGAGGGCTGCATGCCAGGTCATGAGCATCACCAAACTCTTCGAAGACGGAAACGACTGTGTGACCTTACAGGATAAGGATCAACAGGAGGTTATCTGTTTGCGGGTGCGTCCCATTCTAAGCACACTCTGCTCTACGTCGTACTCAAAGCGCCTGAGATAGATCCAAGGTGTTCACTCGATCGCAAAGGATACGCCACTTGTTACCGTCGTATTTGGAACCTCTACCACATTTGAACCCTTCACGAAGATAGAGAACTTCATCGCCGGGAATCTGACCCGAGGCGTTGCGCTCGCGCAGATCGTGTGTTCGGTCGAAGAGCAGGCGATCCTGCGCCGCCTCCTCTATCGCAACCACTCCAAGTTGTCGGCCGACTACGCTCCCGAGCTGAGACCGGAGGAGAAGGACTTCAAGCCCAGCTTCCTGCTCCCCCTCACGACCTTGAGTCAGGCTCAAATCGGCAAGCTCACACATGACCTCGGCTGCACTGTCTGTGGCAACCCGACGACGACGAAGTGCTCTGGATGCCTCTCCGAGAGATACTGCGGAGCAGGTGAGCTCTCCCAATCCTTCTCTACCATTTCATTCTCACGCCTCACGCCACATTCAGCGTGTCAAAAGGCTCATTGGAAGGAACATAAGGCATTCTGCCGTTTTGTGCGCGACGGCACCTGGACAACATACACGTTCTCCGACTCGATCTCCTTCGGTGGCCAGAAGCTCTTCACGACGTCTCTAAACTTCCAGAGCTCCGTCAAATCACAGACGGATAAGGGTAGCGCGAAAGGCGCCGTACCTGCAAACATACACGAAGACAAGGCATTCTTGGTGAAGCTACAACGTCCGATGAGCGAGCAAGTCCACTTCCGATTCCCCATCATGGTCTACGATCGCAATCGGTCGTTCCAAGGCCATATCGCGCCGGAGGATAACACGAACACCTGGAATACCATCGTAGCGCAGATGCCTCCATCCAAGCTGAAGATCTACCGGTGGGCGAAACGGGTAGGAGACTGGCAGCTGAGCCTTTGCTTGGACCGCGAGCCAGGAGAAACTCTTCAATGGTAGGGCAATATCCAAGTACGTGTCCGGCTACGTTGATGTGCTCTTTCATTGACCAGCATTCTAGCATTCCCCTTGGTCTTCCGCCGCTAGAGTTCATGTTGTAAACTACAAACATCCCAAGATTCGGATGAAAGCAAGTGTATAGTAATGTGGACGCTGCGGTTCCTGTGCATTAACATTTCAGAAGCGTATACAGTATTACGTGTTTCATGGCAAATCAATCATCATCTCGTCCATATTGCCCTCTACCATGACAGTGTCTCTACACCCTGAGGCTCGCGATCAAGGCAGATGTTTAACTCCCAGTCTCCCGTGCGCCTCGCCCATCGGTATATCTTCTCGCCAACGGCCATCGGTGGTATCTGCTTGACCAACGTCGTCCACGGCGAGTCCCTGCCCTTCGAGCGTAGATATCCTTCAAGTGAGCGCTCTCGATCATGTACAACGTATTGCGGTGGATTAGGAGGATCACCGTTGTGATCTGTTTGCACGTATTGAACCTTCAGGAGGAAAGTCCTGTCACCGTGCACATCCGGGCGAGGTTGCAGGCCATTGAGCCGCTGCAGATGAGCGTCATGCTGCTCGCTCGAGGGCGCGTAGAGGTTTAAGAGGCTGTCCACGACCTTGTCACTGTTCATATCCGGAGAAGATACGAAGGCAAAGTCCGTCCAGGTACCACCTTGTAGTGAATGGCATGTTGCCTTATGTTCCTTCCAGTGCGCTTTCTGACAGGCTGTATACGCGATGAATACAGCTCTCAAAGAGTTGATAGGCGTTGGCACTCACCAGGTCCGCAATAGCGCTCACAGTGACATGCGGAGCAAGCCTTCGTCTGCGAAGCTCCGCATACCGCGCATCCCGTGTTGCTCGTGAGCTTGCCGATCTGGGCTTCGTCCAGTGGACCGATGGGTAGGATGAAGCTGCGCTTGAATGCGCGTTGGTCCGCCGCAAGAGTAGTCTCGTACGCAGGTGACAGCTTTGTTGAGTTGAGGTACAACAGGCGTCGAAGGAGCGCTTGTTCTTCGAGCGTGCACCTGATCTGGGCGCAGTTCTCGTTACCCAGGGGCATGACTTGCGTTTGCATGAACTGCATTGTCTTGCTCCCAACCATTTGCTCTTGCGCGTTCGCAGGTTCGTATATGAGCGCTATGAGCGGCGTGGTGTTGTCTAGCATGTATACGTCTAGCATCTGTGACGGCGAATCTCAATGATAAGGGTATCAAGACAGACGCAAAGAAGACTTACTCGCATGGAGATAGCAGCACGTTGATTCTCGTCTTGCAGAAGAGCCACAGGATGGTTTGTATCGAAGTTCTTCGCGAGAGACATGATCTGAAGTAGGGATTACCGCTTTGTCCATCAAAGATGTAAGACGAGAGAGACACACGGTCTGACGAAGATCCATAAACGCGTTGGCGTACAACGGGAAGGCTGAACTTGCATTTCCCGTCGTTCGCCGAGCCTCTGCGACCTTGAGTACCTCTGCCATGTTGCTGCGCCGCACAGCGTCGAAGACTGGTCGGCGCTGTACATCCTATATCGTTGATAGTTGAGCGCACATACAAGCTCTGCGCTAAGACAACGTACTTTCCATTTCGCAAGCTCAACAGGGTTGATAGGCATCCTATTCAAGAACTTTGCCATGTTCTGCGCGTAGTTGAGCGCCAGACGAAGCTTGTGCTCCAAGCCACTTTCGTCGAGTTTAGTGTCCCCCGCGACAGGAGCGCCCATCGCCGCGAGCAAGCCGCTCAGCTGATCGCGGTCGCTGACCTTCCCATGATCGTTCTTGGCAGGTTTGACTTGTGCGCGCATGAGTTTTTTCCAGTTGAAGCACTCTCGGCATGAACTCAGGCTGTGCGCCGCGCACTGAAAGATCCGCTGACCCTCTTCGTCCTTCCTTCCGCTATCGACGACTCGTCCAACCATCGAAAGTGGCCTTCTTTTCTCCTGTCAAGCATCTTAGTATACCATTAAGCGAGATATAACACACGAGGTGCGTACCATTTCGTAATCCCAGTTCTCAGAGTCCATCTCCTGACCCCGGAAAACGCGCATCTGGTTCAGCGGGCGCAAGTCGGTACCGCAAGTATTGCAATGCTCAAAACCATGCGCGCAAAAGCATAGTCCATCTAAATGGAAGATATTGTCTTCTCCGATAAGGGCGTACAGTTGTTCCGGGGCTCAGGATGAGTTCCGGTTTGTCACCTAGGAGCCCAAAATCTGCCCNTGTCTCACTTCGAACTTGCTTCGAACAATACCGAACGCGGCGGTCTAGCTCCAGTGAGGCGCAGGGCCGATGACTTGGGGCTCTGGGCCGTTCTGAGGTCTTGCTATATAAGGGCGGCCGTCGACGCGGATAACAAGCCCCAGCTTTGCACTTGCTCTTGCGGCCCTTGAGCTTGATAGTCGGTGGGATCAATTCACTGCCGAAGGTCGGCTGGCAATATGCCGACTGCTGATTGAAGATGGTGCCGTGTTCATGTTCAGGAGCTTACCAATTTTGTGCTCCTGTAGAGCGTATAACGTACTCGACATGTGAAACATTTCCTATCGACTAGGACCCGCGCGTGAGCTGAGGGCGAGCGAAGCGAGCCCCAGGTGAACGCGGGACAGAACAGAGATAAATTATCGGTAGCTACGAATATCTTCACCAACGATGATAGTCTCGTTGAGGAAGAAAAAGCGCTAGAATAAGTGCGCCTGGTGTCGCAGACATAGGTGGAAGTACAGGAAATTGGTCGGACGGTGTTACATCGGGTGCATGCACCAGTACATAACGATATCTGAGAATAAGTCATACGCTGTAACATGTACGTCGTTCAAAATTTGAAGGGAGTTGAGCCCCGGGAATGCCCCGGAGGGGCTGTGGCAGTTGAGAGTTCATGTCGGCGCAGGCGGTGATGGCCGCAGCAGACAAAGGGCAGGCAAGCCGCGAGTGAGACGCGTCAAACCTCAACGCGTGACGTCACGCGTTTCTGACCATTTTTACTCCAATTCCGGCGGACCGCCAGCACACTTGCCCCACGCTACGGTTTACCACAAGCTGATACTATGCGTGTATTACTAAGAAGAGATTCTGAGCCCTGCATTGGTACACAGAGCATCGGGACCTGGCTAGACGATCGGTAACGCTTTCGGTACTTGATCACCACGGTATCTTCTCTTTCGGGGGCCGATCGAGGCAAATGCTCAAACCCCAATCTCCTATGCGCCTCGCCCAGCGATAAATCTTCACGTTGACAGCCTGTGGCGGTATCTCTCGCTCAAACGCCGACCACGCCGACACGTTGCTTTCCGGCTCGAGGTAGCCACTCATTGTACGAAGGCGATCGTAGACGGACTGTTGTGGCGGCAGCTGTGGCGTGAGGCTATCCTTGGTGCGTTGTATCTTGATGAGGAAGGCCCTGTCACCGTGTTTGTTCGGTGGTGGGTCTACCTCGCCATCTCCTCCGTGCATCTTCGTCTTCGCGATCTTACGTGGAGTGGCAGAGGAGGATACTATAGCGGCGTAGAGCTTCTGGCCGTTGAAGCTCGGCGCATCTGTGAAGACGAAGTCCGTCCAGGTTCCTCCTTGCATGTCGCGACACGCCACCTTGTGATCCTTCCAATTCGCCTTTTGACACGCTAGAACACATGGACGTTAGTAATGTCGACTCTTTCGTGCGGGCATGAGACGGCAACCGACCTGAGCTGCAATACTTCTCGATCTTACACCCTGAACAGTTCTTTGTACTTTCCGAGCCGCACACGACGCAACCGGTGTTGTGCGTGATCTTCCCTATCTGTACCTGGTCCAGAGGACCAACAGGTATAATGAAGCTGCGGCGGAAGTCACGCTGGTCTGGCGAAAGGCTGGCTTCGTATTCCGGCGCAACCTTGCTCGAGTTGATATCCAGCAGACGGCGAACGAGCGTAAACTCCTGAGGCGTGCAGACGATCACGTTCTCGTTGCCGCGCAGCTTGCTCTGTACGAAAGACACCATCTTTCCCGTCGTCATCTCCTCAGGAGATATGGCAATCTCGTAGAGAAGCGATAGTAGGGGCGTCTCCGTGTCGAGGGCATATAAGCCCAGCATCTGACCATCACTGAGTTCAAACGCGGCTCTGCGGATAAGGCGACCGAACGTACCTGCACGGCGATGCTCGACTGTTGCTTCTCATCTTGGATGAGAGTCCCGCGCCGCCCTTCTTCGTACATCTTCGTGAGCGACATGAGCTAGCCGATGGTAAGCATCCGCACCGCCAGAGGCGGATGATCACGCACAGTCTGACGCAGATCCATGAACGCGTTCTGCGACATTGGGAACGCGGTGCTGGCGTCGCCACCTCCCATCTCCGCACGTTCGATCTCTGCTGCCTCTCCGAGACTGACATGCGCGAAAGCCTTGTGCGCAGGCATCCCATTTCGTGTCTATATTGCAAAGTCAGAGGCTAATTTCGGGCGGTAGCTTGGCAGGAAGCCCACGAACGTTCCAAACAGGTAGCTGAATCGGGTTGATCGGCATTCTGCATGCGAACGATGGCATGTTCTGCGCGTACCCGATCGCAAGACGCAGCTTGCGCTCCAGCGTCTCTCCGCTGAAGCGCGAGTCTTCACTGATAGGGGCGCCCATCGCGGCGAGTAGCCCACGGAGTTCGTCCATGCGAGACGTGCTCATGATGGCCGGGGTGGGGTTACTGCGATACACGGACAGGTGATGGAGGCAGGAGTTGAGTTGGTCGCTGAAGTCAGTTCAATCGAGCGGCGAGCATTCAGACCCACGAAGTGCTCATGACAGGAAGCACCCTTGTCATGCAACCCTAATGTCTCACGTTCATAATGCATACGCAACCATTTACTGGAGTATATGCATTGAGCAACGTAGAGCTACTAACAATGGCGTGCCTGTACAGTAGGCACAAGTCAATGAATGTCTTCCACATCGTCACCAAGCTGTCTTCTCAGCGTCTTGGGGATGACGATCAAGGCAGATACTCAAGCCCCATTCTCCAACGCGCCGCGCCCAGCAGTACATCTTGACGTTGAGCCCAGGCAGCATGGCTCCCTCGAGCGCTGGCCAAGCAACCTCATTGCTCTCTGGCTCAAGATAACCCTTTGTAGTGCGGAACCGGTCGTAGAACAGGTGGAATGGTGGCAGTTCTGGCATCCCGATGTTATCCTTGAGACGTTGAATCTTGATGAGGAACGCCTTGTCGCCGTGTTTGTTCTGCGGCGCATCCGAGTCTTCGTCTCCTCCGTGCATTTTCGGCTTTTTAAGCTTGAATGCAGAGGAAGATGTGTCTATGAGCGTGCCGACGAGCTTTTGACCGTTCAAGCTAGGCGCATCGGCGAAGATGAAGTCCGTCCAGGTTCCGCCTTGCATGTATCGGCAGAACTCCTTGTGATGCTTCCAATGCGCCTTCTGGCAAGCTGGCAAATCCGAATCAGCCAGAAGTCGTCTTGATAAGTCAGATGCAGACGCACCTGAACTGCAGTACCTCTCTATCTTGCAGCCCGAACAAGTCTTCACCGCCGCCGAGCCACATACAGCACATCCAGGGTTATGCGTGACCTTCGCGACTTGCAAGGCATCGAGGGGACCCAGCGGGATGATGAAGCTCCGTCGGAACGCACGCTGGTCTGGCGCGAGACTGAATTCGTATTCCGGAGCGACGTTGGACGAGTTGAGTTGCAACAAGTGGTGTATAAGGGCCAGCTCCTGAAGATTGCAGACGAGCTGTCCGCCTTCGCCACCTTGCAGCTGTGTCTCCATGAACTGCGCGATCTTGGGCCCCTTCATCGCCTCGGGTGTTTCTGCGATCTCGTAAAGGAGAGGCATGATGGGTGTCTGCGCGTTGAGGGCGTATACACCGAGCATCTGATGGGTACGGTCAGGAAAATGCAGCTACGAGGATGGGATCAACGTACGCGCACGACTATGGTGAAGCCTTGGCCCTCATCTTGGAAGAGTGCAACGCGAAAACCTTGTTCATAGAGCTCCGCGAGCGACGCGAGCTATTCAGGGGTGAGCAATCAAGTGGCGTTCGACGGTGACGGCGACGTACCATCTCACAGACGACGACGATAGTATTCCGTGACACCATCGACACTTCATTGCCGTTCACGTCAAGCCTGGTCTCCACCCCTGTCTGCTGTCCCGCTAACTCCGCAACGCTCGTGCGCTTGAACGCCTGAGAAGCAGCCTCCCCGTCCGGCTTCTGTACATAACGCTCAGCATATACCCACCGACATGAACACGACAGAGAACATACCTGCCAGATAGAAAGTTGGGAAGGGTTGACCGGCATCATATCCGCAAACGCCGACATATTCTGCGCATAATCAAGCACGACGCGTAGCTTGCGCTCGAGCGTGTCCTCGCTCATGCGCGAGCCCAGGACGACAGGCGCACCCATGGCTGCGAGAAGCTCGCGCAAGTTTTGGTTCCCAGGCATGTTGATGGTGTACGGGTTGACGGGGAGGGATGAGCGTCGTATTCAAGTTGCCGTGCTCAACAGGAGCGACACCTATTTTACTCCCGATGAGTCCTTAGTCCCCTATGAGGCGAAACATGGGTACCTGCCAAATGGCCTGTTAGGCCGGATTGACTGGCGTCGTCTCCGCAAACGCCGGCACATTCTACGCGTAGCCGAGCGTAAGGCCGTGTCCTCGCTCACAGGGGAGTTCGCGTACGTTGTGCAACCCAGGCGTGTCCATGACATGCAATCCGATGCCTTCTATATGGGTAGACCTAGACACAGTTTGCCTGGCCATGTGTGCACACGACTGTCGCATCCGCCAAACTTGGGGAAGTTCTATGAGGGTGAGGGAGCGAATTCATTGTGCAAGCGCCGCGAGCGATGATATTCCTGTCAACATCCTGTCAACGACGTTCAGAACAAGGAGCGACCGCCGACCGGGCAGTGCTCTTCTCACTCTCAGGTGCGTCGAAGCCGGTCCGAATTCCGAGAATGTCCGAAGACGTCCGAAGGACCGGCGCCTACAACTTGCCCTTCACTCTCATCACGATGACGGTACTGCCTTCCACCACATCTTTATCTCCAGTCGATCCAATGCTTGCGCAAAACTCCTTCATACCGGAGTCATGCGCTAGGTGCCAGATGAAATCATCCTCCGAGAGTTCTTTAATCGCCGCTCTCTCCTGGCCGAACGAACCGCTCGAAGTATTCAAAAAGCACATTGTGCACTACCGCAGAGGCCCTGCGACATGAGGAGCGCCATAATCTCAATAACTAGCTCGTTCACTTCAGAAATGCACCAGAACGCGATGTAAGTCAGCACGCCCTCTGAATCGTGAGGAAAGTCGACTTCCATCGTGTTTCCCTCCCTTCACGCCCTTGTGTCTATACACAGACTCGGAGACAAGCATAACGAAGATCCTGTCCGGGACTGTGGTCAAGAAGGGCCTAAAACGCGGATGCATCCGCGTCATGCCCCATCGTCCTGCACCATCCAGACTCGGTAGAAGAACGAAGACTGGGTGACCGACGTCGTCCGCGATACGCCTTTGCCGGCTCTCTGTCGGGAGTTGTCTACATTCTGTAGCCATGAATGCTCGCGCTTGCCCCTGAAATCTGCGTGGTGGTTCAGGGTGGTTTACGCTGACGTGATCTAGAACGGTCGAACACGTCCTCATTATGGTTATGACGGCGACATGCGGCTCGGTTAGAGTCTGTAGGTGGTTGATCGCGTCCATTGTCTGAAGACAGCGCCACCAACCACACAATATTGCAGGTGCGGTTATCTCGCCTTGATATAAAGCCTCTCTCTCATTCACAGCTTAACTCTCAGCAAACCCATCGCCTTCCTTCCATCCGCTAACACTCTACAATTCCTATCATGCTTTTTCCACCGCGCTATTCCTACCCTGAAGCGGGCTCCAACGTTCCGCTCAATCTCTATATTTCCAAGCCAATCAACGCGGGCAAGGCTTTGGACGCTGTGAGCGCGCTGGAGAAGCAGGTTCAGCAGTGGATCCAGCGGAGCGGCAAGGCCGTTCGTCTCAGCGACGAGGCTTGCGCCAACCTCTGTTTCCGCATCAAGGACGGCAGCAAGATCGTCATCAGCCTGCGCCACCCGCGTCTTCCGGAATCCGGTGTGGTCGACCTGTACCACACTCTCGACATCGGAGACTCGGCAACGACGCACACGGTCGTACTCGAGAGCGCCGTGCGCTTCGCGCACTCTTTGGGTCTCAACGCTGCTCCGAGGGAACCCCAATGTGCGGCTGAGTTTTTCGAGGTCGTCGAGGACGACAAAGGGGAGGATGACCTCCTACAGTTCCCGCACATCGCGGTCAGCCCCAACCTTTTGTCCGATGGCTTGGTCAAAGTCACGGCCTCGCCATACGATAAGTACGGCATGGTCATCAAGAACATGACCGACAAGGCCTTCTATGTGTCGGGCGTCTTTTACTTCGACTGCAGTGATCTCTCCATCGGTGTGTACCAACTCATACTTCATAGTGCATCCCTTGACATTCATCTAACACGTATCCTTTTCAGGTTATCACCAGGCGGACAAGAGGATGATTCCTGCCAACGGTTCTATGAGCTTCGCAAACGACACTAGTTATGTACCGTGGACGTTCTATCTACGCGAGGGGCAACCCAGGGATATTGGGTTCATCAAGATCTTCGTCACGTCGGCCCCCATCGACCTGTGCGGGCTGGCGCAAGAGAGACCGTTCGCCGACGTTTCTCGCAGGGTCACCACCCTAGACGAAGAAGGGATTCGCAACTTGCTTGTTGACACCATCACCTTGGTCGTAGACCAATATGCGCCGGGTGTGGTAGTCTGAAGTCTCCCCTAGTATGAATTTCCTATTTTTCAATTGTGACCTTTACTTTGCATGTGCTACCCTGTACTACCTGATGTACTGGTGCCAATCGAGAACATGATTCATACCGTGTATTGAGTTTACGGCAAAAGCTCACGACCTCTCTAGGTACTTGGTGCGAATCTGACAGCCGAGCGAGGCTGGCAGACGAACAACGCACGCGTATTAGTAGTGAATGGTTACTGTTGATGGGCCTCATCTACTTACGACTTACAATCTATCCCATACATCCGCACAAGCTCACAAGTCTACAGTACCTCAAAGACACTGATTGGGTCACTTACAAGTCATCGCTAATGCCAACGATGATGGTCAACAGGTTCACGCGAGTGACTATGGGCAACATGCAGTCTCCCCGTGTAAGCACGGGCACCGACTAGCGATGTGATAAATCACTAAGCTGATTGAGAAGTAGAGAAAAACCTATAAATATGGGCTCGACACACACGTCGGGGAATATACAGAACCTACCACCATATCTTCTACAGCATATCACAACCGGCCACTAAGACAGATTATGTAGTACCCGGGCAAGTTATGGCGGCACACCTAAGATCCGGAGTAAATCGAGACTATCGTAAGAAACTCAGAGGACAAATCAAGATCGAGTACTTTTCCAACCGTCAACGAGCGGTCGTTTGACGAAGAGATACCCGCTCCGTCGGGATTTCTCTCCGTCGATTTTCATTCGAGGCATCATAGGTGGTTTTGGGGACTGCGTGATTCTCAGGATGAGGTCGAGCCTATACAAATAAACCGGCTAGACCGATAGACTGAAGTATGTTGTAAGTAGCTGCGGCATAGTACCCCATTCTTTGAAAGCGACGTACTATAATCGTCTGCAACCTGTGAAACTCCGAGAGCAAGGCGAGATGATTTGTGGAAGAAGTGCTTAAAACAGAGTTGATGTTTTTTTGCACCAAGTTCATTCGTCTGTTGGTATCAAGCTCAAGGGTTCTCTGTTGTACGATTAATGACAACCATTGAGTCGAAGAAGGATGTCCACTCACACGGAAGTCATCATCCATATGGGCGAGAGCGGTATGCAAGACCGTGATCTGGTCTTTGTGGGCCCTTGCGAGTATGAATCGAAGTGCCAGTCTGTGAGCCCAATGACGGATGCGGGTCAAGGATAGCTGACTCGCGACACCAAGAAGGGATTGCATGTTTCTATGATTTGTTCAAAGGAGTGAAACACAGTGTTGTGTAAATGAGAACTCACACATTCAATGTCTCGAGTGCTGCAAGCTGGACCTCGGAGAGACAAAATTCTCTGATATCCGTGTCCCCCCAAGCTGCTTCGAGGCTTCCCTGGATTGCGTCAACACGCTCGTAAAGCCTTCTACGGTCCGTCTCGTTTTGCACCGCAATCTAACCCATCACTATGAGCAAATGCACTTGTTGAACTTGACGGCGTACACACCTCATACGTGTCCACAAGCTTGAGGAGACCACCGACAACACTCTGAACAGGTGGGCATATAGGGGAAGATTCCTTGAGTGATTGCAGGCTCAACATAATTAGCTCCCGGGTAATGACCGCGGAAGTGGTGCTGGAAGAAGCACCGGCATGCCGAACTGGAGTGTCTCGACTAGGTCGGTACAGAGCGCGTATGGCGAGGGAAACTCTTGTGAAGCTTGAGAGAGTACCAAGCAAGCGAGCGCGTCGCGATGGACTGTGTCTCGCATCCGAATGGGAAGGAGCGCCCAGCTTCGGCGGCTTGCGCATGTCAGAGAAAGATGTAGTCTGTGTTTGTTGGAGTGATTCTCAAGATATTACTCTTCTTATACTACGAGCCCAGGCTTCACGTGTCCGTCCTCGTTAACGTAAGGCCATTCGATAGATCAGACAGTTGAGCAAATCTGGCGAATGATACTCAGGCTGTGTGTCGCACAACGGGAACGGGCTATGCGTGGGCTATGCAAGGGGCGCTGGCCAGGTTTCCTGCAAATAATTTTCGAAGTTTCACCATCGTCGTTATGTCTTTCCGACTACCGAATCCGCCCCGAGCAGAACCCTTCCGGGTAGCGAAAAAGGCGGTGTGGGAAAATGCGGTACAGCGAGAGATGAGATGAAACCATGATAGACACGATAGCAGCGACATCCTTGACTTCATCAAGTTATCGATGGATGGCCTGTTCGGAGGTGCCAATCGCACAACCCCTTCCTGTGGGATTTCTGGGTATAGCGACATCGCAATTGCGCACTGGGAGCCATGAGGGCAAGCCTTGTGAATGTAACATGGTACTTACTCGGCGACGAAGGTTCCGACGTTGCACACGATCTTACAGTACAGGACAGCGCACAGCGTGCCAAGTACTCCTTCCATCCGCACTGCGCCCACTTCGGTCGCGCCCAACGGGCCATTGCGCTCTCACAAGCATAGCCCTACGCGCTCATATACGCAAAGATGGGCAAGTCCTGCGCGTGTCGCGTCACATGTAGACGGGAGAAGACAGACATAGTACAGTAGCTCTGAGGATGGAACCGGCCGACCGGAGGAAGTGTTTCATAGTACGCCGACTCTTTGGACGTGGAGGTTCGGTCTCAGCTGTGCTCATCGCGGATTCGCCTGCTCGGAAGCGGCGGGCCGGATAAGGCTGAGCAACTGTGAGAACGCGTAACGACGCGCGAAAGAGTTGTCAACATCGCCCATGCTTGCGGCTATTTGCGCAATCTCGGGTGGGCCGTCTTGTAGAGGTTATCGTTTACCAATGAAGCCTTAGCATCTTTGCACAGGAAGAATCGGTAGAAACAAGAAAAATGATATCGACGCGCAGAAATTCGTAAAAGATTACAACAAAAGGGTTGGACGCGCGCCGGTACGAGAAAAGCTGGGTACAAACAATAAAGTAAAACAGATGCGTACACGTAATTCGTATGTAGAAACTCCAATCCAGATGAGACGAGACGATGATGAGCAGGCGGTGAAGTACATTGCAGTCGAGAGCGAGCGGGCAAAGCGAATCGGGGGTATGGACAACAGACGACGAGAGCACGAGAGAACGAGGCACGGAGAGCGAGCTTACAGCTCCTCATCAGTAAACACCTCCTCCCCGCGCTTCCTCCTCGCCATCCTATCCTTCTTTGCCTTCCGCGCCTCGGCCGACGTCAACTTCTTCGCCTTCTTCGCCTTGTCGATCTTGTTGCCCATCGCGTCGTACTGGTCCTCCTCCTCGCCGGCCTTCGTGTCGATGCGCGCGCCGGAGCCCTGGCCCTCGACCCAGTTGTGGCCGGACGCCTCGAGGTGGCCGTCGCGCATCGCCCAGACCTCGGAGCAGATCGACTCGGAGAAGTCGCGGTTGTGCGTGATGACGAGGACACCGCCCTCGAACGTCTTGAGAGCCTCGATGAGCGCCGCGAGCGACTCACGGTCGAGGTAGTCTGCACACGTTGTCAGCATCACCGTCAAGTGAATGGAAGTAGGAAAAAGACATACTGGTCGGCTCGTCAAGACAGATGATGTGCGGGCGACGCCATGTCGCAGCGCCGAGAACGATCTTGACCTTCTGACCGCCAGAGAGACCGCGCATCGTGTTGTGCGACACGAACTCAGGCTCAAGACCAAAGTCGGCCATATGCTTCTCGATCTCGCGACGGACAAGCGGGCGGAGAAGACCGAGGCGCTGCGCCTCGCGGGTGTCGACCTCGAGGACCTTCTTCTCGAAACCGCGCTTGATGAGCTCGTCACGCGGCATCCAGATGTTCTCGGACGAGGAGAGACCCTTGAACGTGATCTCGTACTCGTACGACTGCTTGAGCTTCTTGCGCGCGACGATCTCGTCGATGACGCGCTTCTGGCCCTCGACGACGACGTTGGCGCCCTCCTTCATCTTCTGCTGCTCCTCCTCGCTGATCTGGCGGTTGGCCTTCATCATCTCCTCGAGATCCTCGCCAGTCTGGTAACGCCAGAGCATGTACTCGAGCGGGGTCTTGTCGAGGTGCTGGTCGATGTGGTGGAAGGCGTGCTGCGCGACGTAGCCAATGACGAGGTTGGGGTGCTTCCAGACCTCGCCGCCCTTGTTGGGCTCCATCTCGCCGGTAAGAAGCTTGACGAGCGTCGACTTGCCGGAACCGTTGGGACCGAGAATGGCGACACGCGACGAGAGCGAGACTTGGAGCGAGATGTCGTAGAGCTGCTGGACGGGCTGCGACGGGTACTGGAAGCCGACCTTGCGCATCTTGAGCAGCGCCTTCTCCTTGGTCTTGACACCGTCGAGGAACGGAGGGTCGGGGAGCTTGAACTTGTAGTCCTCGGCAGCCTCGAGCGTGTAGTAGGACTTGGCCTCAGGGACGGCCTTGACGAACGCCTCGAGGTTACCGCGGTAGCGGCGGAGCTTGAAGCGGTTGAGGTGAAGGACGTCGGTAATCGTGTTGTTGAGGAAGCCAGAGTCGTGCGACACGATGACTTGGGAAGCAATCAGTACGGCACTTCGATGGAGATAAGGGTATGAACGTACTGGAGGTGCAGTGCGTGAGGCTGGTGAGGTAGTTCTCGAGCCATGCGACGTTGACGACGTCGAGATGGTTGGTCGGCTCATCGAGCAAGAGGATGTCGGCCTTGAAGAGCATGGCGCGGGCGAGCGCAAGCTTCATCTTCCAACCACCAGAGAGCGAGCCGATGGCGTGCTTCTGGCGCTCGTCGGTGAAGCCGACGGAGGCAAGCGTCTCGACGATCTCCTCCTTGGAGACGATTACACGCTTGTCCTGGAGAATGAACTCAAGGACGGAGGTGTCCTCCTCAGAGCCGTCGATGTCGTGCTCGACGTAGAACGTGCGGACCTCATCAGGCGACGGGAAACCCTCAACCTGGCCGTTGGTGATGGCACGCATGAGGGTCGACTTTCCGGTACCATTCTTGCCGCAAAGGCCGTAGCGGTGGCCACGCTTGAGACGGAGCGTCGCGGTGTTGAGCAGGATCTTGGCACCGTAGGCGAGCGAGAACTGGCAGTTGCACAGGTCCTCACCCTCCTCCTCGTCCTCGGGGACCTCGCCGACATCAGCGTCCTCAGTAGCGGACTTGACGACCCATTCCCGAGCAATGGTAAGCGGCTCGGGAACGGCAGCGAGGAAGGCAAGGTAAGGCGCGAAGGTGTCCCACTCAGGGACGTCGAAGTTCTTGGCGTTGGTGGCGTTGGCTGCGAGACGGGCGACGTGGATGGTGACCTCGGCGGCGACAGAGGGGACGGGGTTGCCGCCGGCCTTCTTGTAGAGCTCGATGAGCGAGTGAGCGAGCTGCTGCTCGGTCGCGAACTTGAGCGTGGGAAGATCCGTGCCGTCCTGGTCGTCTGGAACCTGGCCGACCTGGCGAAGAGTGGCGATGGCACGGCCAACGACAGAGCGAGCCTCGGGGTCGCCGATGGTTTGCTCGACCTTGAGGAGGCCTGGGAGAAGCTTGGGGATGAACGGGCGCACGGTGACGTGCGAGTCGACGAGCTTGGACATGTTGTCGACGATGCTGAGTCAGAAAATCAGTAAAATACTTCTTTGACCATTCTAACGAAGTCAACTTACACAGCGACCTTACGCTTGGTAGCGGTAAGCTTCTCGTTCAGGCCACGAGCAAGCAAGGGGACCATAAGGGAGAGCGTTGGGGAGTCTACTTCGGAAACGAACGTGGTAGCGGACAAGAGCTGGATGGTCTTTGGGACCTCCTCGACGGGGTTGATGAGAGCGTTAATGAGCGCGGGAATGAACTTCTCGATATCCTTGTTGGATACGAGGCCAGTCGCCTTTGTGAGCGACTCGCGGGCGGCCTTCTTGACGTCGGCCTTGGTGTCCCAGATCGCCTCGGCGAGCACGGGCACAATGTCGGGCGTCAGCTTGGCGATCTGTGCGGGCGCCGACTTGACGAGCTGGTCGAGCACGGCGAGCGAACCGGTCTTGATCTGCCATTTTCCCGCGGTCTTGATCTCGTGGAGGAGAGCGGGCAGGATGAGGCCGGCGCCCCACGGGTTCATGTTCGCGACGAAAGCCTTGACGGCGCTTACGGCGGCAGTCCGGGCCGCGGGCGTCTTGTCGGCAAACGCCTCGAGCAGGGCAGAGTACAGGCCAGAGTCGACGAACGACGGCTCGAGCGCCTTGATCGCGCCCTTGGACAGCGCAGACACGGCCTCGGCAGCGCCCTCACGTGCGGCGGGCGACTTCTTGTCGCCGAGCGCCTTGAGCGCAGCGGCCGAGAAGCCGGCGGCCTTGAGTGCCGCAGGGCCGTCCTTTTGAGCAGACGCAACGAGAGCCTCGATCGCGGACGTGCGCGAGGTCTTGTCGGCGGCGAAGGCACCGTCGACGGCAGGAGCAGCGGCGCCGTGCTTGAGGTCGGCGACAGAGGGAACACCGGGAGCAGATGCGGTAACAGAGGGCATGATGGTTATTTTTCTATATGCTGCGTACGAACATGAGTAAAACTTTGCAAGGACCATCGACGATGCGACGACTCACGATGGATAATAAGGATCTAGTTGATGGAGCGAGTGCGCACAAAGGCGAGTGTAGCGTCAAACGTCTATGAACCCCGTCGAGGGATCGGAACCCAAAGCCTTGTCCACCATCAACATCGACGACCAGCATACGCTCTAACAAATGGGCGTACCTCTATTAGATGAGAGAGGAAAGGAAAGGTGAAGAATCTCACGATCAGACCGCCCGAGATTTATATAGCTTGCGGAATCAATCAATCCCGTCTGCCGCGCGGCAAGACCCGATCGCATCGCCAACTCTATTTCCCCGCATTCATCATGTTTTCAGGGCGGGCCACATCTCCCCGCCGTCCGACCTCGACGTGTCCTGCCAGCTTCAACAGCACCTCCAGCTCGCATCCCGAGCGAGGGACCTTCCAAACGGTCTGCAGACCTCGCGAGGGAACAAGGCCGCGGCGAAAATGAGCCGCGTGCAGGTGGCCACTTGACCTGGGCGCAAACCCGTTTCCCAACTCGGTGCGCCTCATCGCTACCGGCCAGCTCTCGATTCCGCCTTCGAGCCCGTCCTCCCCAAGCTCTGTCATCGTCTTCCGGTGCTCCTCCGAGATCCGAGCATCCTGTACTCGCGAAGAACAGAGCCCGCACCGACTCGGATGCACCGAGGACTCTGCAGAACTTCCCGCTCTCTTTGGATAGTCGAGTTGGAGCTGGTTCCGTGCGACTAGTGCTGCGCTACGGACCACGGCCGGATCGTCTTACGGCCGTTTCGCCGGTTCGAGCGCACGAGGCCAGAGCTAGAGTCAGATGCTCGTGTGCGCTCTGCGCGCGCGCGGTGAGCTCGTTGGCGACTTCTTTCTCGAGGACAACGCGTTCTGGGGTGCGCATCTAGTATGAAACTCCATTGGCATGTACACGCGCAGGGCGATCCATCTGATTGCGGGGCGTGATCAAGGGGTCCTGGGATGTGGGTTTCAGCAATGTGTGCTTTGAGTCTTCGAGAATTGAGATGCAGCCTACGTACAAGGACGCGCGGCTGACTTGCTGGTTGTGCGTTGCATGGAAGGGCTATCTAGAACAATGGCTGAGTCAAATGTTCACCGAGAGAGGAAGAGGTTCAAGTTCTGCTTCATGAATCTGAATCAAGCAAGCGGGTGAAGGGCGTAGCTCGAGACTAGCGTTGCGCCGAGGGTTGGTGTACAGTCAATGAGTCGCAGCTTGATGGGCATTCGTGCAGCATAAAACTATACTGGTGGTGCAGCAGTCTGGCTTACCAGAGAGGCAGGCGACATGAAATCACAATCGCATGGCAGGCGATATTGAAACCACTCGATCATAGCCCACGGGCGGCGCCGAGAACGAGGAGCAGCCTGAATCTCCTGGCATGCTCAGCGCTCAAAGTACATAAGTGAGCTCCTAACACGCATGCCGTCAGCAAGCATGAGACAGACCGTTTACCGCCAATAACTTAGGTCGCACAGGTCTGGGAAAGATTGTATCCAAATCACTGACACCAGCAGACGCCTCGCCGGTAGAGCACAATGTCTTCATTGACAGCGAGCGCTCGTTTCAATGCACAACTCTTTCCCTCATCGAGACGAAGCTCACACTCTGTCTGCATCTCTACGTGGGCGTGAAGAGATGGGTGCTTGATTGGCGCCTCGCACAATTGCCGCACGCGCGCTCTCCGGGTCGTTGATGGCATCACCCCGGCAGAACCCGCGTGAGTGAGCTCACGCGAAATAATCGTCTTCCCAACTTCCACCTGGGTCGCGTCTGCAGGAGACACGCAAGGACTCCCAATGAACGCTCTTATCACGATGAACGATGAAGCCTACGGCTTACCGCTCTACATCATAGAGCCCGGGCTCGTGTTCTTGCTCCTCAACAAGACTCCGTGAACGCAAACAGTATCATCGCTCCGCACCGTCCATCCGCCTACCGATAGCGGACCCAACGGCACTCTGTATCGTGAACAATGAGAACGAGTGCTGGCAGGAATGTGCGACCGGTGCACTGCGACTCAGAGATACTCACAACCAGGAGCATGCGGTCGACAATCCACATACAGCACTTCTTTCACGTCAACCGCGCGCGCTGGCACCTGTCTTCACTCGAGTCCCTACGCTCTACGCAGGGTCGTGTCCGAAGCTCTTCAGACCACCTTAGGACCGACTCCCTTCGTCATAGAGCATGACAGGTCTCTGCGAATATCTCACCGTCGGACAGCCGGCGGTCGTCCACGGCCTATACGAGGCAGATGCGTGTATACAACAGCTCAAAATAGCACTCGCCATCTCGCACCGCCTGCGCTTGGCAGAGCTCTGAGAAGATGTTTCGTCCTCGGTGCCTTGCCGTTCTCGGCCAACGACGTGTCCTCGGGGCTCACATCTCCCTAGATTCGCCCATGCTACGCTTCCACCGGCAGGTCCTGTGTTACTCGGTTCGGGGACACTCTGAAGTGCCTCAACATGTGGCAAGCCACTGATAGCGCTGTCCTCGATACCGTAAACCTGCGGGGGCTCTTCGCATGCGATGACGGAGATACCGGAACTTCCGAGAAGCACTGTGGGCAGCAGGCACGTCGACGATCCTGGCGGTGCAACGATCGCGGAGCAGCAAGAGGCCCTTAGCTGCTCTATACGACCAAGTACCCATCTACCGCAGCCTTGCCTCTTCAAGAGAAGCCTCATGGCCCACAGGATAGGTTCGTACACTGCCAATTGACCACTCGTGACCCGAAGAACCCTGCGTCTAACCATCCTGCTCAACAGGTTAACCAGGAGTGTGGTGGCGAAGGGATGCTCGGATCCAGATCTTCTCAGAGTCATATTCGTCAAATATGGGTCCCACGTTTGACGTCCTTCAGTTCCGCCTTGCGCCATTTCCATTGTCACGTATCCGGTACGACAAGCCACATTCGTCAATTGACGTGATGGTACCACGGCACCTGTATTGGGCTCTCCTCGGATGCCTTTCGCTGCCACGCTCGGCTCAACGGAGCACTTGAAGGTTTGTTGTGATGGGGTACCGGTGGTGTGTACACTTACATCTGTAGCAGTCAGCACTCTGCTGACTACGGCAGACAATTAGTGCATAGACCCATAAGCGATGATATGATATTTGAGAGAAATTGAAACTGTGCGTCCAAGATCATCATTTCGCGTAGTCAAGATCTAACCATGTGCTAGCAGCTTGTTCACGCTCACTGGCAGTGAGACTGGCGCCCGTAGCGGAGAGTATCCCTCTCAAATGGTGGTACTCTTCGCTACCAAGTTGGTTCAAAAACCCGGACTTCAACGCCCGCTTCAACGCCACCTCGTTCAGCGACTGGTACGGGTTCAGACGGAGCAATGGTAAATGGTATAGCGGGTATGAGCTCCTTTCGCACCTGGACGAATGCAAAAGGTTGATGATGAAGTAGAGCGTGGGTACGACAATCACGCACCAGACACGCCTCGGCATGGCCGTCAACCATCGATCAAGCTAGCTTTCCGCTTTGTCAGTGCATGAAAGGACGGCATAGCGGTATCCGGTAGAGACGCTCTGGGTCTCGTCGCCTCACGGACGACACCTTATCCTCTTTCTTCGTCGCTCGTCGTGAGTAGGGTGATCATTCGCAACCAATGACGGACTCAAGTGCGTACTCTGCCAACGTCTCATAGGTCAGTAGCTAAACGATAGATCACACAGAGACGGATAATGAACTGGAACAGCTCGGATACCTGAAACGTATGCTCACGCTGCCTAGATGGCTGTCGCGCTGGCTCGTGAGTGAGCGTGAATGCGCGCTCGCTTATTGGACTCCCGGCCTGGACGCTCGATGTGAACATCGTTCTGCTGGGTTTCATGTCACTTCGGCGGGTCTCTCATCGTGTAGTAGTAGGTGAACACGCCTATGAGCAGCAGAGTATAAAACCTCTAACTCAACAGCCGGAAAAGGCCAGACCTGCTCGCTTCTTCAGTCCTACACCGGTCTTTCAGCGTCCACAATGATCGCCTCTACTCTCCTCTCGATCGTCGCTCTTGCTACTTCGGTCAGCGGTGAGTACAACACACTCTCATACTTACACAGGTAGACTGACATGACGTACTCAGCCTCTGCGCTCCTCCAGAGGCGCGTCAACTGCCCTGGCGGCGGTGTCACGGCCAACGCGGCGTGCTGCGTTCTCTTCCCGATTATCAACGACATCCAAGAGAACCTGTTCGAGAACGAGTGCGGTGACAACGCCCACGAGGCTCTCCGCTTGACATTCCACGACGCGATCGGCATCTCCAAGACCAACGCTTCCTTCGGGTGAGCATTTTTTGGGGAATTCTTCATTATTTCGGTGATTTCTTCCCTGGACGCCCTGCTCATCGTCCTGTACAGTGGAGGCGCCGACGGCTCCTTCGTTATATTCGGCGACGTCGAGACGCAGTTCCCCGCAAACGGCGGCACTGACGAGATTGTATCGCTCGAGAAGCAGTTCCTGGCTCGCCACCCCAACACGATCTCCGTCGCCGACTTTATCCAGCTCGCCGGCGCCGTCGGTATCACCAACTGCCCCGGTGCCCCGCGTCTTCAGGTGACTACAGACAACTGCTATCACTACTAAGTTGCTGACATGTTGTAGTTCCTCATGGGCCGCAAGGACGGTACCGCGCCGGCGCCAGATGGCACCGTGCCGCTCCCCTTCGACTCTGTCGACAAGGTCACTTCACAACGTTTGACACTGGTGGCGCATCTTCTCACATACTAAATCAGATCCTTGCCCGCATGGCTGACGGTGGTAGCTTCACCCCGACCGAGGTCGTTGCTCTCTTGACCGCCCACACCGTCGGTGCCTCCGACAACGTGAGTCCAGGTCACATCACGTGATCGCGTCAAGGCGCCTAACGCTGGTTTTAGGTCGACGCCACCATCCCGCGTACTCCGTTCGACTCGACGCCCAGCCTTTTCGACAGCCAGTTCTTCCTCGACACGCAACTTAAGGGCACGCTATTCCCGGGTGCTGATGGAGGCAACGAGGGAGAGGTCATGTCACCTCTCGCCGGCGAGATCCGTCTGCAGTCCGACCACGACTTTGCCCGCGACTCGCGCACTGCGTGCGCATGGCAGGCAAACGTGAACCAGCAGACCCACATGGCCAACGCCTTTGCCGCTGCTATGGCTAAGCTTGTTGTTCTTGGCCAGAACGAGAAGTGCATACTCCCCGAATCCGGATAGATGCACATTGATTGACTCGCCCACAGGTCTCTAATTGACTGCTCCGACATGATTCCGGCAAACAGGTAAGCTCATTCGAACATACAGCGGTACCAATGCTCACTCTCGCTTGTGAACAGGGTCCTCTCCAAGACTATCACCTTCCCCGCTGGTCTCTCAAACAAGGACATCGAGCAGGCTTGCGAGACCTCCGCCTTCCCCACTCTCAAGACCGACCCCGGCCCGGCTACCTCGGTCGCTCCTGTGTACGTGTCTAGCTCATTCCTGCAATCAGACAAGTACTGATGTTTCTCCAGCGCACCGGGTGTGTCCGCCGCTCCTTGAGGCGCCCGCCTTCCCTTCGTCCATACAATCTCCTTTCACCTCCGGTTTTATCAGGGTCTTCTTTTCGTCTACTTCTTTTCGGGTCTATCAATGGGCTTGTATACACTGGTGTCTCGGCTTCTATCTTCTTTGGGGTTGTAACATGTACACGTGGAATGATAAACGATCTGTATCAGTGATGCCTTCGTGCGAAACCTCTGCGAGGTCGTCAAACTGATGCATCAATCGTTCTCTACTATTCAACATTGGGTGGGCATCGTCTACCAGCAGGCGGGTTGCTCACGTTCGAGAAGTTCTCTCATAAGATTCAAAGGCGATTGCATTACAAGAGGAGTCGTTACGATCGTGTCAGGTGCATTCATGTCCGTGGCTCACAGAGCACTTCCGACTGGTTCTACTCCCCCTCCGCCTCCTGGCCCATACTCCAGTACGTTGAGTTCAACCTCCTCAACCTCATCATCCGGAGACGTTCCGCGGCTCGCGCCCTTATCTTCGTGCCGTCCCGTATCCCTCTTTTTCCCACCGCCTCGAGATCCGCTCGCGCTGCGTGTAGGCGCGGCGAAGAAAACAGGAACGCGGGCCACAGCAGGCGGAGACTGTACGCGGGGGCGTGTACGACGGCGAAGCTGTAGTGCCTGAAGACGCAAGATGAGGGCAAGCAAGGCAAGTATTATGGTGAGCAGTGCGAGAATGGCGATAGTGGTGCCGAATATGAAGGGTGTGGGCGTGGTGGATAGGACAGCGACTTGCGTCGAAGTGGTTGACGGTGAGACGGGAGCCATAGGAGCGGTGCTTGAGCTCGTGACGTGTGTAGCTTTCTGAGGTCCGGGATGAGATCCGGGACACTGACACAGGCACTTTGCTATGTTCGCGTTCTTGTGTGTAGTGAAAGCGCGAGGAGGTCATTTCAGCAGCAGCGGCTAAGCTATATAGCTCGCAAGGGACAATGATACAGTGAATGTTCATTTGGCTCTTTGTGGGCCGGAGATGCATCTTGGACGACAACCAGAGAGGAATGTACAAACGTTGGACTATTGGACTATTGTTCAGCTCGCCACAGACAAAGGCATGCCAAGTTCAGAAGCCTTCCGGCGCTGTAAGTCCTAGATTGTATGCTTTGTTCGCCGTGTGGAACAGCGCGTTCTTCGCTAGTTCCACCGCCACCGAGACTGGCAAGCGGGATGAGCGAATAGTAGACGTCAATACCTGTATACAGGGCATGGGTAAGGGTAATTTCGCGGGAGAGCGTAAGGTACGCACGTCAAGAAGTGCTTCGCGTGCAAGGAGACTGCCGAGATAGAAGGACTCAGGCCACCAATGACCATCCGCTAGACACGCTTTGTGAGCCCCTTCCCATTGCCTGGAGATAACGAGAGAACGCACTAGACCACATAATCTTGGACCACGGTGCCATCTCGAGCATCTCCCTGATAACTGCCCTTTGCCCGTCAGGACTGATGAAAGCAAAGATTTCGCCGAAGTCTAGGTATACGTTGGGGTATAGAGCTGCCAAGACACCGGCGTCGCGCGTGTAGGGATAGGAACTGTGCAACAACACGACACGCGTATCCGGGTGTGCATCGAGCAGGGGCTGAAGATGTGAAGGCGAAGCGCGGGCCAGGCGTAGATCGGAGTCGCCGAGGCCAGTGTGGAACTGAACTGGAGATTACGAGTAAGGTGAACTGACGTCGAGGTGAAGAGGACGAGAAGATCGTACTGGGCTTAGAGAACTGCTCGGAGACGATCATGCCGATGCCCACGAGCAGATCGTTGACCGCCTTGTTCTGGATCCGGAACGATGCCTCTCCGCCACTCGACTTTGCTTGCATGGTTTTCGATTGCTGTTCCTTCATCCATGACCGCAAAGTGGGCACCAGGTCACGATCCACATCTGGAAATCCGACTGCTGCTGTGGCGCCACCCCGTGGTGCAAGCGCAACGTTGATCCAGTCTCGCCAGACTGCAGATAACGGCGTAACGTCGAGGCCCGTACGATAGGCGACAACTGATTTGAAGCCTACGACAGCACTATCGTTTCCGGCGTCTTGGAGGAGTGTGTATGTGCGAGATAGCCACATCTCACAGAGTGAGTCGAGAGTGGCTTCTTCTGGGTCTAGAGAAGATGGATCCCTACAGATTTCTGCAAGTACATCTTGCGCAACGGCTTCAACGCGTACAATGCGCTTGCACGGGCTCCGGGTGAACTCGTCATGGGCTTCGCGTGCCATGCAGAGGGTCTCCACCCCAGAAAGACCGTCGTCGAGGAGCAGCGTCTCGAGGTGGCAGGCTTTCATGCCCCGCGCGTTCAAATTTCCGTACGAGGTAGCGGCTCGGAACTTCTTCACTGTATCCCACGTACTCCCTGGTCCGATGCCAGTTCCAATCTCCGGAGGTATCTCGTCTTGGGAGGTGACCGCAGCAGACTCCGGGGACGATACATGCGTGTAGGGTGACAGACCATAGAGCTCGGCAAGACGCGCGGTAGCGTGGTTGAATATCAACGTATTGGGGATATCGTCTGCAGCTTTGCCGGAAGCCTCAGAAACAAGGGCTTCGAAGGGAAAGGCATCGCGGTTCGCTTCCGTTAAGAGAGGGTGTGCATGATTGTCGATCGCAGGATGGAGGAGCACAGTGCGCGCCAACTCGGGGTATGGGTGCGGCATAGTCGTTATCGGGTCTAGTGGACAAGACCAGGCTGGTGGAATCGCGAGAAGGTGGATGTGAGAGGTTCAGGCCAACGGGTAGAGACCGGGATCTCGATCTCAATAGCCTGGAGCTTAAGCGGTATTGATAGGCCAGCTCGCAGCACCAGAAGTTCCCCGATGGTGTGATGGAAGTGAGAGAGCAAGTCCACATCGAGAGCTTCCCGCGTTTCGGGCCTGGTGTGCGATGAGAGTCAGGAGGAACAGATGTGGCGACTTCGGGGCGCGTCGGCCGTGGCCATGTGGTGTGGTGACCTGGCGCTTTTGCTTTCAACCACCACCTCGCCTCAGGCGACGGTCTTATGATGGATGTTCCTCACACCCGATGCCGTTGAGTACGGATCTGGCTTCTTCACGTCTGTTACATGAAAGAACGAAACTCGAGATTGATCTTGGCGCCACAGCTGCTTCAACAGCACCAATGGGCGATCAACGCGTGGTCGGGTCCTGGTGTCAAGCTCAAAGGGCTTTGACGAACAGCCCCAACATGCGACGTGCGCCCTTATTGTTTCACGTATCCAAATGAGTACCCCGCTTTGTTCTCGGTCTTTGGACGTCCTCGACTGCGGGTGGCCCACTCCACTCTAACACATAAATAGTGCCATGCTCTCTGCAAACGGTTCCCAGGCCTCCCCTCATCGCGTCTCCACGGAGCTAGCCTTCGCAGATCGCCATATACCTTAATTCAATTGTCTAATTACTCCGACGCTTGAAGCTCGTCTTTTCACGTTCTTTCCAACATGCCAGGTACATACATTCTCCTTGCTTAAGAATCCGCACTCATGTCAATCGGCCACAGCCGTTCTTCTCAATCCCACTGCCTGCGGCATTTGCGCCAAAGAAACAACTCGTAGATGCGCGCGGTGCAAATCTACCCCATACTGCTGTCGTGCCCATCAGCGAAAGGACTGGTCGGCTCACAGTGCGACCTGCACTCCTGCTCCTCGGCGGCGCATCATTTGGGGAATATCCCTGCCCGCCTTTCACCTGCGTTCTGAACTCGTGCCCATCGTCGTCAACGAAAATGGAGGTCTACCAGGGACTCCGACATCCAATGTACTCGAGTTGGTCGAACATCTTGGCGGCAGCAAGCATGATTCCCGAGTCATCTCACTCGTTCAATCTGTACAAGGTTATGACGGGCCAACTACAACACACCCGTTCAACAAGGGGACTGCACAACAGCTACGCCCGAAGCGTTCAAATGAAAGTATCAAGACCCAACGCGACGGGCAGACTGCTTACCATCTTCGGATCTTCTTTCGCGATGCGTTCCGTAGCGATGGCTCGCCCATCAACCGCTCAGTACGCATGCTCTGTGGCGCACGCCTGCTTGCCGACGGCTCCTTAAACGGCGGCGACACGCCACTGGAATGGTGTGGAAACATCCTTGTCATGCGTTGCGAGATGCGCGACGACGGGGAGCACTACTTGAGTGCTACGCACGCGGATTTGGAGGTCGTCAAGGACTGGTTAGGGCGCTACCACGGCGAGACGAGGGGGGGATGACGCCGGTGATCGTCTGATGCATCAAATACGTTTTTAGTAATAAATTCGTTAGAACTATAGTACAGTAGACTATCTCGTAAACTATAATGTGGTACCCGATAAAATACCTTGTCCAATAGCCCCCAGGTGAGTAAAGATGGGATGTGTAGAGCCAAAATGCATTTTACTATCCGATAACTGAGCTATCCGATAGGATTGGAGAGGGAACCGACCCTATAGGATACGAGATAGTCTACTGTACATGCTTTTGCTAGTGCAATACATCCCACAAACCCAAACGGAAAGACAAGGAAACGGCTACCATTGAATATCCTCGTGGCGCGGCTCACGATCAATACATATGGACAACTTCCAATCCCCTGTGTGCCGCGCCCAACGGTACACTTTCATGATCTCCGACCCGTACGGCATCTGTTGGATGGACTGTCTCCAGAACTCCTGGTTCTCATCGTTCATCATGATATATCCCGTGAATGTCCGTTCGCGATCGTAGACCGCGATCCCGTATTCTCCGCTCTGCGCCATCGCCGGCGATGCTGGCCGCTGAAGCTTGACGAGGAAGAGTCGATCACCCTTGACATTGCGGGGCGGTCGACCGACCGTCTCCAACTCGTCCGCGACTGTGGTGGCAACACTTGGGTGCAACGCCGCGCGGGCATTGATCAAGGCGATGCGCTGTCCCTTTACAACGTCGGTGAAGGTGGCGTCTATCCAAGTGCCATCCCGGATGGACCGGCAGAAGACCTTGTGCTCCTTCCAGTGCGCCTTTTGACAAGCTGAGCTTTGTCATCAGTGGCGATAAACACGCTTTGCAGATAAAGCTAGTCACCTTTACTACAGTATCGAACCGACAAGCACGCGGTACATTGCTGTGTTGCCGGATTCGAGCACGAAGCACATCCGAGGTCATTGGTGAGCTTCCCGATCTGAACCTGACTAAGAGGACCGAGTGGAATCAAGAAAGTCTTCTTCCATTGTTGTTCGTAGTCTCTGAGTTGGGGTCCATAGTTTGACGAGACTCTGGTGGAATTGATGTAAAGAAGGCGACGCAGCAGCGCTTGTTCTTGCGTGTTGCTACGGATCTGATGGACACCACCGGCTTGAAGCTGCCCGGCCACGAAGCGCTCGATGGATTCAGGTAGAGGCTCATTTGAGGTCGATGCCGCGTAGACAAGGGATATCATGGGGGTCGATACGTCTAAGACATGCACGCCCAGGATCTATACGAATAAACGTAGTCGGTCAGTACGTCAGAAGTCGTGTTGAGGAGACATTGAGGCGAACCCGGATGCAGATGGCCTCTTCCCGACCTTCATCTTGCAAGACGAACGATTCACGACCTCCGTTGTAATGCTGGGCCATGTGAAGAACCTGGCCCGTGTCAGAGGTTTATTTGCAAGGCAGAAGTTGGAGAGCTCACAGTCTCTCGTAGATCCATGAATGCACTATTACCAAGAGAGAGCGATGATGGTCCCCCTCCGTTCACTCCAGCGGTGAGTCCCGCTTCGAAGTAGCTGCTACGCCATATACAATCGACGATGGACTGCGTTTGGGTACCCTGAAACATCATGAACATCAACGAGGTTCTAGACATTCCACCATAGCCGCGCAAGGTCGCGCATGTGCACCTCCCATGTCGATAGTCTGGCCGGGTTGAACGGCGCTCTCTCTGAATACGCAATGAAGTTCTGTGCATAATTGATTGCTGAGGTGAGTTTCCTTTCTATAGCATCTTCTGGGAGCTTCGTGGAGGTGGGTAGGCGGACACCCATGGACGCGAGCAAACCCATGAGTAGATTTCGGTTTTCAACCTTCCCCCTGTCCTTCTTCTTCCCTTCCGCGCGCATGAGCTTATTCCAGTCAAAACACTCATTGCAATCGGCTTGAAGATGGACTGCGCAGTTCCAGATGATGCTTCCATCAGGTCCTCGCTGTCCGCTGTTGACGATGCGCCCAGCGACGGAGAGACCCTTTCTGTAGTCCTAATGCCAAGAAGTGAGCGCCAATCATTGAGGGCAAGAACACCAGCTCGAGAACGAACCATGGGAAGATCCTGATCCATAGTATCGTCGTTCATGGAGCGCTGGTCCTGAGGACAGTGGCTGCAGTACTCGGATCCGTGGCGACAGAAATACCAGCCGTTGACCTCGATCAAGTCAGTGTCGCTATTCAGTGAGCTTGCTAGTTCTTGAGCGTTCATGACTGCAGCCGTATGTCTTGAGTGCGAGCGGTGAGGCCCGTGAGGCTTGGGTTTTTGGCGGCAGTGCAAGTGGTAGTTGAGTCCAAGATTGGTCGCGGAGAGTCCGCCGCTGGACCGCCGCTTCGACTTGAGGGCCACAGGCACGGCTCGATTGATCCGAAAGCTAGAAATCGAAGAGGTGCCGTCCGCGTCGACGTCCGTTCGTGATGTTGTACTGCTGACCACACGGAGAGACAGGCATGCAGCGAGTTCGTGCTTAACACCGCCCTCAGGCCAGACAATGACTCTGAATAACTGCTATAGGGCCGCGAGCGGCAAGACCCGCTACGGCAGGCAAGCCCGGTTGCGAGCGACGCGCCGCACGCGGTCCCATGACTAAGTAGTGGTTGTACGCGTTTCGATTGAGAATGATGCTTGTAACCTTGCCCGGGGACAGCGGGAAGTCGAGAGCATCCATTAGGCATGTATCGTAATATGCCCATTGAGCAATACTTGTAAGTATCGCACCGTTCCAGCACGCAGCGTGTCGTATGCGACGCGAAAGGGAGAAACACCACGCGGAGGCTCGTTGATCGGGGTACTAGCCGTGGTTCCGCGGTTCCAGGGTGTGCCGGAATCCGAACCACAGTTCTAAGCGAAATATATATATGAGATGTGCCAACCCGCTTGTTTGATGCATGGCCGGCGAGGACGTCAACCTGTCGAGCCTCATACCACTTAACCCAAGTCGTGTAGGGCATTGGCGGTAGCAGTTTCACCAACTCGCACATCATGGGAGGATGCGGGAGACAGAAGATCGGGTAGCTTCATCGTCTCAATCTGGTTCACGAGAGAGGCGAAATCGTCTCGAAGTTGGGAAGGACTCGGTACAGGTTGTGTGGAAGTGCTCGATGACGAAGGAACATGAGTAGGCATATTGTGCACTGAAGCGCGAACGACAGCGAGTGATTTGTAATCAACAAAATCGGATCGTATATATTCACGACGGGTGAGGCGAGGCAAGTCTAGGGCAGAGGCAACTGTGCGTAAATGAACAAGGGGAAATTTCGCGGCGCAAATGATACTGAACAGATTATCCACGTAGGGGAGGAGAGATGTGTATGGTTTGGACAAGGAAATGCAGTCGGAGGGGGGGGCATGAGGGAAATATAAACATGCACCAGACAAGATGTGCTACATGAGGACGGCACGGTCGGAGGCAACGATGGAAGACTGAGTGTGCATGATGCCATGTGAAAGGAGTGTTGCGAATGATTGTGTCGGGAGCGAGAAAGAGGGAGCGGAAGGGAGATGCAGATGACAGAATATCGTTTATGATGAGGCAGAGCGGCAGAACTCGAGGAATCGGCAGTGGCTGGAGAGGACGCGGTCTGTGTGTTCGTGGGGATTGAGATGGAGAGACCATGGGCAAGCGAGCGTTTACGTATGTAGGTGGTGTGTGTGTAGAGCGACCCGCATGGGTGTACGTAGAAGGGCCCGCTTGGGTGTGCATGGGGGACAAAGTAGTCATATATAACAGCAGTTGGCGAGTTCGTCGCGGGATAGTGAGCAGGAATGGAGGTACGAAGACGACAAACGCGACTCGAGGTGGGCGCAAGCACCTGTCAGCGGATCCCATGACCCCGGCAAGAGCCGAGTCCAGGCACATTTACGTGGGATGTGAAACCTGAGCCATTTTCAAGTGTTGAATTCACGAGCGCAAGACCCACTACTAGCGTAGCGGGAATGAGGGGCAAGCGCGGCGTCGCCGCTATGCCTTGTTAGCGACTCATGACATATATATTAAGTAGTATAGGTTCACGGCAAGTAATATTATACAACAAATGGTGCATTCAACACATCTTCACACTCACGTCCACAGCCTGTAACATGATAGCCTTCTTTTCTGTCTCCCATTCATCTGCACCCTTCACAGTCTCGTATTCTGGCAGGTAGCCTTTCCTGAGTTTCCTTTTCTCTTCGGTATTGACGCCGTAGCGCTCATCGCGCTCACGAACAAGGTCGTATGGAACCTGGTCATCGGATGTGTAGCTCATCATAAGCGCGGGCGGTCCAAGGGGGAGATCGGGATGAACGTCGAACTGCCAGGTGTGAATGGTCTTTCCGTACGTCTTCTGTAGCTCCAACATGGCGGGTTGTTCGGCTGCATCGGATGCGATGCCTAAGATAGCGCATTAGTACTGGTGCGCCATGAAGCTGCGGAACTGCGTACTTGGTATAGCACCTTTGAGTTGAAGCTGAAGCATACCGCTCTCGACTTCATACTTGTGCGAGTGCCAATATCTCTTCTCTTCCTGTGGCAGGCCAACGAAGATCTGGTACGCATGCTCGCCGTCAGTGCGCTCGCAGAGGCTGGTCCACCAAATTATATACCTTCTCCGAAACAATATACTCGATTCCAACCAACCTCGCGTCGGGCTTATCCGAGTCATAGATAACGCATTGGTGGAAGTCCGCCGACTGATGTTTACAGAAGTGATGTGCCTCGACATGTCGAGTACGGTCATGGCTGGGAGAGGCGTTCGAATAAGACAGCGGCTCGGTCACCGGGTACGACTGCGCTTACCTGTAGGCGTGGAAAGCGCAGAGATGTTGGTGAATGGCATTCACAGGTTGGAAGCTCATCATCGCGGCGCCTGCGGCATGAAAGGCGCCGGTGTGATAAGCAGATTGTTTCGTCTCGGGGTCTACAGACATGGCGGCCTGGAACGAGTGTCACCGACGATAGAGTACGGGAGCTGCGCCCGGGAAGAAGCAAAGTTGACGCTCGATGACGAGGCGGGAAGATAAGTACGGTTCAGCTGCCGGCGGCGGCCAGTCTTATCCAGTTCGACGGACTTGGAGCTGAACACATCATAAGACCGCAGAACGTCACTCATCTCCTCATGAGTGCGTAGGCTCGAACGAGGAGGAGCAGATGGTTCCAGCGTATAAGCGCTCATTCGGGCCGGGCGTCTTCATGACCGAGGTGAGAGAACAAAGGAAAAGAGATAAACGTGGGCGGCAAGGCGGACTACTGATATATCCGCCTCGTGGAAGTTGATGAACGCATGCGTCGTGATCGAGATCCAAGATTTGAGCCCGAGCAGCGTGGGATAGTTGGTGTACTCTCCGTGGTTAAGCTAGCGGCGGCGAGCGCCCGGTCCCTGACGTATGTTCGTCTTACGCCTTCCTTTGCTTGGGGCTGGTCCGTCTTATGCACGCCACCAATGGATACTGAATACTGAGTACTGATCTCTGGACTCTGACGAGCATGGTACGAAGGTTTTCCGAGCCTTCGACCCCCGCCGCTCGCTTCGCTCGCATCGCGGGTGTCTCATGCCCGAGATCGTGCTTCGGACTTCACTAGCCGCATTCCCTCACGTTGACTGCTCCTCAATGAGGGAAGTATTACATGGACCTGCAATGGTAACTTCCACCCTTGAGCAAGACGATGCCGCTCGAACCTTGCACGGGTCTCAGGCAATTAGCTCGATAGCAATAGTGTTACGTTTACACGGTTGCTATTGGACCATCCAATGTATCATCCAGCTGCTACAGTAGCTCGTTCGGAGCTATCGTAAAATTTGACTTATCTGTCGCGTCTTTACGCGGCACGGAAGAGCACCTCGGGCAATTTTGACCCAACGACAGCTTTGCATAGGGTAGGAGTTCGCGTGATCGCAGTAGTCGTAGCAGCCGTGCGATTACGGCCCACACAGGTGCCGATAGCAACCCGTTGCTCGGGGTACCACCCACACCCGCGTCGGCGCGCACGTATTGTAAGGCAGAGTTGCAGGCTTCTTCGCTGTGCTGATTGTCGAGCGGGCGTAAATGTGACCAAGCATATTGCACCTGAAAAGAGCGTGGCTTCCGGATGTCCGCGAATGACATGGACTAGGCCAGGTGGGATAGGCACCGGCGTATGGGCTGAGTGAGAGGAGGTGAGCGAGGCGACCATGAAGGCACCCATGGCCGTCTCTCGTGGCCGAGTATCAGCACTCTCCGATATACGCAAGATCGGGTCCCACCCGGTCTGTCGCTGTGGCGTGTTGCTGGAATGGCGATGATGAGAATACCCGTGTGTACGCCGGTGTATCTGGACCGTCAACGTAGTGATCTATCTGGTGCATTCTGAGGAACATTCATCAGCTGCTTGCAGCGTGAGGCCCGCCAGTTGGGACTCACCGTTCACAATCTTGAGCCGGGCGGGACACCCCGTCTCCGCATCCTGACATTGTGCGACATGCTGGCGACGTACACGATTGATCCTTGTGTTCCAAGACCATTCTCCGGGCTGAGTGTAGCAGGCAGAAGCAGCAACCGGTGGAGAGGCGGAGCTCCTGGTGGTGTCGCAGGCTGCGACAACGAGCTTTGCAATCCAATGCGCGGGTTTTCAGCGCCTGCTAGAGAAGTGGATAGCGACGAAGTCCAGGGGATCGCATCCAGAAGAGTCGGCACCTGCGGCGCGTCCGAAGACTGACGACCGTACTGAAACCTGATGCTACTCCTTCGCTCCAAACACAACTCCGCCACACAAACATAGCATATTGCTCATGCTAAATGCTGACTCCGAATAATGATGCTCAAGTTCGGCCTGGCCCTGCCCCTCACTTATCGCGCACAAAGAGACTGAAGCGTCGCCAGCTCGCATGCCCGTATTCGCAAGTTCGGCGGAGAGAAATAGTGTTATCGACCGATGCTCGGGGATGCTGATTTGCATATTCAAGAATTGGAGATAATGAAAATAAGCCAGCACGACAAGGACGAACAAGCCTCAAGCGCCTCCGCCTTTCCGACTGACATGATGGTAGGAGAGAAAGCGCACGACGCGGCTCGGGATGGATGCCGCCTCCGAAGTTCCCGTTCATCGCCCGTTGATCGCGATTTCGCTGCTCTTTCGGATCGGATTTTCGGCTTCGAATACCGTGGGAGAGTGTCTACGTTCAAGAGCTCTCTCCCTTGGGAGGTTTCGACCAATCAGAGTCGTAACCGTGGGATACAGCGTGAGAACGCTCAGCGTTTGAAGGGCGTCGCCTCAAGGACCCTTCTTAACTCGTTTATACTCGTTACGTCAGGGAATCCCCTCGGCCGGCTACATTCCCCTCTCCCCTTTCTTCCTGACCACCATCATCTGTCTTCTTGCATATTCTGCCTGTACACTAGCCGTGCAGCCGGCCGGGCGTCTGATAACGCGCAGAGCGTCGTCCGAAGACGTTCCGGTCCGTCCACTTCCTCAATTCATATCTCTGTCCCCGCTCATTCGCGCATGTAATAGAATACGGAACGCATACGACGATAACATCCGATTTCCCACTGTGATAAGGCTGCGAAGCTGGGTCCCGAGGACTGAGCTTACAGTGACCACCGCTCTTGTCTCCTGCCTTCGTCTCGTTCCACGGGCCAGGCCAGGCTGTCCCGGATCGTGTTTGTCTAGTAGCTGTGCCGCAGTGCTGTAGACTCGTATCTGGCTACTCGTATAAGGCAAGCCATCCCAAATTACTCCTGTTCATACTCTCTGACCGCCCTTTAGCCCTCATCTCCTTCGACATGCTGCTGTCCACGCGAACTTCTTCGCTTGACCTGTCTGGGTCTTCTTCAACCCATGCGACACCCCTAAACACCATCGATCCGAATCGCCTTTACGCCCCCTCTCCCCTTTCAAGTCCTTTAGCGTCTCCTCGAGAGGGTTCCGCACCTGTCCCGTCCTCCCCGCATTCAAAGACGGCCGCCTTCTTCGCCTCCCCGCCATCCTCTCCCAGACCTCCATCACATGCGGAACTTGCGCATCCCGCATGCCTAATGCCAGGCCATCAAAGCTCGAACAAACGTTCTTTGACTGCAGACTTCTTCTCGGCGCCTTTCTCTCGGCCAACACCGCCCCCAAGTCTGCGCTCAGTGCCATCGAACAACTCTATCTCATCGCGAACAGATAGCATATCTTCGGTCGATACGCCTGAAGATGCTCATGTTTCATTGGCATCCGCCGGGTCTCTCGTAACACCTCCATCCAAGACCAACTCTTTCTTCTCCACTTCGTTGGCGCCGTCACCTACACCACCGGCAAGTTCCTCTGGTCGTTCTCTGACCGAGGATTTCTTCTCAACTGTCTCGCCGCGGCCTACACCCCCGCCCAGCCTACGCTCTGTCCCGTCAAATGCATCTCTATCGTCACAGGTCTCGCTCTCGCACGAGGGTTCCTTCCGGCCAGGGCCACATGATGACGTGACGCCCAAGCCCAAGGCGACGCTGCCTCCTCTTGCGCGCCTATTTCCCTCGCGCTTCACCGCGCAACGAGAGGATTCGTCTCTTCTGGCGCACGCCGAGAGCCTCACTCATTCACCTCGTCGCACGTTCGTGGAGCTTGATGAAGCGCCGGACGGCACGCTGACCACGTCCCCCTCTTCCGCCGAGTTCGCGCCGATTTCATTACCTTCGCACCGGGATATCCCGCACGAAGAAGCGGCCGCAAGTAGCTCGAGCGCTCTGGTCTCTTCGCCGGGGGACGTCATTCGCGACTCGCAGAGCGACTCGGCGTGGGAGCTCGTCAGTGAAATCGGCCAGGGCGCCTTCAGTCATGTGTGGAAGGGCCGCGCGGTTGGCAGCGGGGACATCGTGGCCGTCAAGGTTCTCGCGCGGCGAACCGCGCGCCACCGCGCTCACCGGGCCGAGCGCGCCGCCTATCAGCGCGAAGTCGATGTGCTACGGCATCTTTCGTCTGCGTCGCATCCCGCTCTGCCCACACTGCACGCAGCATTCTCGCAAGACTCTTCAGACGTCCTCGTACTGGAGTATATCGGAGGCGGCGAACTGTTGGATCTCGTAAACTCGGACACGGCGTACGCACAGTTCACCGAAGGTGTATTACGACGAATGTGGCACGAATTAGTTGGCGTCGTCGCTTGGATCCATGAGCGCAACGTTGTCCACCGAGACATCAAGCTTGAGAGTGAGGAACTTTCGTGGCGCATATCTTCATCATCTAACCCTATTTCAGATATTCTTCTCACGGCGCGGTTTGGATCTGAGCCTCTGCCAGGCCCTTCACAGCCTATTCTGAAGCTTACTGACTTCGGTCTTGCGCGTGCAATCGACCCGGCAGACCCATGGCTTCGTACGCGCTGCGGCTCGGAGTCCTACGCTGCGCCAGAGCTCCTGCTCGCAAACGCCACGTCAGACGATGAAGGCTCAGATGAAGATCTGTTGCGCATCGGCCCGCATCTCTCACGCGCACCGACGGATGGCGGGCGCCATCGCGTTAGCCGCATCGGGGCAGGATCGTCTGGCAACGGACGTCACCAGCCTCGCCGTGAGGGCGCATACGACGGCCGCGAGACGGATGCGTGGGCGCTCGGCGTTGTCCTTTACGCGCTCGCTTCTCGCGCGTTGCCATTCAATCCACCCCCAGAACTTGAGGACAGATTGCCTCGCTACGCGCCAGCACGCGAGCGAGAGCGACGCGATGGAGAACGACGTGCATGGATCAAGCGCGTGCTCGCTTGTCGCGTCGAGTGGCCGGACTCGGAGTCACCGTCTCCGCCATCCTCATCCGACGGGCATGACGGCCACGAAGAGGATGAGGAAGCCGAAGTCGTCGGTGATGCTCTTGCAACGCTTGAGCCAGTGCGGCGCATCGTTGGTCGGCTGCTCGTGCGCGATCCCAAGGCAAGAGCTACCTGCGCTGAACTGCTCGACGTATGGTGAACATAGTCGACGCGCGGCATGTCGGAGCCCGCCCGACGTCGCGCGTCCAAACTATCATCTGACCGCACTCTATCCTGGATACAATCTCATAGGCCGGCTATATTAAAGCTTGCCCACTTCACTCTTGCATAATTCATTCAATTATCTATACATCAGCATTCTTGTGTCTTGACCTGCGCTGTTTCGTGTCAACGTCCGCCTCAGTAAAGCCTCTGCCGCCTGTTGTATGCCGTACACGTGTTGTGTTAGATCTGCCCTGTGCCTACAATCACTACTACTACTACTATACATACGTTTGCCTACGCGTAAAGTCATCAATCATGATCAATTCACCGTCCCTTGTTCCCTGCTTGTGGAGCCCCTTTTACACTTCATTCATGTCTTCGTGTGCCGTGTAACTAATTCCCACCATATCCGAGTGCGTTGCATGCGATAACATCAATCGTTGCCATGTATACGAGTGAGCCGCGCGTAATACGTATGTGCGAGAATCGGGAAGTAAGCAGAGATGAGGCAGGGACGGGCAAATACGATGTATGACGACGTAAGTGCCGAGCGGCTATAGCTGAATAACATGATCAAGGAAAGCAAGCGAGAGGGATGAGAGGGAGGGAGATCGTGCGAACGAATGGATGGAAAGAGACATGAGGTAGTACAAACGCAAACGAAAGAGAGTAGTCACGTATACAGAGCCCGGGGAAAGATGGTCAGAAGGAGATGCACCTATGTCCTTGTCAGTACTGTAGTCCCAGGAAACGCAGTGAAGTGCGTACATGAGAAGGTCGTGATTGTCATTGCAGGAGTTGCAGTCAGGAAGACATCGCTGACGCGAAGAGCGGTTGTCCTAAGTGATCCTCAAAACGGAAGAACTTGCTACAACGGTCGTGTAGCGACTTCACGAAACCCATCTCCGTCGCCGCCGCCGCTTGCCGCGTGCGCTGAACGAGTACAGGATTGGTGAAGCGAACAACCTGGAGGGTCGGATGGCTGCGCCCGACACGCTCAAGCGATTTGAGCAGGGCTTCGCAGCATTGTACGAATAGGCTCATTCTGAACGTTCCCGTGAACGTGGCCAATATGCTCAGGTGGGTCATGCTTTGCGGGAGCGTGAAGGCGCAAGTGCCCAGTTGGGCAGGAAAGCGATCGCTTGCGGCAAACTGCTGCCATGCAAGGACAAGGTGCACATGCGTGAGACCTGGACAACGTGCCCATAGCGCCGAAAGGCCCGACCAGAGATCGTACTCTGGTCCGACCTCCCAATCCCGCCGCAGATCGACAGTAGCGATGGTGGCGGACGGTGATGTGATCTCGAAGGCACGATTGTGGGAACGCGCGAAGAGGCGCCTGGCTGGCAGATGAATGTGCTGTAAGCGCGGAAAGGGATCTTCGTCGACCTTCGCGAGCATCATGAGAGCGTCCATGGGATTCCTTGTGAGATTGTGTCCCGCGACAAACGTTAAGTCTGGCAGCGGTGGGACAACGAACCCCCCCAGGATCTCCTTGCAGTCTACGATGAGGGTGCGTAAATGGGGAGCGCTGTGGACGACGTCGAAGAGACTGGCGAGCTGCGGCCCTGCCAGCTGTTCGCCGTAGACGTGCACCCTGAGAAGGGAGGGGGCGAAGATGTCCACTATCACGTCGGCGGTGCGCTGGTCTGACAGCGCGATATTCGCGTTCCATAGGGAAAGTATCTTTACGTTTGGCAGTTTCCGCAGGATGGTAGGCAGATACTGACAGGAGCTTCTACACAATGTACCCAGAAGCAGGTGTTTCACTGATGCCCCAGTAGATTCGTCCCACCCGCTTTCGATGTTATCACTGAGCGCGCGACAAGCGTGTAGGCTGTCGATGAGAAGCACCTGATGGAGAAGTTCTGATGCGATGCTGTTCCAAGAGCGATTCACCAATACAAGAGAGCGTTTAGTCCGAAGAGCTGAGCGCAAGCAGTCCAGGTCGTAGTAATCTGTCGCAGAACTTGATGCTGCGGTGGAGAACGGATGGGGTATATCGACGTCCAGAAGGTTGGGCACAGGGCTAGAGCTGGCGTATTCGAATATCTCGAGCCAGATTTCTGGAGGTACTCGAGAGACAGCGTCCATATATCTGGTATATAGGTAAGCTACACCATTCAGTGGTTGCAGAGAGGGCGCCCTACTGTGAGAGTCAACAAGTTCGAGACGTGGTTAGGACGTGGGGGTTTGAGAGGAAAGTGCGGGGTAGCGAAGTAGTCGAGAAGGCGGCTTTATATACAGTTGTGGGTTGGACAAATACGGATGCTGAAGGGGACCCGGTTATGTGAAACAGCCTGTTTGCGTTTCAGGAATGCCTGTGGTCGTCGCAGGAGGCAAGTGCATTGCACCCTGTTCTGGCTCTCAAGACATCGGGGTGATCGGGCCGGGACCGAACCACGCGCTCACGTGTCGCAACTGATCAGCAAGCGCGCCTGATTCTGAAGACTCAAAGTTCTCCTTCACACCCATCTACCTGTTCGCACGACTTCATCCGCCATGGATGCTATTGACCCCGATGATATGCTACGATACATGAGCAAGGAGCTAAAGGCTGCGCGTGAGAAAGTCAAGACACTCACCGAGCAATTGGAGGAGGAACGACGCAAAGTACGTCCAGATACGTTCGTTCATAGCGTCACCCAAAGCTCATGGCAACGTTCAAGACACGAGGGGGAGGTGGCGGAGATGCTTCGGGCTCAACCAAACACGAGGAGATTGATGTACACGAACTGCGAGAGGAAAACGAGGCTCAGCAAAAACGTTTGGAGGTACTCGAGGAGGAAAACGCTCGTTTATGGCATCATGTAGCTCGCTTCGAGTCCGGAGAAGAGGACAAGCCTATCGCTCTAGATATCTCATGTGTGCGCTTGCTTCAATGTGTATCTGCTATGTATCTCATACTTCCCAGAGTGATGATAGACATACGAGGTTACTCGAGCTTTACTATATGACAAAGGACCAACATGTGCGTATCCGCTAGCCGCCTACATCCTGCTCGTGGAAGTCAACTTTGCTGCAGGAAGCCCATTGTGCGAAACTCCTCGAGCGTGTGAAGTCTGATAAAGAAAAGCGAGACGCTTCTCGTGAGGAGGCTCGCGTGGCGACGGAGGCATTGGAAGCGGCGAAGGAAAGGGCGAAGGCGGCTGAAGAGAGGGCAGATGCTACGTCAGCGAATGTTAAGCAAGCGGAAGAGATCGCCGAAACCCTGCGACAGAGGTGCAAGAAAGCACAGAGCGTACGTCAGCACAGAGGCACTCGAACACATCTCTGAAACCTTCCTCAGGATGCAAAGGCGTCGTTTGTCGAGAGTCAGGAGGCTAAGAAGGTGCGAGAAAGATGTGCTTGTTCTCTGTCTTAGATGCCAGATCAAGCTCAATACCTTCATAGAACATGGATACCAACTTAGTGCGTTTACGCATACTCGAAGAGGTATGTCAACCTTCCCGGGGCAAGTTCGGCTAGATAATTCGGCTCGGTAGGCAGTCAAAGACCTTGAGAGGACCGTGGGAAGACCAAGTTTGACGCCAAATCTCGTTCAGGAAACTGTATGTACTGTGAACGGAATGCTACGGTTTACGCTGATCGTCCACTAGGCGTGCAATCATGCGACGCTAGTGAACGAGTTCCTCGGAGGGCAAATGATCCACCCACTTCATGAAATCGAAAGCCTACATCAACAACCCACTTACAACCTTCGGAAGACGGACAACAGACTCGGGTTCACGGTTCCCACAGTAAGCTTGATATCGTTGATACAATGCAGCAACTTCTGAACTTACTCTCCGGCGCGCAGGAAATATGCAAACTGTTTGTCCGCTCGCACGCTTCCTCATACCCTGAACTCACATAAACTCTAGACTTGAGACCAAACGACAGCGTGGAAACGGCTTATGGTCTGTTGAAAGCCGGCAGGCTCGGGGATTTGGCCATCCTGATCTATCACGTCTGGCATTTCTGGCGCCGTCGCACTACGTTGCTGCACGCGAGACTGATGGAAACTATGCATATCACCCCAATAACCTCTGGGGAGATTATGATGGGAGAAACCGGCATATCTTCTATAAGCACGACCAAGAATGGGCCTACCTTGGGCTTTATCGCTCGGTCATGCTCGTTGAGTTTCGGCTTATCGACATGACTCAAGTCCATGGCATGGCGCGTAACATCTTGGCTACTCGGTCTCGCATCTTTGCTGACGATGAACTTTTTCAGAATACGAAGGGCCTCGGAGAGAAAGTGGTTACAACAAAGGACATGGTGCCGCCGCTGGTCGTCAAACATGCAAATCAACTCTGGACCAGCGGTGCCATTCGCGTTGTGTGCGCTACTTATGAGAGAATTGAGGATGACGGTGGTATGAGCGCAGCGCTGGAGCCCTTGATATTTCGCAAGACCGGTCTACCACTAGCGCCGTCAAGCCGTGCCGACTCGGCATCGGCTAACGGCAAGCGCTCATTCACCGGCCCACCCACCCCCATCCCAAAACCAGGCCAATCATCTTCAGCTCCCCCCTCGACGAACAAGAACAACAAGCGCTCTCGCTCTGGCGGGTCCTCATCTGGACCGAAGAACAAGAAGCAGAAGACGAAAGGCGGGCCCTGATCGAGTCAGCGGTCCTCGCTTTCTTGTGTTGCTTCGCTGTCGCATCCTGTATCTTGCTATCGATCTTTGCTTTACATCTTCTGTCATATATGCCGCATACTATCATTCTCGATTCGCCTCTACGCCGCGTTGAAACCATACTTCGTACTTTGATCTTCAATCGCCGGCAAGTATGTTGAGAGCTCTCTATACTACATGTGCGCGATCACGTCTGCAGTACCCTCTCCCCGGCAGCCACAACCCTAACAACCCTCTCGAACTCCTCATCAAAGCCCACACATCTCAGCCCCCCACACGGCACGCTATACTCCCCCATATCGAGTTTCGCGCGTAACGCCAGCAGCGCCGGATCGCACGACGACACGGGCCCCGCCGGCCGCGATTTAGAAAGCATACGTAAAGCCTGGTGATTCCTCGTCTATATCCACGAACTTATCAGCGAATGTTCGATACGAGTGTGGTGGAACGCGTACGTCTTCGTCTAGCCCGGCCCATTCGGACAAGCTCATGCCATACGCCTGAGAGAGCGCGAAGTGCTCGTAGCGACCGATGCACATCCATCGTTCTGGGCTGCATTCGACAAGGAGCTCGAAAACTTGTCCAGGTGAGGGTAGGCCGATAGGTGCGAACCAGTACCCGTGTGAGGCGATCTGTTTGATGCATAGCGGGAGAGAGGAGGGGGGCCGGTGAGCGAAGACGACCGCTATGGGTACAGGTCTGTGGTGTGCGTAGTGTCAGTATGCATGTCCCAGAAATGGATCAGTCGGGTGCCTCACGTTTCGAGATCGCCGCGCTTCACCGCGTAGTTTCGTACGCTCGTTTTGAACCGCGGCAGCATACTCTCCGACACATTCGCGACCCGAACTTGCATCCTCTCCGAATCGAAGAACCCTACATCCGGACAGATCTCGCGAATGTACCTCAACCGCCGCTCACGGGCCTCTCCTGCAAGCATATTACATTGCACGTGGAAAGTACTGAGCTGCCTTTGGGCAGAGTTGAGGTAGCCGTTCGCAATGGAGAGCTTGTAGAGGAGGTCCGCGCGTTCGAGGCGGAGAGCGTTTACTTGGATGAGGAGGTCTTTGCGTTGCGATTCGAGGGTTTGGGCTTGAGTGAGGGGTGTCTTGAGGTGGGGCGCGTTCGGGTGGGCTTGACGGGGCTGTCCATAGTTGGTCGGTAGTGTAGGTGGCGGAGCGAACAGCGAGGAGGCAGGTTGAGGGATCATTCTTTGGTGATATTGCAGCTTGACTGTCGTCGGGACCGGGGTAGCTGAATGGGAAGACATCACTGTGGCATTTAGTGTAGACGGTCGTGATATACAGCAAGCGGCCATCATGCATCAAGAGGGGAAGATCTGTACAGCAGAAGCAGGAACAACAGCTGCCCTTCCGGGTAGCGTCACTGAACACAATGCACGTCTCAACATACCCGACATCTCCGTCCCCCACAGCCCCCACCTCACACAACATACACCCAAAAAATGCGTTCAAAAACACCGCTCTATGCAACTCAACGTCTTAAATACATGTTCCCAAAGCAAGCACCCCGCACTATGCCTGCCTCTTAAAGATCTTCTGCAAATTGTCCCACACGACCGGCGGACTCTGCGTCGCGTCCAAGCCATACCAGAGCCCCTTCTTGCGGTAGTACTCCACGACAGGCGTCGTCTGCTTGTGGTACGTCGTGAGGCGCTTGGTGAGCGTGTCGACGTTGTCGTCCGCACGCTGGATGAGCGGCTCGCCCGTTACGTCGTCCGTCATGGGTTTCTTGGGCGGGCTGTTGGGAGGGGGAGAGGTGAACGTTAGTCACGTGAGATTGGGTCGGGTGGATGAGGAAGGGTGGCAGGACGCGTTCGCGCGAAGGGAACGGTTGGAGAGTGTAGGGAGGAGGTAGACGTACTTGAACTCTTTGTGGTATGTCCTGCCCGAGGCGGGGTGGATGAGGCGGCCGGTGATGCGTGCGATGAGGAGCTGGTCCGGGATCACGAGCTCGACGGCCGAGTCGATCTTCTCCTTGCGGCCCGTGAGCATCTCGTCGAGCTTCTCGGCCTGCACGACCGTGCGCGGGAACCCGTCCAGCACAAACCTACAAACATAAACAAAAGCCGGGCACGCGCGGTCAGCACTTCACATTTCATAGCCGAGGAAAGTAAGGAGAGATGACGTACCCGTTCTTGCACGACGGGTTGTTCTCGAGCTGGTCCTTGATGATGCCGACGACAATCTCGTCCGAAACGAGGCCGCCGGCGTCCATGATCTTCTTGGCCTCGACGCCGAGCTTGGTCTTCTTCGTGACCTGCTCGCGCAGCATGTCGCCCGTGGCCAGATGGCAGACGCAGTACTCGTCTCGGATACGCGGCGCCTGCGTGCCCTTGCCTGTATATAACAATTAACACGATTGAAATAACTGATATATAAAGGAGGGAACACGCACCGGCACCGGGAGGCCCGATGAGCACGGTCCGCAACTGCTGAGCTGGAGTCTTCTTGGTGGGCAGCTTCTTGGCCGCCTCGCTCTCGAGCGACTTGATCTTCTCGCTCAGACGCGCGTGCAGCTCCTTCAGGTACTCGAGCTCGGACGACATATTTGTTGAGTTGTGCGGGGAAGGGGAGGGGCTGGACCGCGAGGCAGAGGACGGAAGGCAAGACAGACGCGCGCTCCGAACGTCCCGAGGGCGTTTATATTCTCACGCGTGGGTGTCGGCTTTCGGGCTTTGCGTATGTTAGTGGCGTACTCCACGCTGTACTCCGGACGTCCGGGCTGGGATTATATTTGATGCGTTACATTGAAGCGTAGGATAGGCTCGATATGGGTATAGGCGCTTCTATGTGAATGGCCGGACGCTTTGGGACAGCTGTTCGGGTGGCGAAGCGCGCGTGTCGGCGTTCGCCGCGTCGACGTGTCGCCGCAGCTGCGCGTCTTGAACATCACCGTTCTATTTCTGTATTCACAGTTACACGTCTTGCTTTGCGACTGCCACCAGCTCTGTACTTACGCGTAAAGCACACGCGTGTACGTTTATAACCTGCTGGTCTGACGGTCTGAAGCCATCATGCGCTTCGGGTTGAGTCTGGGCTGCGCTGTTCTCGCCTTCGTGGCGCAGGCTTATGCTCGGTCGAGTACGGGCGACTCTGTGCTCGTTATATTGGAGCCTGGGTTGAAGAAGGAGGATTATTCGATCTACTTCAAGAACCTCGAAAGTGTGTTGAATCGTCCAAATATACGGTGATACACGAGATTAATGAGGATGTGCTACAGAGGAGGGCTATGAGCTCACGTTCCGCGAGCCTGCGGCGCCTGAGCCAAAGGTGCTGGTCGACGACGAGCCGACGTTCGACCACATCATCTTCTTCGCGCCCGACACAAAAAGTATACCTCTCATTACCTCCTACATCTAATACACCAACTAATATACATTCGCCTCAGCGTTCGCACCGGACATCACCCCACAATCGCTCGTGGACCTCCTCACGAAGAACGTCAACATCCTCGTCGCCCTCTCGCCAAAGCAAACGCCCCTCTCCACCCTCGCTTCCGAATTCGGCCTCATCCTCCCGCCGCCCAACACGCCCCTCCTCTCGCACTTCCCCGCGCGCTCCGAGCCCGCCACCGTCATTCCCATCCCCACCACACCGAATCCATTACTCTCCAAGCCCAAGCTGCGCCCGATATGGTTCAAAGGAGTCCCGCACGCGCTGGGGAATAATCCGCTGCTGTTTCCCGTGCTCAAGGCGCCGGCGGAGAGCTTCGCGACGGATACGGATAAGGATGGGGATAACGAGGTTGTGTTTGAGAGCACGCAGAAGGGCGGGGAGGGTTTGTGGGCGGGATCTTCGTTGGGCGTTGTCACGGGCTTCCAGACGCGTCTAAACTCCCGGATTATGTGGGTTGGTGGGGTTGAGCTGTTCAGCAACGAGTTCATCAACAAGCCGACGCCCAAGTGAGTACCTCTATATGGTAACGGCACTGTAAGCTGATCTGACTTTGTGTGTAGCGGCGACAAGTCCGGCAACGAGATCTTCGCGAAGGACATCTCCGCCTGGACATTCAAAGAGACGCTCGTCCTCCGCCTCGACTCGACGTTCCACCATCACGCCAACGCCAGCGACCTCTTCACCGAGCCGGACCACTACACCACCAACGACATGATCGTACGTGCCTCCCCTCCCCCTCTCCCCAACACTCCCACTCACACATCACACAGACCTTCGAGGCGCTGATCTTCCAGTACGACCCCACTCGCGGAAAGTGGAAGCCCAAGAACGACCTGGACGACCTCCAGCTCGAATTCACGATGCTCGACCCGCACATCCGCACCCTCCTCCCCGCCCACCCAGAACACCAGGGCAAATACGAGCTGACGTTCCGCGCGCCCGACCGGCACGGCGTGTTCAAGTTCGTGCTCGACCACAAGCGGCCGGGGTACACTTTCATCGAGAGCAGCACGACGGTGCCGGTCGTGCCGCCTAGGCATGACGGGTATCCAAGGTTCTTGAGCGCCGCGTGGCCGTATTATGCTGGGGCTGTGAGTACGAGTTTGGGGTTTGTGGTGTTTGTGGCGGTGTGGTTGGCTGGGGATGATAGGGGGATGAGGAGGGGTGGGAAGGCGGGGAAGACGGAGTAGAGCGTTGTGTAGTGGGAATGTGGATGTGGATGCTTGTATAAGTAAATTATGGATGTTTGATTCTTGCAAGAGTACGGAAAAGTGTGCCGACTCAAAAGACACTGCTTGCGCGAGCAGAAATATTCGTTACCTATTAACTAGCTTGGCTAGTTTCCTGCCTCAAAACCTGTCCAGACACTGCCCAACCGGGGTTCGCCGTACCTCACTTCAACATGACGCAATACTTTGATCCGTCCAATCTCTCGGGCGTCCCAGCGACAGTTGAGCGACAGGCTCGACCGTCAATGTAGTTTTATCATCCATCCATCCACCATAGGTTGGAACTGCTTACAGGATATCGCGAATAAGGCGCACTGTAGAGCAGGTGCACGCCGTGCGCTTGATGAAGCCCGAGCGTCATATTTCGCGAGTTCCCCGGAGCCGCGCAGGAAAACCCAAAAGGTCGCACTTGTGGCTGACGAGACGGAGGTCTCAACAACGCAACTCTCATACGTACTTACAGCGCGTTGAATGAACCAAGCTGGGTTCCTGCTGACGGCCATCTCAGGATCGAACAGCCGCTGCCAATTACTTAGAGGAGCTGATGCCCATCTTGGACTTAGACTGATACCGCCGGCGATGACCATCTTGCCTCAGAGCCGATGTCTCGACAAGCGGGAACGTCTCTTCGTATACGATGCCGGGATCCAAAGCGACCGTGTATTCACGCTTATCCACGCCCTGAGCGCTTGCAACCTGAAGAAACCCACGACCCATCTCTCGTGCTGACCTTCCTCTAATGGGCATGTCAATTGCCTGTTGAAACTGACACTGGCCGACCCGAAACGCGCGCACTCACGAAGCCGCAGTGTTTGCGCAGCGCATACCCCAGACTTCTTCCCATCGACCGTTCGCTGATTTCAACTCGCTCACGGTAGCCGTGCCACCGAGGCCATCTGACGCAGCGCCGCACCGGTTCGCTTCATCCTTGCACCCATGCCCTACCCCTACTATCTAGTACCGCAATTCAACTCGATCCGTGCAATAGCTGCGGCAGTCGAGCTGCTACGGTGCATGGACGTCGGAAGAAAGATGCGCCGTTTCGTGGAAAAATCGTGCGGCGCAGCTTTGCTGCACACCGCAACAAGTAGGCAAACGACGCCTGGCCACAACCGTACCTGGGGGAGCTGTGGGTTGTGGCGCAGGGCCGGATTCCGGTATGATGAACATACACTTCGCGTGATGAGGGACTTCGATACGTTCGCGCCCCCTGGGCGCCCCCCAGCATCCTTTCACTGACTGTTTGCTTCTCTGTCATGACACCACGCCCAATGACGACTTCCCTCATACAGTCTTTGTAACACTCTGCACACAGTGCGAGTAGTGATCCTGGCATCGTGTATCTAGCCAGATGCACCCTATTTGGGAATTCCTAGCTTCGTTTGAACATATAAGAGCGTCGGATACATAGCTCGCCTCTCCATCCCGACACACTGCGACAACACAAACGACTGAGTCAGAGATCAACAAGCGTTTGCTGTACCTTTTCCCCATGGAAGACGGTCATCACCAGCGTTCTCAGCGGGCAGCTCACTTCTCTTCGCTGCCACACCAGGTTTGCCATCATTCCAACGCCATCGTTCACGGAAGTAACAGCAAAGGTAGGGAACATATGGAGCAGTTCAAGCACCTATACCCGCGCCCACTACTGGCCATTACTATTCTGGACCGTCGCAGGACCAGCGCATGCCGGTAGTCTTGCCGGTGACCGAAAGCACTCCCGGCACTACCGAGATTCCAGTCGAGTCGTATCATTTTTCAGCGATCGGCTATGGTAGCCAGGCATGGGCTGATCAAAACGCAACCATGCCTCCTGGAGAGTACCATGGCAAGTGCGTGATGCATCTCCTTCAACGTGACAGGAGTTCAACGCTGATAGCATTTCCCTATGTAGTGCTGATCAGTCCGCGCGTGAGGTCCCGGTAGAGGTAGCTCACCCACATGACACTGCTTCGTATCAGGCCACAACATACGCACCTTTGGCAACGCCAACTTATCCCATGGCGCTGCTTCCAGTGCCAGTGCGTCCTCCCACGGCGTACTCGTCACAGAGCGCGACGGGCGCAGTTCGCCAACGCAGCCGTGCCGCGCGCATGCTCTCGCGTGCCCGTGCCCACATCGACAGTGTCCACAAAAGCAACGGCGTAGCGGAGGTCCATTGGTCCGAGGTGGACGACGAAGGGACGTGGGTGTTGATGTTTGTACCCGCTCAGCACCGCTAACGCTGGCGGAGGTGGTCGGATGACCGAAGCAGTGTGTTTAACACAGCCCCCACAGAGAGTGTCAAGACTGTACAGACCAGATGTGTTAACCTTTCAGCCGAGATGGTTCGTCTTTGTGTATAATATGTACCAAGCCCGACGGCTCGATGTCTCAGACAGAAGCTGAGATCCTCGTGAGCCGGATCAGATGAGCGTGGGCGGCAACTCGAAAGCTGGACCAAAACTCGGTCTTCAGGCAAGCCTTGTCGGGAAAGTCGTACTGCACTTCACAACGCGCACGGGGATCCAACGTCTGGTTTACAGCATGATGCCTGATGGTGAAGGTCTGGGCTGAAATGCTGATCAAGCCGCGTTACCCTTCGCCAGGAATCGGGAGCATCCCGTGACCGCGTTTGATCCTCCGATCCGTCAAGGCGCGCGTTTCTCTTTTGTTTTCCTCCCGCCATCTTCGTCTGAGTGCGCACGGGCGCAGGACCACTTTTCCTCGCGAATTACCATGTATCTACCAGCTACCTTTGAATGGAATATGTCCATCTTGGGTGCTTTGTTGCCCCCGCTTCTACGAAATAGCGCGTCTATCACCGTCGCTGTATCCTCCCAACCTTTCTCGGTCTACGGCGCTCATTTCTTCAACTCCGACTTGGCTGTGGAATGACTCTTTTCCGCGCTGCATCTGTGCCTCTACTCTGCTTTACAGTGATACTACTGTGCTTGTCGCAGAAAGTGGCGCAATAACGACTTCAGTGGAGTCTACGCTCGCATGCATTCACTTCCAATAGTGGTACCATGCGCCGTCCCATCGCATCCTGATATCGTTGCGGCATTCTGTCAGAATCCGCATAACCTAACCTTGTCCTTTTACAGCTGGCATCAGTATATCACAACCACAGATCAGTCTTCTGGACTCTTTCCGAGACATCGTGGGGAATATGCGCGTGGCCAGTGGGCGTAACCTCCGGCGTCAGTGACTATCTTGACGCTGGAGAGTACTATATGATACTCATAGGCGTCGACGGCACCCACCCTTGCTCAGGGGATAGTCTTGTTCTCGAGCATGGCGGGGAAGTACAGAGTTCTCGGGCCTCGGAAGGATGGCTCAAGCGGGGATCAATTGCCAGAGTACGCTCGTTTCCACTGTATAAATACTTAACTTTAACTCACTTGACGCTCGCAGACTCCTCTATGACGACGCTAAGGTACGGCCAATGAAGGGCGGCGACGAGAAGTATGAATCGCGAACGACCAGTGAGTCATCCGCTCTTGGCTAGTTGGGCAAGCACTCAATTGGGCTGTAGGACGCACTTCGCCACCGCGGCCAAGAAGACTTACGAGCCTCATCGGTCTACCAATGGTACTCCATCTCGGCGTTCTCGCTCTCTACATCGCTCTTTGCCTTGTGTATGCCATGGGGAGCAATATACCAGTGGACTTGACGAAGGCTTCGCACATCCAATCTCGTATGAACTTCACAAGTCACGTCAGTCCATCTATTCCCTTGCTTAATGGCTCTCGTAGAAGATTGGAGACTAACACATCCCTGTAGGTCATCATGCTTGGTCTTTCCACCGTCATCGTTGCTCTCATGCAACCCATCGCGACTCGTACCCCCTTCGGTCACCTCCCACGATCTCTCACGTCGCTGTCCGACAAGCTCTCGTCCTGGAGTGGGCTCGGGTCTTCTCTGCTCAACCTCTACCATAACCTACGCTACCCCACCACTCTCGGCAACGCGATCATTACAACGCTGTACTTCTCATCGCTCTCAGGGCTTGGCGCCAGCTCTTCCTTCCTCTTCAACGTTCCGGCCGTCAACCAGACCACCTTCAGCAAGGTGCCGACCCAGATCGGATCGCCATCTAAACTCGGTCTCATCCCACCCGGGTGCAACGCCCCCGGAGAAAGCGCCAACTTCACGACCCTCACTTTCGAATGGTATCGCTCTGGCATGAGCATCGGCATGCTCAACGACAACACGACGGCTTTCCCAGGATTGAGCGCCAATCGGATATACGACACACTTTTGTCGCCGCTGCCCGACTCCAACACGTCGGCGGAGGTTAACTACACCGAGTTTCATGTGCAGTGCGGCAGCGTGCCGCAAATGAACATCTCCGTGTCGGACATCGACCCTGACAGTGCACCATACGTCGTCGAATACAAAGACTGGAACTCAACCGACTGGAGGAAAGACAGCAATTTTCACGCGCAGTTGACGATCAATTACCCGCTCGGGTCGACAGCAATGACGCTGCGCGATGGTCTATCGCTATCTGCGTACAATAACGCGAGTTCCGTCGGCCGACTATGGAGGCCTTCGGGTGAGTTCGCCTTTCACTTGGTGCAGGCGTTGGCTGACGATACGTACACTTTTTTCTCCGCAGACATCCTGTTGCGTGTTCCAAACAGCAACCTTATGCCTGGTATAGGCAGGAATGTCGTCTTGTACAACGTCTATAACGAGACTGGGCTCGCGTCCGGGAGCCAGCCTATCCTCGACTCGGAGAACGCGACAGGGTCGCCGTGGCCCTTGGCAATGCAGATGGCGGAAGGCGCGTTTGGCACAGCCATGCTTGTTCAGGTCATCGGCTGTTCCCTGACCACGAGCAATGGACGAGCGACGATAGACGCTGCGACCAACCAACTCATCAACACAACGGCGGCGCAGGAAGGTGGTGAAGTCCGCCGTAGTACCTGGGACGACTGGAAGCCCGACTTGAACAACTCGATATCGTAAGCTCTTATCCTCTCTCCGTCGTCTGTATGTATCCTCATGGTGCAATCTCTTCGGTAGGCTTGAGGATACGTGGGCATCGATGTTTCTTCCCACGATTGGTTCGGCTGGTCTCTGGGACAGCCCTCCCATACCGCTTTTGCAGACACCGTTATGGTCGTGCTTTTCCATGCAGGCGGAGAACAACGCACGAGCGAATGAGTCGGCCGCCATGAACTATACTGTGGCGCAACTACAGGATATGTATGATAACTGCCATATACCGACCGTCATCGAGGATTATCGTGCGTACCATGCCCAGTCCTATCCGAGCGACTTGAATGAACCATGTATACCTCCAGTCACGACACGCCTATTTGGGCCAGTGATCGCGCACACCCTAGCCGGCGATGCAGTGCGCGCACCGTCGGCGGCAAACGCGACTTTGCGCGCTCTCGAGTCCGCACTCGCAAATGCTACTGCCATGGCGATGTGGTCCGCAGCAAGGGCGAATACCCTTACCGTGAGCTGCCCCACGTACAACGTCACAGGTGCCCAAGACGAAGAGGCCCAGTTGGCGTCGGGAGAGTTCATCCTCCCTCTGAGTACCGTCCTTGCACCGGTGAACGGCTCAACTGTAGTTCAAGGGCGGAAGCTCGCAGCGCACATCACCGTGAGTCTCTCGTTTATTTCAGGCGCCTCCTGGAATACTCATCCAACACGACTGGACAGATTGACGTGCCCTCCTTGGTGATAGGCACGGCGCTAGCGGTCATTCTGACGGCCCTTGGCGCATACATACTCATCAGGGAGGACACGGCGCGTATGGCGGACGCGCCGATCAGAGACGCTGGTCTTTTGAGTCTCATGACACTGGAAAACTCGGCGATAGCCGCGCGTCTGTCCGCAACCGGCTTGCAGTCTGCGCAAGCTCGGCGGCGGGCGGGAGATTTTTTGGTGAGGATTGTGGACGGGCGATTCGTTATAGTGGGAGATGAAGAAGACGCGGACGTGAAGAGCGTGAGTGATGGGGATTCTGAGTCTCTGGCTGGCAAGTAGTGGGTGTTGGATCGCGCCAGCGTGAGCCGGTAGTCGCAGAAGAGCAGCCAGTTGAATATAGGACAGTATTGTCTATGATATCATCACCTGGAGATCGATGTACGTAGCTCTGAGATGCGTGAGAGTACACAAACATGAGCTAGGAAGCTGGGTGGCGTATGTACTTAGTCAGCTTCAACATCACTAGCTGTGACCCGTGCGTTGCACGGGGCCCGATCCGATCCTACTCGTTACTATGAGCTTTTCCAAGCCCATGCAAGGTGGATATTAGGAACACACCTGTTAAGTCTGTTTTGTTCGAGTACTACGGATACTGTTATCGCGCGTTCGCCTCGGGCTCGCTGCGCTCACCCTCGGCTCACGCGCGGGGGATCCTGACAAGTTAGGTCAATGAACCGAGGCCATATTCCAACTGTACACCATCGCTGACCTCTCCGTGGTGGGAGTGCGTGACGCTCGAAGCTTTATAACACCGAGCATTCTTGATAATATGACTTTCTGACGTTTGAGATAGAGGACTCTGTAGATGTACCGTGTACCGTTCCAAACCTGGATCCGTTTACTCGCCTCACTGCTGCCACCGTGAGGAGACGGAGGACGCCCAGGTCGACGACGCGTCGGCGGTTCGAACCCGCGCCATGCTCAGCCACGTGTCGCAACGCCGTCTGTCGTCTCAGCCAATCGGAAGGCCGTTTGTGGTCGGACACCCAGCTTCTTTATTATATAGGATGGTCAAGGGCGAATCTAATCCGCGTCGTTTCGGCGCGTGGCGCAGTCCGGCCCGATCATACCGAGTGATTTAAAGCAGCTTGCCGAGTGCCGCCACTATCTCATCTACCACGCACATAGATACTCTAGACGCACATCGTCGGCAGCAGTATACCCCATCACTCATACCCAGTACGAAATCATCTCCCCTGACCGACAATATCGCTAACTAGATGCTACAGAATGGAAGATACCGCTGTAAACGCGTCCTCACGCGTCCCGCCCGAGCTCTGGCTCGTCATCCTGCAACACGCGATCTACATCGACAGCGAGATGCTACATACAGGCACTTACGACCCTTTTGCATCTCCTCCATACACTCTCTCGCCACCGTTCACCTGGTCGGTCACCGACATCGATGACATCCGGCGCAACATCAGCCTGCGCCACAACCTCTCACTTGTTTGTCGGCAGTGGCATGCTTTGATGTCCCCTGCGCTATACGAGACCGTGCTCGTACCATCGAACTTATCTATGCGATACCTACATAGAACGCTGATCATGACTGCCGGAAGAGAACACCTCGCGCGCCAAACGCGGCATCTCATCCTCGCCGGCCATACCTCTCACGAGTCCGCCGGACTCTTGACGGCCCTCTTCAGCCTCATGCCTTCAATTGAGACGCTCTCCCTCCTTCCCTTTGCGGCTACAGACAAGTCTGGCCACGATATTGTCTGGCCGGCAGACGTATCGCGCGTGCTGGGCGCCACATGTGGCGCATCATTGCTTAAGATGAACTTGTTCGACGACGCGAGGGTCTTCTTCGCCGGGTCCAAGGACGTGCTGCATGAGTTTTTGTCTCATACACCGAACATGCGCGCGTTGGGTATACAGGATAACTTCCTCGCGCACACGCTCAAGCTTCCGAGGCTGGACAAGCTCGAGTTGCTCATGGCCCAACCGGGTCTAACTACCTCTTTCGATCCCGCGCCCTCCGAGTCTACAGCCGGCGACAACGAACGCGACCCTGCACTGCCCCCCTTCCCATCCCTCAACCACTTCTACCTCCAAGCCTCGCGCTGGCCCTCCGATACCGGGTTCCTATCCCTCCAAGGACCACACATCACGACTCTAACACTCGACGTCGCCGACCTCTCAGAGTACTCCCGCCCGGACATCATCCTACGGCGTATAGCCGCATTATGGACACTCCTACCGAGCGTATCTCACGTCCATCTCATATCACTCAGAGAGCAGAAACTCGGTCGCGTGTTCCTCGCTCTACCACCGTCCACCACACATCTGGGCATCTGGGTTCCCCCGCCAACAACGCTCACAAACCATACCTCAGGCTTGACGCTCTTAGAAGAACAAGAGGTGTTTCTGAGAGGTGCGCCGGAGGTGCCGGCGCCGAGGGTTGTAAGGTTGACGAATCCGGAGTATGCGAGGTGGATTCGGGAAGAGGTTTTGGAGGGGAGTGGGTTGGGGAAGATGGGCCCTCTGAAGGGGAGGGGGGTGTTTAGGTTGGAGGATCATGAAGGGAAGGTTCTGGTGGAGGTTGAAGGGGATGGGGAGGTGTAGGAGGGTGTGAATGGCGAGGGTTGTTGCTGGTTGGTCTATCATTCTCACAAGAGATGGAGAAGGAGCGAGACGCGCTTCTATACGGACGGTGTTGTAAAATCGAGCCATATTTGCCGCTCCCTGTGGCAGATGAGCACCGCACGCAAACGCAGGCTCGCGTTACAGCAGGCTCTCGAAGTCGGGAACGCCCGAGAGTCGGATGACCCGCTGTAGTCATCCTTACTTAACAGCCGTTAGGACAGGATCAACCAGGCCGAGTTCAGGTTCAACAACAACAATGTCATCGCTTTGACAGGCGGCCACGCAGAACAGACGCCCCTGTGTGTTCACCTACACGATGGCGCTCGCCACCGTTTACATATATGGATGGCTGTCGCCACGATGGATGCTCTCAGCGCCTTCGATCCATCCACCCGCACATCGTCACCACTCAGGCCTCCGCAACAAGCGACGCCCGACGATACCTTCGCGCTCTCCACTGTCCGGATGGCTGTGCATGGCACCCAGATTGGCGCCCATAATACACCCCATGTATACCCTCCAACTTGGGGTCATGATGTACGCGCTTGTACGCACCACAACAAGTGATGGGTCTTCTCCGTGGCCGCACTATAAGGCCCTGGAAGACCCCGCCTTCGTTCCCCCGTTTTCGCGCTCAGTCATGCTGTTCCGCCCTCTTTCCGCCCTCGCTTGGGCATCGCTATGCACCGCGGCGGCCACAACCCGTCTCCTCAAAGAACGCGTCCACGACCCGCATCACTGGCGTCGCGTCGACACCGCACCCCGTTCCCACGTCATCCCGCTCAAACTCGCGCTCCCACAGTCACGGTTCGATGAGCTCGAAGATCATCTACTGGCCGTGAGCGATCCGGAGCATGAGCGGTATGGGCGGCATTTGACGAAAGGAGAGGTGGAGGAGCTTGTTAGGCCGGGGGAGGAGAGTGTGAGGGTTGTGGAGGAGTGGTTGGAGGAGATGGGGTTTGGGGAGGGTGAGGCGGAGTGGTCGGTGGCGAGGGATTGGGTGTTGGTCAAGGTACCGGTCGGGCTTGCGGAGGACATGCTCGATACAGTATGCTGTCTTTATACTTCTGATCCACAGCAGGCGCTGAGTCTCGCATATAGACATTCCACACATGGCAACATACGTCCAGTGGCGCTTACACCGTCCGCACGACGAGCTATGCACTTCCCAAACACGTCCACCCGCACATCGAACTCGTATACCCAACCACTTACTTCGGAGATATGCGCCCGATGAGTAGTACAGTGCAAACGTCCAAAGCGGACAAGTCACTATTGGAGAACTACAGGGCGGCGGCGGCACAGCGTTTACAGGGTTCGGAGGCGAACAACGGGACTATCGACCCGTCATGTGGGCAGATGATTACGCCGGATTGCTTGCTTGTACGTCTGGATTTCACCTCGTATACTGTGCATATGGCTCACATAAAGAACAGGACTTGTATAATGCGCGAGGCTACAATGCGTCTGCCGACAGCAATAACAGTGTCGGCGTGACAGGATTCCTCGGTCAGAACGCAGTCTTCACAGGTAAAGCTTATATCTATCTACTCTGCGCTTCTCACTCAAGCGAACGCCGTCTGCAGATGTGCAATCGTTTTACGCCGACTATGTCCCGGAGGCGGCGAACTCGTCTTTCAACGTCGTACTCGTCAACGGTATGTCAAGGCGTTCTATCACCCGAACAGTGACTGATCGAGAGGATGTAGGTGGCGAGAACAACCAGAGCCTCTCAGAGGCAGGCCAAGAAGCCGATCTTGATGTTCAATACGTGTTTGGGTTGTCGTATCCTACGCCCGGCACGTTCTGGTCCGTTGGTGGTAGTCCGCCGTTTGATCCCGATACCAGCACCCCGGAGAACCGCAATGAACCCTACAGTGATGTAAGTGAGAGGACATCTGTAGTTGCTGTGCGTGTGCTGATACGGACGAGGCAGTGGCTGGACTACATCCTGGCGCAAGATGAGATCCCGCAGACAGTCTCCTCCAGTTACGCCGATGACGAGCAAACCGGTGAGCATAGCTTTCAGATGTTCTAAGCTTCATCGCAGTGACTTATTAGTTGATAGTACCCATGGCATACGCACAATTTGTCTGCCGCAAGTTCGCTCAACTCGGCGCTCGAGGTGTATCCGTCCTGGTAGCCTCCGGTGATCAAGGAACCGGAGACGTGAACCCTGATCCGGAGACTAGCGACCTCTGTATTGCCAACGATGGATCCAATCACACGATGTTCCTTCCCAAGTTCCCTGCGAGCTGCCCGTAGTGAGTACTCATGGACCAGAGCGTCTAGAAGGATTGCTCACGGTTGTTGGAAGTGTCACCGCTGTTGGTGGCACGCGGGAGATTCCAGAGGTTGCGGCCAACTTTTCTAGTGGGGGGTTCAGCAACTACGTGAGTCTGCTATCCCGCTTGTGCATACGTGTGCTGATCGTCGATTACTTAGTTTACAACGCCAAAGTACCAGCAGTCCGTTGTGTCCTCATACATATCCTCGCATGTGCCCGACAGCTACATCTCGTCAGGACTGATGAACGCGAGCGGCCGTGTATGTGCTCTTCTTCCACCCTTCAACCCTTCGTTTCACTCACTCACACCCTACATAGGCCTTTCCCGACGTCTCAGCTCAATCAGTCAACTACCTCACCTACTTCGGCGGCGAGCTTTCAACAAACACCGGTACCTCCGCATCAGCACCCGCCTGGGCCGCCATCATCTCCCTACTGAACGACGCGCGCCTTCGTAACGGGCGTTCCGCGCTCGGCTTCTTGAACCCCTTGCTCTACTCCAAGAACGTGAGCGCTGCGCTCAACGACATCACGGAGGGCGCGAATCTCGGATGTGGGACGGAGGGCTTCAACGTGAGTTGTTCTCGGGTATCTGGACGCAGTTGAGCGGTGTATCTGACGATGCGTGTAGGCTACGGAGGGATGGGACCCAGTTTCTGGACTGGGTACGCCGGACTTTTGGAAGCTCAAGGCGGTTGTAGCTCCGTGAATAGCGCGCCAAGCGCCCAGCGGCGGGATGGAGGAGCGGGAGTTTGACTGGTTACATGCGCGCTTTCATGCACGCGAATGGATGAAAGCGCGGGAATGGAGAGGTTTCACGATGGACAGACACTCTTTCGCTGAAGTACTTTCATCATACTCTACATGCTTCTATGTATGCGCCTGTGTACAAACAGGACTGCAACTGAACGCTCGCCGAGCGGCTACGCGTGACGTCACAGATTGTGAGCACTCAATCTCCAGAGCAGACGCCCAACGGCCGCAAGTCCCTGGAGATCATCCGTTCTGCCACACATCACAAAGCTTGCCGTTCGAACGAGATCACGCAAGATTTTTGAGCCTGTCTGTTCGTCCAATTCTTCAAACCCAGCTAAGCTAGTGTACAACACAGACGCAGTCTATGGAGCAACGAGGG